AAATGCCAATATTCCAAGATGCCTTTTTACTAAACTGTTGAAGGGTTAGTTTGCAGGTTATCATAACTGTGTCCTTAACATACCGCATCAGACAGACTTACGGTTTGAAATTGATATTTAAATTAATCATGATATAGGATCTATAGTGCATGTAATATAAAAGTACTGACTAGTTTCATTGCTCCTTATTACTTTAAAACTGAGCCAAGCAGTTATTCTTTAATTGGAAATGTACACAGGTGGAAGATATCAATCTTAGAGCATGTGCCTTGCAAGACTGGAATTATGCCTCGAAGCAGTCTATTACAATCAAATGGAACTCAATCCATGACATAAGAGAAAACAGAGTAAAAACATATAACATAGGAAGAGGAATAAAAAGTACAGAAGTGGAGAAAGTAAATGGCATAGAAAAAGTGTCTTTAAAGATAGTGATAAGATGACTTTTATTCAAACTGGAAGGGTGGTTTTGGGGGACCTTATGGGTGGGAGAGATCCCAAAATCAGAAATGTGCTGTTAGGAGCTTTTACTCTGTGTGTGAAGAAGGTGATGACTGATTATAAAGATTTGTTTTGCCTTTAAAAATTAAATTGCAGGGGCGCCTGGGTGGCTCAGTCGTTAAGTGTCTCCCTTCGGTTCAGGTCATTATCCCAGGGTCCTGGGATCGAGCCCCGCATCTGGCTCCCTGCTCGGCAGGGGGCCTGCTTCTCCCTCTCCCACTCCCCCTGCTTGTGTTCCCTCTCTCAAATAAATAAATAACATCTTTAAAAAAATTAAATTGCAAGCTTAACTATTTCTGAAAATTTCAGGATTATTTAGGAAAACCTTACAAGGCTTTAGCTGTTGAAGCTTAATGTGTTTTGGTAATTAAATTAACAAGTCACTGCTTCATGGCCAAGTTTCTAACTACTGCCTAATTGTAAGTTAGGTGACTTTTGAAAAACTGCACCAATTACATTGGGTGATTTGAGCATATTATAGATTCAGTGTGCCCAATTTAATAAAGAAGTCAGATTTGCATTTGAGCATTAGTTTAAGCAGTGGAACACTCATCAGCTTGCTATCCACAAAATTGTTATGTAAGCCTAAAAATGTGTAATGAAACCCTAAATACCATCTCAGACTCAAGAACTAAGTTTAATTTCTTAAAGGAATCATCTTCCAAAATGAATCATCCAGAATGGCAAAAATGTCATTTAATAGTCTCAGAAGGAAATTAGGTTTCTGTACATGAGTGTGTGTGTGTGTGTGTGTGTGTGTGTTTAAGGACATCTTAAAGTAATACTTAATTGAGACATCCAGCGTCTGTCAGTGCCTTTATGTAGAGTTAGGAGAGAAAACATTAGATCTTCAGCATTCTAATCCCGTGGGTAAAATTATTCTGTGTTTTTCTCACTTCCATTCTGTCATTTGCAAAAAACACTCAATAAATAATTGATAGATTTCAGCCATAGACATTCTAGTTCACCTAAATACAGCTAAGTGTATTTGCAGTGAAGGCTTGGATCATTTCTAAGATATCTTACCAGTAATCTCAGTAATCTAATTCAATGGAAATTTATTAAAGGATGTAAATCTAGTTTTAAATATATTTGTTTAGGTACTTACGGGGAAACTACAAAATGTATGTCAGTCACAGATTGGTAGCACAGAGAATGACCCCTAGGCCGTGTTTTCTTCTCCTTGAAGAATTTTCAAAACTAATTTTGGGTTTAATTTAATGGATTTAGGTGGGGCATCTACCCTGCAGCTCCTGAGTCCCCATAATTCTCTGTTGCCTTAACCAAGCATCTTTCACAATATTGCCATTAGCTATTTGGCTCCTGATGGAATTTGATTTTATGGCAAGACCTGCTGTTGCCAGAACCTTAGCAATTACTAGGGGGCAATAAACACTGTGAATCAGTTCAGTAGTAATTCAGGGTGGTATAAGATTGTGTCCTGACAAGTGGTCTGAAGAGGAAGGGAGAGAGGCATGGGTTGGAGCAGTTGGGAAAGGTGTCATGGCAGTCTGGGACTTGCCTTCTCCTGTGTGAACAGAAGGTGGGAGGGTGGAGAGGAAGATACAGCATGGCGTGTAAGGTTGTGAGGAGTCTGGAAAAATCCATCTGGGTTCATGTGGGGAAAAATGGAGGCTCCTAAAGGGACCCCTTCTTGACCACATTGAATACATTCCCAAAGTGTTTTGAACATCCAGTCTTGCACTAAAATATTTAGTTACAGAGTAGTTGCACATTCTTTGTACTATGTCAGTGATAAATAGGCCATCGCTCCATGACATTTTATGCCCACCACCTTTCTTTGGGATACTTGGAGTGTTTTATACTAAAAGGCTGACTTCTGAGCTCATCAAAGGCAAAAAGGGCATATGGAAGGGGTTGGGGACAAACATTTTAGAAAGAATAACCTGATACTGGAAATATTTGCCCTTTACAGTCATGGACACAGCCTGACCTTAAAAATCAGGTTAACACGTCTGTTTACTTCCTCTTTGACTAGGAAATAACTTCCTGAGGATAAACTAACTTCCTCAGGAAGTCCCAGGCTTCCCAAGGCTGTTAGGCTGATTAACAAATAACGAGAAAAAAGCACTTTAGCTGTAAGTGTGTTCCTTTACATTCCATATACTTAAAAATGTAGAAAATCCCCCTTATGGAGGGAATAATCTACAAGTAATTTAGATACTATTTGTGATCATTAAGAAGTGTTTGAGGAATTGTTATAAGGAGTGCAGTCTGTGGGAAGCAGATATTAGTACAGTTTATCATTGTAAATGTAACTAGGAAACTTCTGTTGTTTATAACTGCTGCTGCCTTCCAAGGTGGGGTGGGCCACCTGCTACACTGAAGGACATTTGTTCTGCCAGATAACTGTGTGTGTTTGAACATGTGAGTTTTCTGATGTGGGCTTCAGGAAACCAGATTTCTCTGCACAGTGGAGAGATTCTGAGCTGAGACACAGTAGGTATCCAGGAGACTGAAGAAGGGATGGTGGAACTGGGGAGATGGGGAGATTTTTGTTGTTGTTGTTTGTTTGTTTTTGTTTTGCTTTTTAAGTAGGCTCCATGCCCAGCATGGAGCCCAACACTGGCTTGAACTCTCAAACCTGAGATTGAGACCTGAGCTGAGATCAAGAGTTGGATGCTCAACTGAATGAGCCACTCAGGTACCCCTGGGAAGATGTTTTAACATCTTGGATGGTAGTGGCTCCCAAGGTGACACCACCTTCCTGTGTCACTAAAAATCCTTAGTCCATCTTTACTAAACTCACAAAGTGCTTGGAAGGGAGTGGGTTTCCTATAGAAATCAGGGAAGGGCTGAATTTTGAGACTGTCCACTTGCATTCCTTGTGGTCACTTGACTTATGCAAATACAACAAAAGCCAACTGATGAAGAATCCATCAATTAACACTCCCTTACTATTACAATTTGCACAAATTTAAGCATTCTATTATGCTTCTGTTCTGTTGTATATAATGATATTCTGTATAACATATTAACTTAGGCAATTTATATTAACTTTTCTCTTTTAAGTCTGATAATGAACTCACATTGTTCCAACTATTAATAATTATTATTCTCTTCTTGATGCTTGATTTTTCACAACTTCTTCTACAGAAAAACTTTCAGCATCTTCTTTGTCCTTCTAGCACTGTCCTTCAGGCTATCAAAACACCGTTGCTTTCTGGCCACAAAAGAATGTTGCAGGTCCATTTTTTTGTTTTGTTTTGTTTTGTTCCTGCCCAAGATACAGAATCAGTCATGCCCATTGGGATTTTTTTTTTTTTTTTTTTTTTTTAATGGGGAAACATTTTCAGGATGTAAATCTGGGAGTGAAGCAAAAGACTCCTGCTGCTGTGGGCTCACTTTTAATAAAGTTGGATCTGGAGAAAAAATATTTTTAAGGTACCAGTACACATTGATTTTATCAATTTATAAAATTGTATGTTATAAATTCTTGCGCTCTATTAATATTCTAACAGTATGAAATTTCATTTGCCACTAAGACTTTCTACTATTCAGCAACCAAAGATATAACTTACGTTGGGCCCTCTCCATCAGATCTTCAAATATACCCAGACATGCCTGATCTTTTAGCAGGGACAGGTAATAGGCTACAGCTCAGTCAAGATACCCGCTGCATGAGTTATGTGCATGCTTTCAGTTGATAGGTCCATAGTGTCATCCCTGCAATTGCTTGACTCCTTTGAGGAAGGAACAGTGTTTTATCCCCCTTTGTATGCCAAGTGGCAACCACAGTGATTGCCGTGCAATAAACATTTGAAACATGTTTATTAAGTGAATGAATGGGTTCAGATTCTAAGAAGGAAAAGCCCTCTTGGTTAATTTTTCCAACTATAGTCATAAAGACTATGACATCAAAAGCGGTGCAAATCCACAAACCAATATAGGAGAGATACAGTTACTTTTTAGAAAAAAGAATAACACTGTTCCTTAGGAAAACTTGAAGCATATCATGGGCATGTTAGCCCTCGATTTGCTTTTAGTTGCCTTTTGTGTTAAGGGAACAAACAACTTCTTTAAGCAGAAGAGACATGTCAGAAGGAGGAAGATACTTGGAACAGAAGATAGTTCTGGCTTCTGTGTTTTCATGTGTTTCAACATTTTTAAACCAAAAGGTTTGTTGTCTATTGAATATTAGCTCTATAAATAACCAGTTTTTATCAGAAAAGTTTTTAACATTTTAGATCACCAAATGAGATAAACTTAGAAATACAAAATTCTAGAGCTATTCAGCCTCTGTACCTCAATTTTAAGGGCAGAGGAAAAATATTCTTTACCCTTAACCAATTTAATTTTATTAAATTCTTTTTAATCTTTTTTAGCCTCAATACATTGGATTATTTCAATTCTTCACTTACTGGTATGTCAAAATATCGAATTAGAGCCTGCGGTTTTTTAACTGATGAAATTGGAGAAGTAAGTTTCATTTTATTGGCCCATATCAAAATATGGCTGAATTGGTCAGTTAATAAATGTGTTCAGGTTTTTTTTTTTTTTTTTGGAGGGGGGAGGTTGGTTCACTGATTTGTTTAGAAGAAATGTTAGGAAAAGGATTCCTAAAGGAGAAAATAATATTGTTATTTCCCCTTTTTGAAAGCATTATCCTAGAACCAACCTTGACCTCAGATTATCTTTTGCAAGTTATATTCTATTTCGTAGAAAGTGGGAAACTGTGAAGTTCATGTTTTGTTTAGCTGGGTTGGAACTGGTCAGTGCAGAGATTAGGGAATGATTTCACTCAATCTCAAAGATTTACAAAGAGCTAAGTTCTGGTAATGGATGCATTTGGAAAATGAAGTTGGAGGTTGAACTCTGCATTTAATATGAATGAGAGGGGGAAACAAAAAGCTGTGTAATGAAAATTTTGTAACCTTTGTTATTTACTCCCCATTTATGGGTGATACAAGTTACTTAGCCTTAATTTTCTTCTCTGTAAACTAGGAATAATAATATTCTCTACTTCATGTGTTGGTTATGAGGAGTAAATTTAAAAATTATATGCAGTGTGCGTCCCTGTGCATATTATCTGGTTTAATTTCATCGGCTTACTCACAGCTACTTGATGTGAGTTCCATATCCTACCTTGTTCAGGGACAGGAAAATGTTGTATGGAAAAATCACCCTTAAATGAATTCAACATAATTCCAGTGGAAATCTCAATAAGATTTTAATTTTGGAACTTGACCAAACTCTACTTTCCCTACCTGGAAGAATAAATCCAACATCTGTAAGTACCTACCTCATGTGGATACTGAATTCAATTCAATTACATATGTATGACATTGTGTATGTTGAATTACTTATGTATGTTGAATTCATTTGTTGAGTATTGAATACATGTACATATGAGGATATCCAGGGATATTTTGGCAACGAGTAATGAGAGTAACATTTCCTTAGTGTCATGAAAATATATTACACATTTACAAATGCCGAAGAAGTGTGGTATGGTAGAGCTTGGTGTAATGGAACAGAGAGTTCAGGGTAGACTTAGTTACCTATGGGAATTTAAGGTATAAGGATGGCATCATAAATGGATAAGGGAGCTAAGCCTTGTCAATACATCCTCACAGGAAAATCAGCTTCTCATTTTAAAGAAAAGGAACATGGGCAACCTAATGTGTTCCTGATGCCAAAATAAATTCTGAATGGATGAAAGATTTAAATGTTCAAATTAAATGTAGATGAATTGTTTTATGATCTCAAGGTAGAAGAACCTTTTAAAGCATGAAAACGGGAATTGTCATAAAGTTAAAGAAGGCCACCAGCACATGCATGGGGAAGTACGTGCTCTAGAGGACAGAGAAAAATCTTTCCATTGTCAAATATGTGTTTGTTTTTTCATTAAGCAAGTTCAAAACTGGTCTCTTTTTTTATTGCTGGACTTCTTGAAGCTGTTGATGTATTAGTGTATGTTTTTAATTTTCAAGCAGTATATTTTATTTTGCAAACTTCTTTTTTTTTTTATCCTTACAACCAGGAAATGTTTATACATGTGAATCAAGAGCCTTAAAATACGTGTACACACTTTGACCTAGGGATTTCGCACTAGGAAATCACCTTAAAAATCTAAATTTTAATTGTAGATATATGCTTCTTAGTTTTTATAGCATAAAAACATTGGTAAAGTATTTCATTGAGACATTTGTATGTCAAAGACCTGTTTAGGTATTAAAAACATGTTCACAAACAGTGTTTCATGATATGGGAAGATGTTTATGAAAAATGCACATTCTGAAGCAGCATTTTCTATGAATTCCACAAATAGGATTATATTTGAAGAGGAAAAAGACTGAGGGGGACATGTTTCAGGGTGTTATGAATGGTTATCACTGAGTGACAGAATTATGGATTACTTTTATTTTGGGTGTTTTCCAATATTGTTTAACTTCCCATGGCGAAGAGGTAATTAACAAGTTGGTTCTTTTTTTAAGAGCTGAGAATGTTTCTTTCACTAGTTGTTTTTGGAATTTCGTTGAATGTGATATGATAAAAGTTTCAATTATTTGATTTTTTTCATGATTAAGATTTATGGATAAAAATTAACCTTGCTATTTCTTATCCCTGGTACCCAATATGCGTTCAGCACCCATCTGTACACTGATTGATTGCTTTCATGGTTTTCTTTATAATCAATTTTAAAAGACTTTTCTTAAACTTAAGAACTTAAAACTTAAAACTTCTTTCCATTAGTTGAATGTAGTTCCAACACAATTTTTCTTTTTTCTATACCTTTATAGAGTACGGTATATCCAATACCTTGCATATATTCTGATTCATTCTCTATTCATTTACTCAGGGATATTTTCACTCACCAAAGTTTACTGAATGTCAGATACTATTCTTGGGGAATGGGGACTCCTTGGTGAGCCAAACAGACACAGACCTGACCTTCTGGAATTTTTCATCTTACAGAGACACAGATATTACAGAAACTTAAAAATAAATTATATTCCAAGAATGCCTTCTTTAGTACATGCCTAGAAATAGAAACTTAAGCTGAGGCCTGAATGATGAACAGGAATTAGCAAGGTAAATATCTGGGTGAACATTTGTATGTGGGGAGGTGTGATGGCAGGGAGAGTGGGGGGTCCTGGTTATCTATTATTGCATAACAAATTACCCTCAAACAATGCATGAGTTTCCTATGGCTACTGTAAAAAAGTACCACTAATTTAGTGGCTTCATGTAACACAAATCTGTGATCTTACAGTTCTGAAGGTCAGAAGCTCTAAATGAGTCTCCAGCGGCTAAAATCAAGGTGTTGGTAGGGCTTTTTCTTCTGGAAGCTCTAGGGGAGAATCCATTCCTTGCTCTATTCCATCCTGGTTCATGGTCTCTTCATCATCAAAGCCAGCACCATGACATTTTCAAATCTCTCTCTCTGATCCTTCTGTTTCCCTGTTGTAAGGATTACTTTGGACCCACCCAGATATTCCAGGATTATCCCACCATCTCAAGATCTTTAACTTAATCACATCTACAAAGTCCCTTTTATCATGTAATAACAGTTCAAGTTTCTGGGGACTAGGACATGGACATCTTTGGGGAAGCCATTATTCTGCCTTTGACATTTATTTACTTAAAACACCAACCATTTTATTGTATCTCACATTTCTTTTTCCAAAGAGAAACTTGGGTGGGGCTTGGCTCTAATTCTTCTGTTCCATGTGTCATGGACCGAGGCTACTGGTGGTATTCTGCTGATGGATAGGCTGGTCTACAAGATGAACAGTGTGCGCCTGCACCTTGCCTACGATGGCTGGACTGTCAATTGGAGAGCCTACAGGTGACCTCTCTAGCGGGATGGTTTCAGGGTAATTGGACACCTTACATGGTTGCTCAGGGTTCCAGAAAGAGTATCTCTAGAGAGAGGCAGTGGGAAGGGTGGTGGGTGGGGGAATAGGGTAACTAGGTGATGGACATTAAGGAGGGTACTTGATGTAATGAGCACGGGGTGTTATATGTAACTGATGAATCATTACATTCTACCTCTGAAACTGATATACACTATATGCTAATTAAGTTGAATTTAAATAAAAAATTTAAAAAAGACAGGAAGTGGAAGCTGCCAGTTTCTTATGGCCTGGGTTCTGAAATTAGCACAACTTCACTTCTGCCATATTGTATTAGTCACACCATTACAGAACCACTGATTTGAGGGTGGGGACACTGACTCCTCCATTTCATGCACAAATGTTGATGTATTTGCTGCTATTTTGAATCACTAGGGTGGATGGTTAGTGGCGCAGGATTCCATGAAGAGGGATGAGATTTGGGAACGCCTTGGACCTGGAGGGACAGTTGGGCTTCTCTGAACCATGGCTTCTGTGTATTTGCAACACAATGACAGAGGAGAGCTGACACTGGATGAGTAGTAGGACCTTCTAGACCACATGCAGGTTATGGGTTTATTCTAAACAGTGAGGAGAAGCCCCTGAGGACTTTGAGCAGGGACAGATCTGCTGTGACTACTGGGTGATCCGGGCAGTGGGCAGTGAGGGAAGCCCATGAGAAGTCAGTTGTGGGCCTAGTCAGAAATAACAGTAGTAGCTTATGGTAGAGGAGTGATAACGTGAGGATAGTGATGGTCTGTGAACTCTTTGTCTATATGGAGGTCAGTATGGAAATTGAGAGTGATTAGAATCCTTTGTAACAACTTGATGGGCTGCAGCATCCAGAGGAATGAGCATGGGCTTGTATTTTTTATATCTGGGCGGGGGGGGGGCGTTGTTGTTTTTTTAACTTTTATTTTTCTCTTCATTTTTGTTGCATTTTAGTATATTCATTAAGAATTTGAGATTTGAAAAAATACTGGTCTTTTCCAACTCATAGGTTGAGAAACTCACCCTTCCTAGATTCCTAGAACACAGTCTCTCACCATAGCACACCTTGTGTCTCTCTTAGGTGCCCTGGACTCTCCTCATGAAAAGAAACACCTCCAGCTTGTCAGTATTTATTTGTCATACTTGCATTTTAGAATTAAGTGTTCTCTGGTTGCATTAGCCATGGAAGACTTCTTGCTCACAGTGACGGGCCAACTGGTGGTTGGCAAATGTTAGAAAACATAGATTAAAACAAGGAATCCTTTAAAAATGAGTATGTAGGCTGTAAATATTTCCATTAACTCAAAACATATGCATTCGTTTTCTAGTCTTTTGAAGTTCGGTTAAAACCTTCTGTTTGAATATGTGGCTACTGATTGGAGTTCTGCAGTGTGTTTTCTTGCATGGATCACGGAGCAGTAGATCCTTTATAATTTTCAGTGTTGTTGCCTTTCAATTTAGCAGGATGAAATATACTTTTATTTTCTCAAAAGTAACAGATCTAATAGAAAGGGGAGGAATACAGTCTAATTTTACAATCTAAAAGTGTTATGTCACATACTTAATCAGAAAGCCACAGATTTTAAATTAGAAATAGTGCATTTTCATTATGGTAAAAGGAGAAAGAAGCAGAAATGGTTCATTTTTGCTGTACTGAATGCATGGATGACACAGCCTTCTATCTTGGCAGAGAGAAGAGAGATGTGTGATGGGTCTCTCAGCTCCTCAAATGTCTAATTCTCATTCTGCTAATTAAGAGCAGCTGATAAATTTAGATACTTCCTACTGATAGTTTTATATTTCAGAAATAAGAAAAAGTAATGATGGGAAAGCTTATAAAATATAAAAATCAAAAATGAAATTTTGATGATATAATTGACACCATCTCCCATGAGCAGAAATTGGAGCCAATGTGAATGGATCTCTTTTGAGGTCAGATTTTAAAGCCCATATAAAACAAATAAAGACAGGCACATAATCAAGGGGAAGTAATATCAAATCTTTAGGAATAGTATCAGTAGGAGGAGCATGGCAAGTGAGCTGAGATGGACAAAAACGAAAAGGCAGAAAACTGCACAAAGTCATGTTCAAAGTTATGTAAGAACGTGAAGTGGAGGGGCACCTGGATGGCTCAGTCAGTTAAGCGTCTGCCTTCGGCTCAGGTCATGATCCCACGGTCATGATCCCACGGTCCTGGGATCAAGCCCTACATCAGGCTCCCTGCTCAGCAGGGAGTCTGATTCTTCCTCTCCCTCTGCCCCTCCCCCCCACTTGTGTGTATGCGCTCCCTCTCTCTCTCTTAAAAGAAAAAATAGGTCGAAGTGGGAAGCCTGCCAAAGAAAGCGTAATGCAATGACAGATGACAGTATCATTGAACAGGTGACCTAGGGAGTGTAGAAGGACACAGATGTTGGAACCAGTTCTTTCAATAGAAAGGAGCTTGTCTTCATAAATACTGAAAGGCATAAATGAGAGCAACAGGCAGCCACTCTCAGTGCTTACTATGTGCTCGGCATGGTTCTAAGTGCGTTACATATATTAACTCATTTAACCGTAACACCAGTGAGGCAGGTACTATTATTATAACCACATTAGGAGTGAGAGGCGGGGAGCAAGAGTAATTTGTTCAGAATGGTGTGGCTACTAAGTGCCTTGAACTAAAGCATCTTTTTTCTGGACTCTATTCTTCTGAGTAGGGCTGTGTGATTCAAAATGGAAGCCCACAGAAAGTGACCTGTCTTAAAAAGAATCTTTAAAATGAGTACAAGTCAACATGGCTAAGCCAATCACACCACGGACTGAAGGACTGGAGATTTGGAAGATTGCAAACAGTGTAGATCAGGATCCTGCTCCCCCAGCTTACTGAGTGTGCTTCATTCATTCAGCTAACACAGTTTAGCACCAGGTCCGTGACAGTCACTGTGCAGAGTGTTAAGGTGTTAAGGATAAGAAAACACAGTGGATGCCATCCTTGCCCTCCAGAAGTGCAATCTATGGCAAAGACCAAAAGATGAAGGAGAACTATAATTCTATTTGATGCATTACTTAAAAACCACAATGGGCCCAGAGGAAGCATGGGGAAGCAGATGTAGCGGAGGCTTCGCAGAGGAGCTGATGTTTGATCCAGGCTTCGCATGATGAGGGTGAGTCACCCAGTGAGAATTGGGAGGAAGAGTCTGCTCAAAGTGGGATCCAGGACCAGCAGCATTGTATCTCCAGGAGCTTGTTAGAGATGCAGAATTTCAGGCTTCACCCCAGACCTGCCAGATCTGCATTTTAACAAGTTATCTGGCTGATGAGCACGTACACTGAAGTTTAGAAAGCTCTGTCGGAGGGTGAGTCTGTAATTTCAGCCTCGTGTGCACCCAGTAGGTGGCGCTGTGGGGTGGGGGGGGGAATGTGTTTCCCAAGTCTGGCTACCTTTAAACTATATCCTGAGGGCAATGATGACCTGTTGCAAAACCCTAGCAGTTTAGCAAGTAGATTGCACACCTGGTCCTTGAAAGTCATCAGTCTGCAGATCAACCTGCTCCCAGTTTCCCAAAACAGCATTTCTACAATGTTTGTGGAAAGCGATATTCCAGAATTTGTGATACTAGAAAATAGATTCAGAAAATAGATGCCTCTGGCACTGTCCTTCACACTGCTCTGAGCCTTAAAATAGAGTCTGAGCTGTATAGACCCAAGTGTGACTTCCCCACCTAGTCTGGATTTCCCCAGCAGAATCAGAAAATGATCTTTGAGTGAGAGGTTCTCAGGAAGGAGTATTATTTTGTGTTTCGATCATTCAGGATCTCTCATGTCTTAGGCACTTTCTGATGAATCCTTACCGAGCTTGTATTCTCTTGTTGTTGTTTCTCTCTGGCACTGTGATTTATTCTTAAATTTCCAAATTGTGGAATCCATCTGGTTCTTGATGTCCAGAAATATCTCTAGGACTGAGCTGGGTGGGGCTTCAGACGCAGGCCTGGCCTCAAAATTGGGCTCCATGATTTACGGGACCTGTACAAAGCTCCCTTTCTCATTCCAAAAAAATGAAGATAAAAATGCTCATCTCTCAAGTTATTGCAAGCATCAGAATATAATCCATGCAAAGATTGCTAAATCACTGCCTGGCATATGGAATATGCTTAATGAACAGATGCCATTGCTCGTCATAGCATACAGATTCATGTCTATTGAAGTAGACCAGGGCTACAAACGGTGGCTTGCAGAAGCCGGGAGCAGAGAAAGACAGTGGCTACTGTATTGGTGACTTCTGATGTTCTTGCTGCCTCTGCCTGGTTCTGTCCTGTTTGCTGCGCCCACTCCATCTCCGCCTCTAATCATCACATTGCCGTCTCCTAGCATGTCCGCGTCTCCTCTCTTCTTCTATAAGGAGTAGGGGCCCACCCTACTTCAGTATGACCTCATCCTCACTAATTTTATCTTCAAGGACCCGATCTCCAAATAAGGTCACATTCCAGGCTAATGGGGCCTGGGACATCAATATATCTTTTTGGTGGACACAGTTTAACCCATAACAGAGTCTTCGGGGGGTTAGTCTGCTTCTCCTCAGTCTTACCCGTAACACCAGGCCAAATGAAGCCTGTGTCATTTACAACGAGCAGTAGCACCTCACATGCTAGAGCTGGAACAGTTAAGGCCAGGTCCCTAAGGCTCACATAGCTGGCACTGGCTGGGCGCTGTGGCCAGAGCTTGCTGATGTACCCCAGCGTTCAAGCCACGAGAGGCAAGCCCCCACCGAGCCAACACACATTCCAGCTGTTATTTTGCTTCTGGAAATCCATAACCTGTTTCTTTAGGTTCCCAGCAAATACCCTATATATTAGTGTTTTAGGGACTTCTTGAAGTGAGCTAGTCCCCCCACACCTTTCCATGGGACTGAGAGCTGAGGGTGGTTAAACTGTGTCCACCAAAAGGATATGTTGAAGTCCCAGGCCATTCTGCAATGAGGTGCCTTCAAGGTAGTGGGTGCATGCAGGGCAGGGTCCTGCACATCTGCTTCCTCCTTCCAGACTTAATTATCCTCTTCTTCTCTGACTGTGAGTCTGGGAGGCAGAGAGTGGCAGGGAGTTTTGGTTGCATGGAAATTCCTTCACAGGGAAGCAGAGGGAATAGAAGTAAGGGTCTCTCCTAAGTCATCACCACCATTTTAATTATGGGTTAATTTCACATGCAGAGTAGCCAGACATTTGGTTCAACATTATTCTGTTTGTGCCTGTGAGGGCATTTCTGGTTGAGATGAACGCTTGAAATAGTGGGCCCAGGAAAACAAATGGCCCTTCCCAGCGTGGGTGGGCATTGTCCAATCCATGAAAGGCCTGAATGGAAGAAAAGGCTGAGTGGGAAAGAATTCTCTCTCTGCCTGTCTTCGAGCTGGGGTGTCAGTCCCCACTTCCGCCTTTGGACAAGGGCTCAGACTTGGGCTGGAACTTACAGCATCAGCTCTCCTGGTCCTCAGGTCTTCTGGCTCAGACTGGAACCACACCACTGCCCTTTTGGGTCTCCAGCTTGCTGACTGCAGATCTTGGGACTTCTCAGCCTCTGTAATCACGTGTGCTAATTTTTTAATAATAAATCTATTTTTCTATATAATCTCCTGTTGGTTCTGTTTCTCTGGAGAACCCCAACTAGTACATTAGTAAATGTGACCTCCAGCATATTTGGGGATCCAATGAGATTTTGAAAGAGCAATGCTTTCTGACACATGATTTCAATAATCTTAGTAGTTAAAATAATTGGTATTTTTAAGCAAAGAGATCTTAGAGACGTTCTCCCCAACCCTCCCCTGGTGATCTCTCCATTTCTCCCAGCTGCTTTTCTGTTCTGGTGTAGGGAAAATTCACACATGGATGACTTTTATCTGTTTCTCCATTGCTTTCTGTTTGTTACAAAAAGAAAAAAGATGATTGCTCAAATCCATTTTGAAAGTAGCTGGGATATATAATCCTTCAAGGGTGCCATACACAATAGGTTTTTTGCTGACAAGCCTCCCTGAGTCACAGATTTCGGGGCTCATGCACCTGTTCAACTCAAAGCTCTAGTGAGAAAGTCTTTCCTTGCACTTGATTTCTGATTCAGAGGAGTCTGGAGCGGTAAGCATGATCAAGAATTTGGGGTTATTTACAAAGTAAAAATTGATGGTCTGTGAAACCTGCTCTTCCTTACCTAAACTCAAACCCTCAAGTGGTAGGAGAACTAACTAGGCCTTTCAGTATGTTCTAAATGCAAGGAAATTTGGCTTGTTCTCAACCCAGTTGATGCCATGGAGCAAACCAGGCTAATTTTTGTATCCCTGGAACGAAGACAGACCTCGACAGGCTTCTGCGTGGAAAGTGGGGAGGAAATGGAAGAGGAGACTTGGAATCCATAGCAGAGTCCTCCGCTGGTGTTCGTCTAACAACGACCCATTCTCCTAAATTCTTAAGTCCCACAACGACAACTTGTCAACCTGTTCAAATGACTTTGTGATTCTATTTAAGAAAAAGAACCATGGCATCTCCCTTTCATAAATTAAGTGCAAAACTCTGAGTGCTTTTTGCCTTCCTTCTTTTGACCAGAGTACCATTTTACTCATCTCAATTATAATTTGTTTAACAGGTTTCATTTGCTTTTCCCCACTTAATACACAAACCCTTTTATGTGTTTAACTGCTATTTGTTTAAGAGGGTCTGCAATGAATAATGCAACGAACAGCCAAATTTTTCATGTAATAATTTTTTATGAACCATACAAAGACAACTCGAGTTTTATAAATCCAAATGAACTCACTAGCAGCAAGGGTCTCAGTCCTTAGGAGCTGCTTCTCTTTCTATATGTTTGAATTATTAATCTATCCAACCTCATCTTTTCCCTTAGCTGCTAAATTTACAAGAAAGGAACCAGCTAAACCTAGCTAGAGATTTGCATGAAATCTGATTTTTAAGAGCCAACAAATTCAGCCAAGAATCACCTTGTCTTCTGTACCCTACTTGTATTTGTAGGTTAGAACCTTAATGCTATGCCTGTAAAAAACAACAACAACAACAACAAAACTCATGCTGGCTTCCTCACACCTGAAAAGCAGATGTACAGAAAGATCTGGGACAGAGCAGCTGATTTTGGGCGGAACAACATGCATAAACATTCATTGTCTTTCTTTTTTCCTTTCTTTACCTCTAACATTGCGGCCAAGGTTGGAAACATGGGTGGATGAAGGGTTTAACTTCTTTGAAATACTAAGTATGGAACTTTGAACCGTGCTTGACTTCCCTGGATCAAGCAAGAATTGGAGGCTGAGCTCAGAGAGCTTGAAGGAAGCATTTGTTTTTCTACAGTATGAGGTGGATGTAGATGAAGACTGGTTTGGTCAAGGAGGAGGAAATAGTTCTTGCATGAGCCATTGGTGTCATGTGCTTTGAATGTCTGTTGATTGGAAACAGTGATCATCTGTGAGTGGATAATCTGGCTATAGAGGTGACCACTTGGATTTGATCTGAGGCCATGTCAAGGCATGTCTAGCAAATAGAAGAATGTAGTCCAAATGAGTGCTTGGTTGCATGTCTCACTAAATGTTATCTTCCGTTATAAAACCAAAAGAAATGATTTTTGAATTAAGCATTGTTTTGACAATTTATATTTTAATTCATTCAAAGGAATGGTGAGTTTGTCAGGCCACAATAACCTGCCGGTCATTTTCCTTTTCAAATCCATCCTCACAGAGAATTTGCTATTTATGCTGATGATTTGGAGTGAGGAGTTAAAGAATAGTCTTATTATTGCCCTTATATGGGAAGTGATATAGCATCTATGTGAAATGCTAATGACTCCTCCTTTCCTTCCATATCGAGAGAGAAAGAGAGTTTATTTAACACTTTTGCCTACTTGAGTAATGTTTCATTTCTTTTTTTCTTTTTCTTTTTTTAAATTTTATTATGTTATGTTAGTCACCATACAATACATCATTAGTTTTTGATGTGGTGATCCACGATCCATTGTTTTCGTATAACACCCAGTGCTCCATGCAGTACGTGCCCTCCTTAATACCCATCACCGGGCTAACCAATCCCCCCTCTCCCCTCCCCTCTAAAGCCCTGTTTGTTTCTCAGAGTCCATAGACTCTCATGGTTCATCTCTCCCTCCAATTCCCCCCCCTCATTTTTCCCTTCCTTCTCCTAGTGTCCTCCATGCTATTCCTTATGTCTCACAAATAAGTGAAACCATATGATAATTGACTTTCTCTGCTTGACTTTTTTCACTTAGTATAATCTCCTCCAGTCCCATTCATGTTGATGTAAAAGTTGGGTATTCATCCTTTCTGATGGCTGAGTAATATTCCATTGTATATATGGACCACATCTCCTTTATCCATTCACCTGTTGAAGGGCATCTCAGCTCTTTCCACAGTTTGGCTATTGTGGACATTGCTGCTATGAACATTGGGGTTAAAACTCTTCAGAGTATAGGGATAGAGGGAACATTCCTCAAGTTCATAAAATCCATCTATGAAAAACCCACAGTGAATATCATCCTCAATGGGGAAAAGCTGAGAGCCTTTCCCTTAAGATCAGGAACACGTCAAGGATGCCCACTCTCACCACTATTGTTTGACATAGTACTAGAAGTCCTAGCAACAGCAATCAGACAACAAAAAGAAATAAAGGGTATTCAAATTGGCAAAGAAGAAGTCAAACTCTCTCTTTTCGCAGATGACATGATACTTTATGTGGAAAACCCAAAAGACTCCACCCCCAAATTACTAGAACTCATACAACAATTCAGTAATGTGGCAGGATACAAAATCAATGCACAGAAATCAGTTGCTTTCTTATACACTAACAACACAACTGTAGAGAGAGAAATTAGAGAAACAATTCCATTTACAGTAGCACCAAAACCATAAGATACCTCGGAATAAACCTAACCAAAGAGGTAAAGGATCTATACTCTAGGAACTACAGAACCCTCATGAGAGAAATTGAAGAAGACACAAAAAGATGGAAAAATATTCCATGCTCATGGATCGGAAGAATAAACATTGTTAAAATGTCTATGCTACCCAGAGCAATCTATACCTTCAATGCCATCCCGATCAAAATTCCAATGACATTTTTCAAAGTGCTGGAACAAACAATCCTAAAATTTGTATGGAATCAGAAAAGACCCCGAATCGCCAAGGAGATGTTGAAAAAGAAAAACAAAGCTGGGGACATCACGTTGCCTGATTTCAAGCTATATTACACAGCTGTGATCACCAAGACAGCATGGTGCTGGCACAAAAACATATAGACCAATGGAACAGAATAGAGAACCCAGATATGGACCCTCAACTCTATGGTCAAATAATCTTTGACAAAGCAGGAAAAAACATGCAATGGAAAAAAGACAGTCTCTTCAAAAATGGTGCTGGGAAAATTGGACAGCCACATGCACAAGAATGAAACTCGATCATTCTCTAACACCATTCACAAAGTAATGCTTCATTTCTAAGGAGACAGACCGTTAGTCTTGCATGACTTCAGTTCGACATTTGCTTTAGGAGACTGGATTTGAGCACATCAGAGATGTGCAAGAAGCTGAAGATTTAATGAAACCTGCTGCTTTAATGGAATTAATGGCATATTTGAGATGCTCCTTAGTTGATGGTTTTTAGATCTAGAGAATCTAGTAAGCGCATGAGGAAATAAATCCCCTCCCCCATTCCCCTGAATGAGGAGACAAAGTGACACCCAGGTGTGTTCTGATTGTGTTGATAGAGCATCTGGTCACTCTCACCTTTGGATGGACCCAGAACAATGGCAGAGACAAAGATACTGGAAGCCAACAGCCTCCATGCAAATCTTTGCGCTCCTGGGATTTTATATTTGCCTTGTTCCTTTCCTAGCTGGGGTGTTGACCCACTCTGATAATCAGCAATTTTCATGGACAAAGTGATATGCACAACTAACATGGTTCAGACAGTTTTTACCACAATCTGGGCAAGTTTCCTTATGTGGATATTTGATTTTGGAAAGTAATTTTCCATTTTTGTTGTTGTTTTTCATTAAGCCAGTGTGTGTGTTCATTAGTTACACCTTTACATCAGTTGATGCCTTCATCTGTTACTAAGCTCCATGATATGAAAGCTATCTCATGTTTTCTTAGATTTTTTTTGCCTTTATGGTTTTTTTTAATTGAGATACAATTGATATATAACATTATTTTAGTTTCAGGTGTACAACATAATGATTGTGAAATGTTCACCAGAATAAGTCTCGTTAACATCTGTCACCGTATAGTTACAAAACTTTATTTTCCTTGTGATTGAGAACTTTTAAGATTTACTTACTCTCTTAGCAACTTTCAACTATGCAAAACTATTAACTATAGTCACCATGCTGTGCATTACATCCCCATGACTTACTTTATGACTGGAAGTTTATATCTTTTTTTTTTTTTTAAGGTTTTATTTATTTATTTGCCAGAGAGAGACATAGCGAGAGAGGAAACACAAGCAGGGGGAGTGGGAGAGGGAGAAGCAGGCTTCCCGCGGAGCAGGGAGCCCGATGTGGGGCTCAGTCCCAGGACCCTGGGATCATGACCTGAGCCAAAGGCAGATGCTTAACAACTGAGCTACCCAGGCGCCTGGAAGTTTATATCTTTTGACCTCCTTCACCCATTTCACCTTGGTAGATTGTTTTTAAAAGTATCTTTATCACTCTTTGTCTCCTTTGTAACAGGCTTACTTGGGTCAATTCTATATGAAACTTTACAGAATGAAAGTTCTGTCCAATAACAAAATAACTTGGCTGCATTGTTCACTTGAAAATGACAACATGATTGCTTAGCCTTCCTTTCAAACATGGAATTTTGGCTTGTTTAGAGCTTGTTCTCTGTTCTAACAATCACCCACAGCGATTACTTCATTCATTTGTATTTCTAAGAAACTTTAAAACTCTTGGAGGCATTGAGGTTTAATGGGTGTGGGTAGAGGTGGGAGGAGGAGGAGAAATGTTAGAAACCATGATTAAGCCACTAACTTGTTGGGTAATGTTGGAAATTCAGCCTCCCCAACGGTCTCTTGGTTTACAGAATGAGGCTAACAGTACATGCCTGACATCTTACACCATTGAAGGCATCAGTTTGGTACACTATACAGGACATGCAGAAACTTACTTCGTTTTGAGCTTTATATACCCCTTAATGATAATAATAGTAAACACTTATTGCGTAACTACTTTGTGTCTGGAATTACTTTAGTTACTTCCAACTTAATTCTTCCAACACTCAAATAAGGTAGCTTTGCATGACCCCCATTTTACAGATGAAGAAACTGAGACAGAGAGGTTAAGGAAGTTGCCTGAGGTTATAATGCTGGTAAGTGGTCAACTTATGAATTGAACCCAGACAGTTTGGCTCCAGAATGAAGAACTTGAAACAATGCCAGGAAATGATTTTCACCAAGTTTAGCTGGAACTGGGCTTGAAAACTCTCTCAAATGCTGCTTCTCTGGCTGTGGCAAGAGCTGAATAGATACTCCTACATTAATGGAAATTAGACATTCTCCTTGGCTGATCTTATCCCTCAAATCATTTTCAGCTGTTTCAGAGCCTTGGAATTGCTGGAAATGTTTAAACACCGCATTGTTGATTTAACTTACTTTGGTGTTTTGAATCCCCTCCCCACCTGAGTTTTCTCTCTGTTGTGTGTTACTCTGCGATACTGATGGACCATTGTTACCCACCCCATGTCGAGACCTTATGGACTATGAGTCTCAGAGACTTAGACTGTGTTATGGTGAGCTCGATGGACAGTCCCCAGGGGAGTATGTGACCAAGTGATATTCCAAAAAAAACTCAGGAGCCTGGAGTGACCTGGTTGGCTCTAGAATTCACCCAGAGTTTAGATCATATTTTGTGGAACTGGCCTGGCCAGAGATAATGTGTCCTCACTGTGTCTGTTGGTCCAAGTCACAAAACAACCCCAATTCAGTCTGGTCTTCCGGTATTAAGTTACCAGTTAAACTCTGATGTCAACTCAGAGTGTGTGGAAGTCCTACACTACATTGGATTAGACTGCCTTCAGACTGGGAGCAAGATGACCCCGTGAAGAAAAGAATTCCAATGTCTGTGTGACCTTCTAATGACAAAAATAGGCCAACCATTAACATTTATTTAGCACTTAAAAAGACATGCCACAAATAATTGCAGTTGAGCTCCACAAATTCTTATGGTTTCGAGAGATGAAGCATTATTATGCACATTTCCAATGTGGGAAATAAAACTCAGAAAAATCAGGACAATAAGGCCTGTACTGTGGACTTAACCACAAGCCTCAGACACCAAGCCTTCCGATGGCCCCGTGATGCAGCATCTCTTTTATTCCATCGTATCTCTCAATATACTTAGAGGCAACTCAGTTTTTCATGCTGTCTCATAAAATGGTACCTCCCAAATACCAGTGGTAGAGCATAGCAAAATCGGAACTCCAGAAGGCAGAGAGGCTGAATGGCTAGAAAAAGGGAGTGCTACAAAGGAAGTGGTGAAGAAGAATCCAGGGGTGAAGATAGTGAAGAACATAGTGTACCCTTTCATGCTTATTCCTTCTCAGTATTATTTAGTAGGCAACAATTAAGAAACCCCGAAAGAAGAACACTTTTAATCAAATATATTTTGTACCAGTGATCATGGAAGAGGGAGTAGAGGGGCACTGACAGTTACTGGAGGATTTTGACATCTCCTTTGTGCTACGGTAAGGTCGTATTTCTTCATCTTTGCCCCAACCCAGGTAGGCAATAGTCCCTCCATTTTACAGATGAGTAAACTTAGGATCAGAATTGGAAATAACTTGGCCTGAGCTCACACAGCAGGGAGTGTCTGTATCAGAATTTGAAAGCAAAATGTCTGTTGTTTCTCACTTTCTTGGTCTGCCTCTCTAAAGCCTGGAGGTGAGAGGAAGCGCTGAATATACTAGTGTGCGGTAACACTTTATAAACACTTGCCACCAGCACACATTTGAAATGAGAACTTTAATAAAGGAAACATAAACATGCAGTGGCTAGAATGAGCGGACACTTTTTGAATGCATACTTAATTTTCTTGCTACTGCTGGCGATTGAATTTAGTTTGCCTTGAACGTATCAACCATCGATGTGACTACCAATATACATTGAGGTGTGTTTTCACTAAGATTTAAGTCATACAAGAATTGATGTTGGTTTTGTAGGATCCTCTATGGTTTCTTCTTAAACACTGCGCCTTGGATTTATGTGGGTATGTGTTTGTTTTGTTTCGTTTGTTTGTTTACATCTGAATTGAGAATGAGGGCACCCGCTTGTCACCCAAGTCCACATGTTTAAGTATAGGTGAAAGGACATGTATAAAACCTTTTGAGATGTGGAGCATGAAGAGATCCCTAACTAGACGTACGTGAAAAAATACCAAACTCTGCCGTTAGGCTTTCTATAAAGGATTTTCTCCTCCAGTGACATGGCCATTTCTGCATTTTAAAATCTCTGGAACATTCCTGTGGTGATCGTTTTTATCCTGTCTGAACTAAAGCTCAGTTTAACTGTTCAGTATTCACAGAGTCAAGTGGATCAAGCCCCAGGATGGCTCGAACCTGGCCAATGGAAGTGGCCACATTCCTGCAAGATAAGGTCTGTTACCAACTTCACAGGCATTTGTGTGAAGCTTATTTTTCCATTCGGGTTCTGAGAGCCACAGTAATTTTCCATGTGTCCATCCTCTCCGGATGCCCTGTTGAAGATTCTGTTGAACGATGAACTCCAGCTGAAATGATCTTTCCCCGGAAACTATGGAGAAATGACCACTTGAACTCAGACTCTATTAACAGTTTTATTGTCTCAGACTGTGCTCATCAGAGTCTGATCCAAGTCAATTTCATCTTTTCTTGGAGCCAGATTTGTTCTTAGGCTCTTAGGAAAATGGCTATATTTTCATTTCCTTTCTTGATATACTTACTGTCTTCTTGTTGCAGTACGTGTATATGTTGACATTGGAAATCTAACAAGCCTTCCTTATTGGTTGCTCAATTAACATATTACTGGTTCGAGTTACTGATGTGGACAAGTTTTGTAGTTATAAAAGCTATGGCTGGACCTAGGGGACAATAGAATAGCTAAAGAAAATTTGTGTTATGAGGTCCTGAGAATAAAAAGGAAGAAAAGAGGCCATCACGTTTCTGCAGGATAACTCTTAAGTTATCTAGTTAATCTTTTTTTTTTTTTAATATTTTATTTATTTATTTGACAGAGAGACAACGAGAGAGAGAACACAAACAGGGGGAGTAGGAGAGGGAGAAGCAGGCTTCCCGCTGAGCAGGGAGCCCGATGCGGGGCTCGATCCCAGGACCGTGGGATCATGACCTGAGCCGAAGGCAGACGCTTAACGACTGAGCCACCCAGGCGCCCCGTTATCTAGTTAATCTTGTCTCAGCTCTCCTAAAGGCATTCTCATGCTTGGCTTTTTAGATAGTTGTCTCACAAAAGTATAAGTACAGTGGACTGCTTATGTGTCATCTAGGCAGGACTAGAGGAAAAAAAAATAAGATACTGAGCTGGTTATTCCAATATCCTATCAATCTGTGGCCAAGAGTCTGAGGTCCTTTTTAATCTTCTTTCTGTTGCTTCCACTTTCTGGTGGGGACTGCTTCACTCCTCCCTGTAACATTAGCTTCACTTGGTCTCCAGGACCAATCTTTACTCTGGCTGGAGAGATGTAAGGAGTTGCAACAGTGTTCTCTGGACCTCTTCACCAAATGACATTTATTTTTATTTGGTTCTGTTTTTGTGTCTGGTCATTGGAAATGGAGTACTGCCTGATCCCAAGACTATAAACCTATAGGAAACATGACAGTGTGTACTAATGCAAAGACAGACAAATAATGGTTCAGTAGAATAGGACAGAGTCCACAAATAGACTTACAGAATTGATTTTTGACAACCGTGCCAAGCCAGTTCAATGGGGAAAGGATAATCTTTATAACAAATGGTGCTGGAACAACTGGATTCCATGTGCAAGTAAAGTGTTCCCAATCCATACTTTGCACTATGTACAAAAAATAACTCAAAATGGATTGTAGACCAAAATGTAGGAGCTAAGACTAACAACAACAACAACAAACAAAACTTCTGTAGGAAAACATAGGAGAAAATATTAGTGACTTTGGGTTTGCCAAGACTTATTAAATAAGACATAAAAAGTCCAAATGATGAAAGAAAAAAATCAATGAGTTGAACTTCATTACACTTCAAACCTTTTGCTTTTCAAAAGACACTTTTTTTTTTTTTAAGATTTTTATTTATTTATTTGAGAGAGAGAGAGCATGAGGGAAAGGCAGAGGAAGAAGCAGACTCTGCTGAGCAGGGAGCCCAAGGCAGGGTTGATCCCAGGACCCTGAGATCACGACCCAAGCTGAAGGCAGCTGTTTAACCGACTGAGCCACCCAGGCACCCCTCAAAAGACACTTTTAAGGAAAAAGGAGGGGGGGGAAGACAGGCCACAGGCTAGAAAAAGATATTTTCAATGTATCAATCTGACAAGAACTTGATTCCAGAAGATGTAAAGTATTCTTATAAATCAATAATAAAAAGACCAACAACCCAATAAAAAATGGGCCAAATATTTGAATAGACACTTCACTAAAGAAGATGTATGAATGTCAAAAAGGTACATGAGGAAATGCTCAAAATCATTAGTCATGGAGGAAACGCCAGTTAAAGCCACAATGAGACATTACTACAGACCAATTAGAATGGCTAAAATTTTAAAAGATTAAAAAGACTGAATACATGATGTATAGGTGAGGATATGGAGCAAGCAGAACTCTCACTCACTGCTAGGGGAATGTATAATGCTATACTCAATGAAAAAAAAAATTCGGCAGTTTTTTAAAAAGTTAAATATACTCTGACCATTTGATCCAGTCATTCCACATCTAAATGCTTACCCTAAAGAAGCAAAGTATATGGTCCATACAAAGACTGTACACCAGCGTTCATCGCAGCTTTATTTACAATAGCATAGAACTGGAAATAACCCGAGTATTCATCAGTAGTTCAGTGGACAAACTGAAATATGCATACAATGAAATACTATTCAGGAATCAAAAAAATAATTAACTGTTGAAACATGCATCAACATAGATGGATCTCAAACTAATCATGCTGAGAGAAAGAACCCAGGGAAAAGCATACAATAAGACTCTATAAAGTTCTAGAGAATGTAAACTAATCTGAGGGGCCAAAACCAGATCATTGATTGCCTGGGGACATCAAGGAATGGGGAGAGCAGAGAGAGATTACAGAGGGACACAAGGTGACTTCTGGCAGGTGATTTATCTATTTATTTATTTACTTGATTGTGGAAATGGTTTCCAGGTTGTATACCTATGTTACAGCTCCTCAAAATGTGCATTTTAAATATGTGCTTTTTATTGCATATCAGTTATACCTCACCAAAGGAAAATGAAAACTCATTTAACCACAAAAGAAATGCTAATGTATCCTACTAATGAAAGTTTTTTAAAAAACAGATTGTGATCCCCTTTCTACTTGGCATCTTATTTCTAGGACATTCTCCCCATGCATGAGCCCCCTTGTCAGCCTGTAACTATAGGGCTTGCTTCAGCCTGTCCCCCAATTTAATACTCTGATACCTTCTCACCAATTTCATTCTTACCCATCTGAGTATTGAGAATCCAGTGGTAGGATTCTCACTATCCTACCACTGGATTCTCCCCAGCTGAGCTTTTCCTCTCCATCGGGGTACACTGTTAGTCTGCATCTTGCCCTTGCTGTCTATGACGGCACACCTGCGTAACAGTGTACTTTTCCCTTGCTCTCTACAATGATGTTGGCCAGACCACATTTTATTTCATTTGTGGGACCTAGGACTTTCCCATTGCTTATCCTGCCCCACCCCCAGATTTCTTCCTCATCAGTTGCTAAAACTTTATCTGACACTGACTTCTGAAATTTGATTAGACATGTCAATAACGTGTCTATAACATGTCTATAACATGACTGTGGTCAAAATTTAAGAACATGTTGCAATAATACACCATTTTGCCAATTTGTGCTGAAATGTTATAGATCCATGTATAATATTTAAATAGGGGAAGATTAAAGTCTTTACACCGTAAATTTCCTTTGATATTTGAACCTCAAGACCTAACATAGACCCGAATTTCTGTTTTATGATTTATTAGGAGTGAAATTTTGTATTTGGTTTATTTCCCTTTGTTGTTTTTAAAGCTGCACTTGCCTCCATTTTTCCTCACCTGTGTGCATTTCTTCTTTCCCTTTTATCAATCTGAAATATAAATGCCAATGTATCTTCTTTTACATCTGACTTATTTACAGATCTTTCGTTTCTCAGTTCTCAGATGTTCTCAGCTATCTCAGTACCCATGGCTGTACCGGCATTTCTGTTTTCATTTGTTGATTTCTTGTTGGTGAGTGATTCTCTTGCCTCTCTTACTTCTGATTTTCTCTGACTTCCTGTATTAGGATGGAAACAACTCTTGCATCAGCAAATGGCTGGGTAAAAAGCATTCACTCATCCACTTTACGTGGCAAGTTTTATCTGTGTGATCTAAATGTAGGACTGTTTCTGTGAAGCAGTGATTGTCTTGATGGTTAAGGAGTTTTGCCTTTCCGGGATCAGCTTTTCTCCAGTCGTTAGATACAGGCGTACTTGGAGACCAGCTCTACCTACACCAAAGTCACTTCTGTGGCTTCTTCTTCCCTCTGGGTTCACCTTTTCTCCTTTCCATCATACTTCCCGGAGTAGAAAGAATTTTACTCAAGCCACAGGCCAACACCACAGCCTCCTGTGTCATGCGCAATTTTAAAAGCCTATTTCATTCTCTGTTTGGAAGTTTGTGTTACTACCCACAGGAAAGAAATGCCTTAAAAGATTTCATTTAAATTCCAGCTTATCTGGAATTGCTGATAACCTTCATTCAGATTCCATTGTTAAAGGACTTGTGACCGACATACGGGCCTGATTTCCCTGATAGGAATTATATTCCTGGATGGAAAAGTTATCAGAATTTACCAAGTAACTTTGCCCCTCATTCATCTGGTACAGTGTGTTGTAAGACTACTTAAGTTCTTGAGGAACAGAGTTAAAGAAGATACGCCGTAAAAGCTCTTGGCCAATAAAAAGAGCAAGGTGAAATGTGAAGCAATTTCAACTTCCCCAAAGTGTCACCTATAATGGAAAAAGTTAATGGAATCACAAAGGCTTGTTTTATCCATTTGCCCTCACTGTATTAATCCACAGTGATATCATCATTTCCTTTCGGGGAGTTCTGAACAGAAGCTACCCAAAAGTACATGTACCTTTAGTTTTCCTGACTTTGCATGACCAAACTGAGTTCAATTTTCCTCAGTGTGGTATTTATATACGCAACTTGCCCATTTACTGAAAACATGAATGACTTTGACTCAAACTTGGAGAACCAATAAACATCCTTTAGCAGCGGTGAACCTGTCAGCACATGGAACTAAGGTTTATGGTCATGCAAATGTCTTGTACTTCATTTGGGTCAAATACAACAAACAGTGAACTAATTAGCCTTAAGTAAACTGGCTTTAATTTCCACAGACAGTGGAACCAATTATTTCTTAGAGAAAGGTTTATTTTTACTCTAGGGCAAGGGTCTGTAACTCCTTGGAACACCCCTGAATGATTCTCCAAATCAGGCCAGATGAAATTGGCAAGTCACAGATGGTTACCTTGATGTGTAAATGGTAGGGTCCTTAATTAGGCTCATTGACATCACTGAGAAAGGAGCCTAGGAATCCATTTGCGCAGGGATAAGATTAAAAGAAGATCATCTGCCACTTAATGCTGCTTATGAGGGAAATTTATAAAACAACAACAGAACTGTTCTTTAGCAATCTACTTAACTTCCAGCCACAGACTTTCTTTTGATTTGAATGCCTGATACATATTCAGTAGCCATATCTCTATTTTAATATTCCTGATGTCTATTACTTATGGCTCATTTTGTCTTGAATTTAATACCTGAAGGATTCAAGGTTATTTAAAGGATTCCAGACCTCTAACTATTCCCCAGAGCTTTAATCTCTGAAACAGAAAACTTCCTGATTAGAAAAACAGACGCCTGCTTTAGCCCCTTGAAACACTGAACTGTTAGAGATATTGTCCAAGGTTTTTGGTGGTTTTTCTCTGCGTGTATTGAATAAATTCTGGAAGAGTGGGTCTTAACATTTCATTTGAGATTTTAAAAAAATTATGTAATAGGAATCTACCATAAGCCTTACTTTATTTAGATATACACATGTGGGTTCTGTAATTGTAAGTCTCTACAATATAAACTACATGTTGAAAATTGTGTATATTCAGTTTTATGTTTGCATACTATTTACGTGCTAGAAAATTTCTCAGAATGTGGTTCAAATGGATCTTACTGTAAACTGGGATGTGGTTAATTTGTCATGACACATGTAGAGTGCCTGCTTTAGAAACACCCGTGCTCCTGGTGTGGCCATGTCAAGATGGTTACTGATGTCAGGACACATTTTAGTCCAAGTTTCATTTAAACATCCTGTGTCAGCCAGTCCAAGGTGTGGAAATAAGCAGAAGCTGTATTTCTTAGTGTGGTATCAGAATTGAAATAGAAAAACAACATTTGACTAGATTAATCCCTACTTCCATATATGTGGTGGTATAATCAAACAAAGATCTTGGCTACAGTAAAATGTCTTTATAAACAAACTATGGTTGATCAGTTTGCCTGAAAGTTGTAGTTTTGATGTGCCTGAAATAGTTCTGTTTCCATGGATTCAGACATGTCAGCCATTTCCCATGGTCTTGGGGGGAGCAAGAGAGTCCACTTCTGAAACTTGGAGTCTCAGAACATGAAAAGTGAGAGGACCTCAATGCCTATTAGATGAACTCACTCATTTTATAGAAGCAGGACTGAGAAGCTAAATGAATTGCAAGACCTGGTATCTCACAAAGACTTGACGCAAACTTGAATCACTTGGCCCAGTTCATTGCTGCAGCCAGTAGTCTTATTGTTGCCTCTGAAGTGCTCTACTCTGTGAAGCACGTTCCCATTCACAGAACTCGGCCCTGTTGGAACCCCCAACTTTGATCACCTTGTGCAATAGGATCAGAATTATTTTTGAGTGAATTATTTTATTATACTATGAGTATTTTACAGGAAAAAACAAACTTCTTCATGTGCTTATCCCTTGTTTCACCGTCATTTGGAAATTTTTTCTTTGAGTTCGCAGTAGAAACTGGAACTATAGGCTGTGTACAGAGAAACATAATTTCACAATGTTTGCTAGAGAGTTGATTTGTGAATGCATAGGATTATGGGAATCGGTGTGACTTAGGAACATGTCAAATTGCAAAGTAACACTGGTAAATAGTAAAGATGCACATGCACACATGTAGTTATTATTACAGTAAAAACAAGTTAGAACTATAAACTCTAGAGAATGAATATCTAAAAGATGTGTCAGTTGAGGGGTGCCTAAGTGGGCTCAGAGGGTGCCTGGGTGGCTCAGTCAGTGAAGTGTCTGGCTCGGTTTTAGCTCAGGTCATGTTCTCAGTATCTTGAGATCAAGCCTCATGTTGGGCTCCACCCTGAGCGTGGAGTCTGCTTGAGATTTTCTCTTGCCTTCTCCCTCTGTCCCTCCCCCCACCCCACTCACACGCATAGACTCTCTAAAATAAATAAATAAATCTTAAAAAAAAAAAAAAAGATGTGTCAGTTTGAAAAAGAATAAATCTAGTGCACGAGACAAGTGTAATTAGGAAATTGTCACTTTATATAAAAGATTAAATTATCAACATAGGGCACTCTGGGAGTTACTTACATGAAGGGTAGACTCTGCGTTTTATATATCGTAGAATTAGATGCTGTTAGAAAAATTGGCTAAATTGACATTATAAAAATGGAAATGAGAAAAATCCCATTCATAATCATGTGGGAGAAAAAGCCATGAAATACCTGGGAATGAATTTAATGAGAAAGATTCTACGAAAAGACCTATAAAATTATATTGAAGGATATAAAACAAAATCCGAATAAATGGAAAGAAAGACCATGGCCTGGATAGGAAGACTTAATATAAAAATGTCACTTATCTTGAAATTAACATATAAATTTCATGCAGTTCCAATCAGAATTCATTTTTCTCTTTTTTGAACCACATAAGTGATTCTAAAGTGTGTATGGAAGAATAAACATGTGAAAATGGCCAAGAAAATTTTGAAATGGAGCAACAACAAGGAAGCTTGCCTTACTAGATATGGAAACCTAATTTAAGCTACTTTAAACAAACAGTATAGTATTGGCCTACCACAAACAATTCTATAGAACACATAAAGATCATTTAACATACAATTAAAGATAGCAGTATAAGTCATCAAATAAATATGTGTTATTCAATTAATGAAATTGGAAGAACTGGCTGTGCTTTTGTAAGAGAATAAAATTTTATTCATACTTTATTATATAACAACAAATTACAGATGAATGAAAAATCTGAATGCTAAAAAGACACTTGGAAGACACTCCAAGCAGATATTTGTGTAATCATCATGTGGTGATTTTTTTGTTGTTGTTGTTGTTTTTTAAGCAAGACTAAAGCCATAAAAACAGAAAAAGAAGTGACATACTTTATTTCATGAAATTTAAAAACATATGAAAGACAGTCTTCATATAATGGACATTTTAAATCTTTTCTGACTAGTCAACAATTTTGAATGCCATTCAGATGCTTGGGGAATTAATCCCATTTATAAATTCTGTCTTCCTAAGGTAGAAGCAGAAATCCACTTTCCCAGGCCCCCTTGCAGCTGGTATTGGGACTTTAGCCTAGTGTTTAAGATGCACCCATTCATTCTAAATTCTCATTCAGAAAAGTGTGATGTGAAGAAGGAGGTGACTCATGGAGCTAATTATATCAAGAGCGACAGAGACATGTTCAGCTGTTGTAATAAGCAATGGCAGTGACCTCCGGCATTCTAGGCGTTGGGGGACAACACAGTACCCCATGGAACAATGCCACAGCTTCATTCGGACATTTTCCCTAGCTCTGTGGCTCAGAAATCAGTTGTGTATTTCTCCTTGGAACTTCTGTGATCCGTCTACTACCCTTTAATAAATTTCTTTTCTGCTTAAACTAGTAGGAGAGAGTTGTTTTGCAACTAAGAATTCTGACTGAGTCATCCCCATAAAAGGTCAAAAGACAAATGATAGACTTGAAAAGGATAATTATCACCCAAATAAGAAAGGGTCAAAACAACCAAAGAGGAAAAATATGCAAATGATACTCAAATGATATAAATAGGCAATGTATTAAGAAAAGAAAAATGCAAAAAAAGCTACATAATCTTCTAGGTGATTAGGGCAGCAGTAATAAAGTCACAAATTTCAACCATCATATTTGTTAAAACTTAAAATATGGTTGGAATTCAGGGCTTGTAGGAATGTAGAAAAGTACTCTCATATCCTGTTGGTGGGAATGGCTGTGTGTGAGGCCTTGTGATCTGGCAATACTTTGTACAATTAAAATGTGGACACAAATTGATCTATTAGTTTCATTCACAGAGATTTATCCAAAAACAAATCAAAGCACTTGATTATTAAGATAAACATAAACACACATAAATAGAAACTCAGAGGTTTATCACCGCTTTCTTTGGAAACAGCTGCAAGGACCGTCGGAAGGAGAATGCTTGGTGTAATCTGTACTCTAGGATTCCACAGCACCGTTTAGGTGGGTCTATCTGTGTGGGCTTGGAAGACTGTTCTTGGTATTCTGTTAAATGAAAATGTCAAGGTACAATCTTACCTCGATATAAAAGATTCTGTATAAAAATAAAAGTTAGTATTATAAAAGATACACACGAAATTGCTAATAGTTCTTATGTTGTAAATGAGATACTGGGTGTGGGAGGGAGAAACTATAAGCTTTACTTTAGATGTTTCTATATAGTTCAATTTGACACAGTTGGTTTCACAATCCAAATAATTGTGAAAGAGTCAGAATAGTGAATTCTGTACCAGCATCACAGTTTCATCCAGCAGCCTCTTATTTGTAAAATGATAAGGTGTGGTTGTCAATTTTATTTTCCATTCCGTAACTCCCCAAGGAATGAGCCACCCTAGGCCAAACTCTGATAGAAACATTTTGGTTCTTTGCATACCATCCCCTCTGAAGAGTAGATTCCTATTCCTTCATTCTTTGCTTTCTCACTTTTCACTTTTTCACAAAGAAACTGAATGATCGCCATTACTACCAGTCCCTGAAGCGGACCAGATTTCATTGGAAAGTACTTGGATGCTGGGACTTGCAGAAGAGGAATTAATTAGGAGCAAAAAAGATAACTGCTCAGACTTCTTTGTAGATTTCCTAAGTGATAGGCAGCCATCCAATTTCTCTCTCCAAACTCCCATTAATTATAAGAAGGAAAACAAGTTTATTGTTAATTTAATGTTTACTACTGCCCACACAGTAGCTTGAAATCAAATTTATGACACAGCCATAGGTGGTATATGCGTACTTGATGGTGCATGCAGGCTCTTCACCTAATCTTAAGTGTACAGCACACACATGCCCATTTTGTAGAACTTGGAGTGTAATCCAACTGTTTTTTAAATGCTTCTGGTTGCATTTTCTTTTATTTTTGCAGCATTTCCTATGACATATTATGGCTTTGCAAAAGATTGGGGGATCTTACTTCTCTTAGTTCAAATTCCCTTGTACCAGTTTGCTGTTCGAGGATGGAACATCTATAGTTTCTTAAAGCTGTTGGGTAGTCCATGTAGGTTCTCCATATGTCTGACTATTAAGAGGCAATCTTTTATATTGACAAAGTTGTCATTGTTTTCTATCTTTCACCTGTTGGTCTTAGGGTGGCACAAATATAACTTCAAATTACAAATGTTCATTACTAACATATAGAAATATGATTGATTTTTATTAAATGACTTGTGTTCTGTGACCTTGTTTAGGTTACTTACTAGTTTTGTTGTCAGATCTTTGGGATTTTGTCTGTAGGAGATCACATCATCTGCAAATAAAGACAATTTGAGTTCTTCCTGATTTCTGTGTATTCTGTTTGTTTGCCTTGCATCATTACATCACCTAAGACTCCTGTACAATACTGAGTTGAAGTGATGACATTGTACATCCTTGCTAATCTTGGGAAAAAGCACTCAGTCTTTGGCCATTAAGTATATTTTTAGTTGTAGGGCTTTTAGTAGACATTCTTTATCAGGTTGAAGAAGTATCTTTTTGAAAAACTAGTTTGCTGAGAGTTTTTATTATAGATGTTTGATTTTGTCAAATGCCCTTTTTTGCCACTATTGATCATCTATTGAGATGATCATATGGTTTTTATTTTTCAGTCTTTTGAATTTTAAATTCAGCACTTTTTGAATGTTGAACCAACTTTCCATTCAAGGGGGAGAAAGCATTTGCTCATGATGTGTTAGCTGTTTATATATTGTTGGATTTAATTTGCTCTTTTGTTAAGGATTTTTTTTTTATCCATCAATATGAGGGATATTGGTCTGTCATTTTTCCTATCTTGAAGTAGCTTTGTCTGGTTTGGTGTGAGGATTCCGGAATGCTGATCTCCTAAGATGTGTTGGGAAGAATTCTTTTATCCTATGTTTTCTGGTAGAGCTTGTGTGGAGTTGGCATTATTTCTTTTTTTAAATGTTTGGTGGGTGTCAGTTGTGAAGCATTATGGACCTGCAGTTTTCTTTGTGGAAATGTCTTTGCATTGTGAATTTAGTTTAATGGGTAAATGACTATTCAGGTTATTTTTTTTCTTGAATGAAATTTGGTAATTCATATCTCTCAAGGAATCTGTCCATTTCATTTATTTTATCAAAATTATTGGCCCAGAGACTTTCAGAATGTCATCTTATTATTCTCTTATGTCTGTAAGATCTGTAATGATGTCTCCTCTTTCATTCCTGATATTGGTAATTGTTTCATATTCTCTCTATCCTTCTCCCCTCATCTCTGCATATCAGTCTGACTAAAGGTTTAGCAGTTTTCTCACCTTTTCAAAAGACCAGATTTTGTCATTTTTGTTACTGTTTTTCCATTTCAAAATGATTTCTGTATTGACGTCTGCTCTTTATTATTTCTTCATTTCTGCTTATTTTGAGCTTAATTTGCTTTTCTTTTTTAAGCATTTGATGGTATAAACCCTTAATTACTACTTCCTTTGCATCCCACAAGTTTGATATGTGTATTTTCATTTATCAATTCCAAATTTTTTTTTATTTTGCTTGTGACTTTCCATGTGTTATTTTAAAATATTTCCTTATTTTTTTCATTTATAAAGATACTGGGATTTTCCAGATAATTTCAGATATTGATTTCTAGTTTTATTCCACTGTCATTAGGAAATATACTTTGTGTGATTTCGGGTCATTTTAAATTTGTTGAGATTTATTTTATGACACAGAGTATCTTCTGTGTTGCACTTCAATCTGTATTTAGCTATTACTGAATTAAGTGTTCTTTAAATGTTAATTAGGTCAATTTAGCAAATTGTATTATTGTTCACATCTTCTGTATCCTTAGTGATTTTCTGTGCATTTGTTCTATCAATTATTCAGAGAGGAGTGTTAAAGTCTCTAAACTGTGGATTTCTTTATTTCTCCTTGCAGTTCTATTAGTTTTTGCTACATATATTTTGAATCACTTAGGATCATTGTGCCTTCTTAAGGAATTAGCCCTTTATAATTATAAAATACCCCTCTGTATCTCTAGAGTATTCCTTTACCTGAAATCTACTTTTCTTGGTAATAATATTGCCATTCAAGCTTTCTTTTCATTAGTATTTGAGTGCATTTACTTTAATCTAGCTATGCCTTTTTACTTAAAGTGGATTTCTTACGTACAGTGTAATTGGATCTTGCTTTTAAAAATCATTTAGTATCTCTTCAATCTACTTTTTGCAATTGGGGTGTTCATGTTACCTACATTTTGTAATCGTTGATGTGATTGGCTTCATATCTACCATTTTGCCAGTTATTTTCTTTTCATCTTATCTGCCCAGTTTTTCTTTTTTCATCTTTTCCTGCCTTCTTTTGTACTACTTTGTTGTTATCTTTAAGATTCTATCTTATATTTACTCTTGTTTCTTCTTGATTTAATTCTTTGGAGGGTTCTTTAGGGTTACGGTATATATCATTAGCTTATTACAGTCTACCTTATAGTGTAAGGTCCTTATACCAGTGTACATCCATTTTCTCTTTCCAGCCTTTGTGCTACTGAAGCCATTTATTTTACTTCTACATATGTTATAAATGCTGCAACCTACATAACTGTAGCTTAGACATTCAATTATCCTTAGAAAAAGTATCTTTAACACTCACCTTCATTTTTATCTTTTCTGGAGTTCACTGTTACTTTGTAAAGTTTCAAATTTTATCTGGTCTCATATTCCTTTCTGAAGGACCTCTTTTAACATTTTTTGTTGTGGTTGTTGCTTTGGGCTTAGGTGATAAATTCTTTTAGCTTGTGTTTCTCTAATAAAGTGCTTACCATGATTTCATTTTTGAAACATGTTTTAATGGGGTAAAGGATTTTCAATTGACAGTTTTTTGTTTGTTTTTCTTTAGTACATTAAAGATGTTATTTTACTGTCTTCTGGCTTGCATGGCACCTAACAAGAAGTTTGCTGTCATGTCTATCTTTATTTCCTAAATTATGTTAAGGTACTTTCATCCCTTCCATGGTAAGGATTATACTTTTAATAAAAGAAAGACTCAAGAAAACTGGGGACATTTCATGCCTGCTCCCCATAGCAGCTGATCCTTATTTGCACACCAGCACCACTGAGAAGTGTTCTCACCATTTTCTCTCCCTGCCCCCAATTCTTACCAAGGAGCTGGTGGAAGCCTGTGAAAAAGCCTATTAATAAATAGTGAAACTTTCCCTGTCTTTTGGACTTTCAGCTATTATAAGCTGACCCCCTAGCCCAAGTTCCTTAAGAACCCAATTAGCTTTTAGCTGATTTCTTCTTACCTACTTGTATGGTAGCCACCTCTTCCTCCCATGCTCTGACAAAGGTTGTCTCCTGTCTCTCCTTAGAATTCAGTATAGGTTGCTTTACAAACTCAATTCTTAGATGGGGATCACAAGTTTCTGAGTTTTTATCATTGCTACAATGAGAACAGCATTATCTTGCAACTCTCTGTGTTGTAATTTGCTTTTTAAAGCTGTTCACCATCCTAGATACTCTTTTATGAACAGATTGCAGTTTGTTTATAGCCCACTTAAATTACCCTGAAATAAAAATAATTCTTCAGGTGAACAGAGTAGAGTAGGACAAATAGGGCATATCTCCAGCTATATACTTGTCAGTGTCGTGCATACTGTTGTGTCATGCAAGCTATTGGGTCATAATGTGTTTACTGTCAAAATATCGACCAGGTCTTTTTCATACACCCTGCCTCTTCTAAGCCATTTCTTCCCAACCCTGCACTTTGAACTGATTTTTTTTTAAAGATTTTTTTATTTATTTGAGAGCGAGAATGAGAGACAGCATGAGAGGGAGGAGGGTCAGAGGGAGAAGCAGACTCCCTGCAGAGCAGGGAGCCCGATGCAGGACTCGATCCCGGGACTCCAGGATCATGACCTGAGCCGAAGGCAGTTGCTTAACCAACTGAGCCACCCAGGTGCCCTGAACTGATTTTTTGATCCCTTGAGCAAAGCTTTACAAACTGTCATTTAAAAAGTAGGGTTTGGGGATTAATAGAATCTCTTCGGACCACCTGGATTTGGGGGATCCTGATCTTCCATTTAACAGAGTTGCTGTTCTTTCAATAAGTCACTGATGAAACTATTGAATAGGTCACAGCCGAGTCCAAAGAGGGATCCGCCAGAAATCCCTCCTCTCAGACTTAACATTGATTCATGAATTGCTATGTTTAGCTTGATAAAATCCACTTAAATAATCTTTTTTATTTTTTATTGGTCTTGGTCATAAGATTGATTGCATGATAGTTCTGAGTTGCTTTCTCAGAAGTCCACATATATTATCTATTATATTTACAAATTGTATTTATTTGTGTAATAGCCTTGTCCAAGAAAAGGTTTGTTGTACATAGTAAAGCCATGCTAGCTATTGACAATTATTGTTTCCGCATATAACCACTTTCCCACCATCCCTTAATAATCCATAGTAATATCTACAGTTTGGAGAGTGCCTTGCTCATTTTTTTGAAAAATCTGAATATTTGTCCATTTATTGTTTTATTCTTTTGGCATCATTTACATTTTCCATAATTATTTCAATACCATGTTTGATGGTTTTAGGTACATGTTTCGACTGGTACTCTGGGACATTTTTAACCCGAGGCAGAAAACTGGAACTCACTTGGATCAGATAGCAGCTATTCCCTGTGCTGCTTTATTCTTTTGTGGATTCACACACATTTAGCTATTTTTTTCCCACCATTTTCAAATAGTAGCTCATGAGCATTAGTAGGGAAAACAAAACATAAGGTAGGAGCTCTCTCTTTGTTATTTCTTACTACCTGTTGGCTCCAAGTAGAGTTTTTAGGCCTGCCTTAATCTTAGTTGATCATTTATTAATTTGAGATCAAGTCTTAGATTTTAACCTTTATAAGTTACATTATGACCTTGTTTGTGGGATTGCTCTATGGTACAACTGGAGATCTCCCGTACTTTGTTCTAATTTTGTAACAAATAAAAAAGAAAGTTTATGGGGATATAATGATGGGCCATCATAAATTTTAGTCACTGGCTCACAATTTTGAAAGCCTAGAAAATAAATGATAGTAATTATGTACTAACATCAATCCTAGGCTAATATTCCACATCCAGGCTGGTTGAAGCAGGATTTTTTTCATTTGGAGTGTGTTCCTTTCTTTCCTTTTTATAGTAAAAATGACTGCCAGAATGTTGATCAGTCAAGCTTAATTTCAATCCGTTTGTTTTGGACCAGTTTCATCTGATGGAATCGAACAGGTTTACAGTGTGAAGTGGGTAGACAAGTAGCAAGAAAAAAAAACATTAAATGCTAGTGGATTTCCTGCAGGGCACTAGTTTATAAAACTTGAACCTCTTATTCCTGGAAAAGAGGACTATACTTGATAAACTTAAGCAGTTTCCTAGAAGTTAGAGTAAGAATCGTTGAGTGCAGATTAGCTGCTAATGCTAGTTGCTGTAAAAGTTATCTTAAAATTATAAAAAAAACAAGCTGAATTTATGGCATGAGTAAACTCTGACTTATGTCAATGACAGTGACTTCTACTTTATCCTTCCTGTCTTTTGGGGCAAGAGAAAGCCATGGTCCCGTGTGTGTGTGTAGCTTGGCCATGTAAGAATACAACAAAAGGATATTTTCAAGACATCTTAATGTCTCTAAACAGATTTCTTCCAAGAATTTTAGCAAGTAATGCCTTTTAACTATTTGAAAGAGTTGTTATCTTAGAGCCTTAACTCTTGAAAATATTCTTAGAGTTTGTTTCATGTGGTTGAAACACCTTTGGTCAGCATTACATCTCTTTTTCCTCCTGTTTAAAATTAGATATATTAACAGTGTTTTCATTTAGTTTCTAAAAATGATTCTGTTTCCATAGAGAGATTTTATGCTGGAAATAACTTTCGAAGAGGTCTTTTAAAATCTGAAGTTGTAAATTCAAAAATGATATTGTAATTTGTTTTCCTAAATTGAATTCTTGTCGGTTGTCTACCTGTTCTTTCTCTATTTTAGAAAATGTATTTGGTTGCTATTTTTAGCCACTTTCAAATGTTCCACCAGATGTTGGAGATGATTCAGAGTAAGATTTGAGAGATACCTAGAAGATATTTCATGGAGTTTTCTTGGACCTTTCAGAGCCACTGAAGTTAGAAAAAAATTCTAAATAATCAGACTGAAAATAATGCTCTCATCCTCATTGATGGCTTATAATATACTCTAGAAGAATAGTCATTTATCAATCACTTAGTTACCACAAAAAAGTGTTGGTATACTCTTAATGACTATACTGATGGTAAACATTGATCATGGAACACAGAAACGAAGTTTTATTTCTGCAAAATGAATTTTGTCCTTTAGTGGTAACATGGTAAGAATGTGCACTGATTCCAACAGTATTACCCTGCTTAAACAATTTTGGGTTTCCTTGGAATTATCTTCAGAGTCTATGGACCACAGAAGAAAATGAATCTTTTACTTTCAGGTACACCTCACTTTTGATCCAAAATAGTATCCCCAAGCCTGATCATCCATTTTTTATACATCTTGGCTCTTCATGATAGTTTTTGTAGTATTCAATAAACACATATTTTAGGAACAGAGGTTTGTTACCATTTATGTTTAAATGTTTTAAACTCTGAAATTCCAAAAGGAAGAAGTCCAAAAAATATGTGAATCAATGGCAGCATACTAGAAAACACATGTAATTCCCTGAGCAAATTATCTTACAAGTGAGAACATGCATTTGGAAATGAGTCTGGCATGTCGGGGAGATCAGTTACATTGCATTGTAATTTTACATAAGGGGAAAACTGCATATGCAGGCTTTAAGGAGTCCTGGAGATTAGTTCAAAAAGAGCTCCAGGACTTGCTAACTGTGTGCAGGTGTCTTTTTGAACTACAGTTTCTTCAGCTTAGAAGTGGAATTGAGAGAAGCAACCTTGCAGACTGAGTAAGAACTGGGGGTAAGCCACTTGCAGGGCCTGGGGTCACTCCAGCCTCAATAATGGCACCATTAATGAGGTTAATACTATCAGAATATCTGAACGTAGCTCATAGAATGCTTTATGTACCTTCTTGCTCTCTTGCTCATATAGCTGTATTATTGGATATCAACTCTTACATTATAGAAACAAATAGATATGTGAAGAGGTTTCTTGAAAAGTTTTTTAAAAGGACCAGACCCAACTATTAACTGCTTAAAAGTTTGTTGCAAAGATGTCAAGGTTGTTAAAGAAAAACACTGAAAACAACGATCAGGTTGGAAGATCTTTAGAGATAGTTGAATTGTTCATAGCAAATCCAACCAGGAGGGCTTGAGGTGTCTGTTCAGAAAGAAAGCTCACACACTGAATTGTCCCATTATTTGAGGAAAGAACTGCAATCCACAAAGTTCATAAACATAACTCACACAGTTTGCAATTTCAGTTTACCTGAAGAGTTTTTGGTTTACCCAAAAAAGATAGGGAGGGGGCAATGATGAAATTTGAAAGCTGTAACAGAACTCCTCCTCTCTTACTATTGGGTTAGAGTTTAGCCCAACTTCTCTGGACCACAAAAATGCAACTGATCATTATTTTAGGTAATTCTGATATTTTGCCACGCATGGGAGCTTTTAGTGTTGCACTATGTTATCAGAAGGAGTTAAGGTTTCTTAATTCACAGAAATACTTTTACTGGCTCCAACAGTATCACAACATTTCCTTCAGATAGATCATTAAGATTGCAGGCCTGAAGGGTTCCTGGAATTCATAGCACTGCATCCATGTCTTTTCCGTCTTTGCTATGTGAATGAACCTGATATCAACAGGCTTCCTCAAGACCTCCTTGAACTGCAATGGGCTGGGTCAGACTATCTGCGTTTATTTTGGAACACAAAATAAATCAGGAATCAGCTGTATAATGCATCAGTTGCAGTGCCTGGCTTAGGATGTAAACTAAAACAACAACAACAACAACAACAACAAAACAAACATTGAGTCAAAATATGGTTTATATTCAAAATGTTATTTTATATTACATATTAATTGAAAGTATTTTTGCTATAGTTGAACTTTAAGAAGAATTTTTATGCTATTTGTATACTCTGATTGTTAAAAAAATTATTGTATATGCAAGGTTTTCTCCTGAATTTAGATGTTATCTGAAATAAATAGGAGTCGACAACTTACTATCTGGGAAACTTTAACAGATAAAACAATCTCATATCATCTCAATTTTCTGGATATTTTGGATCAAAGCGTTGGCTTCTAAAGGCTTGAGAAATCTGTTTAATTGCTTCCATTCATCATTTCAATTAGCTTATGTAAGTGCTTCAAAAAACTTAATTTACTTACCGAGCTGAAATGTAAGGTTTTCTTCTGTACGGATTATTCATTTGGTGAAAACGTGCAGCAGGAAAGCATTCCATTGCTCAGCCCTTTTGTGCATGGTGCTCCTACTTCTCTCAGTGGGTTTGCATTCTCACCGTTGCTCATACATTTGCTGGGATAAATACCTACGAACATGCAGTCCATGAAATTCCCATTCTGTAGGTCCTGATCTGTCTGCATCATTCTAAGGGTACTATCTGAAGGAGTTTGAAGGTAGTGTTATCTCATTGGTTTTAATAAGACCATTGATTTGATCACATAAATGTTCACTCCCTGGCTTGGGTTAGATTTGGGGGGGCATCAGACAGAAGTATAGGATTGTTTTATTCCTTTACTACTTTCCATGCCTTTTGGGTGATAGAACTTGGCCACTAGAATGGAGTCCAGAATGGTAGTGGCATCACCAGACTAAGAACACAAAGGAGGGAACACTAACTAAGACAGACTTGTAAGAATTTCACCCCATTCCAGCTGGAGGTTTGTACAATCCGTAAATCATGTATTCCATATTAATGATTATCTATAAATCCTGTTGCTTTTTGGGTCTCCCCTTGTTATTTGGAATAAAGTGGCTCCACTTAGGTCTGTTCTTAAGGGTTAATGCATCTAGTGTTGTTTAAGTGCATATTTGATCTGATTTCTCTTCAGTGATTCCCTGTCACATACAACCTTTCCTAACTGTGTTCCATGAAGCACTTAGCTAGTAAGTAAGTTTACTCACATGTTCAGGCAAATATTACTCAAAAATTATTCAGTTACACAATGCTAGGTAAAATCAAAGTTGGGAATGATTCTTTTTGCTTGATATTTGAAACTATCAATATAATGGTAAGAGTTGTGACCTCTCGGGGGTGAGTGATAGTATTTTTTTTTTTTTTATCAAAGAGCATCTTCTTAGATTGGTACTCCATGACACACACCTTGGGCTTTATGATAAAGCTATAATTCCTTTGCATGTCATACAAGGCCATTGCCTAGCTTTGGAAATTCACCTTCTGCCATTCTCATTCTTTGTACAATGCATATTAGCCGTAGCAAACTGCTTCACCTTTCTCCAGGATACCACCCTGCCGATTGACCACAGGATGTTTCCATCTTGCTGGATTCTTCTTCTTCCCTCTGACACCCAAGCCAACTTGTATTCACCCTTTAAGACACAACACAAGGCATCCCTGCCTCTGAGACGTCTTCTCTGACAACGCCTAACAGCACTCAGCCCTCAACATCTTTAATGCATGGAATATTCACCTACTGAACTTAAAGGCAGTTTTGAGTGCTGTTATCTCCGGGTCCTTACCCCAGGGTTTGGTCATTCATTGCTTCCATGGATCTCTTTCTTACACAATCTTAACTCTTCTTAATATTTGCATTCCTAATGCACACCAGAGTAGGCTGTACAGAGTAGGGGAAAAGTGTGAAGTGGCCAAATGTACAGCCCTTGAATGTCCTTAATGTGTTGTGCTGTGATCCTTGAGGTTACATTTTTATGCTTTTAACTATATGAATTTTTTTTTTTTACCCAATATTGTATAGAGGGAAAGCAGGAAGTCAGGAGATCTAAGATCTCTCATTTTTCTAATTAATTTGGAACATGCGTCTAACTTCAATGAGCCTCAGCTTACTTATCCATAAAATAAGGCTGAAACAATCTGCGGGGCAATTTCCAGCTCTCAAATTCTGTGAGACTAAACCATCTTTGCAGATGCTCTTTAGGTAATGAGTTGATTTACAAGTGAACTAAGGGAGACTTGAAAATCCTTTCCTTCTTCACTTTTCTGCCCTTAAATCTGATTGGTCCCACATCCTTTCTTGACCCCACTTTTTGATCCTTAAAATGCAGTAGGATATTGATGCCAGGGTTTTCGTTAGACTTTGTAATTTAAGAAGCAGAAAATCTGGTTACATTTTCAGAAAACAACTGCGAAGATTTTTGTTTTTATATTTTTTTAAGTCTTACTCAAGCTTTTCAAAACAGTCATTTTTCTGGTTCTTAGCATCGCCCTCAGACAGTTTTACTGAAAATATTTGATAGAGATGGAAAACCCCCCTACCTAGTGAAATGTTTCATCTTCCATGATTTGCCCCGCGAGAGCTCATCTTTGTGTTAGGAAGGCTTCTTGCTCATGGCTCCAGTTACAGGAGCTGGACCACAGGTCACCGTGCTGCAGGGCACTGCTCTTCACGAGGGGCCGGCCAAAGAAAACAAAGCAAGCAAAGATGAAACGAATGCTTTTCAAGGAGGAAAGAGCTCGTGAACTGGCCCCCAAGAAAATGTTCCACATGATAAATCCTGACTGCAGTGGAAGCAGTTTACCATGGAGTGTTCTACCTGGGAAATCTCTGCTCCAGCTTCTCACAGCTGCCATTTTATATTCTTTTATTGCAAAGCCACAAATTAAATATGGTCCCCAACTGTAAAAGCAGAACCTGTTAATGCAGATGTTAAGTGCTTGTGGTAAACATGAAAATACAAAGGGCCTCTTTCTTGTTGGTTAAATCATCATCATTTTCATTATATCATCAATAGATAAGATTCTGGCTCATCAGTAGCATGAGTAGCGTGTTGTTGTTTTTGAGGTAAAGAAATCATGATGAAATATAGTTACTGTCCTCAAGAAATTTCTGGACAGGACAGAGATTGAATGTGTCAATAGATGTTTTAATAGGTGTGAGATTTAATGCTCATCCGTTTCTCAGTGAAATCTTTTTTAGTTTAGGGAGTGTGCGCGCGCGCGCGCGTGTGTGTGTGTGTGTGTGTAGCAACACTTAGCATGAGATCTCTCCTCTTAAAATTTTAAATGTACAATAAATACAGTATTATTAACTATAGGTGCTATGTTATACAGCAGATCTTTAGAACTTAATCATATTGCACAGTTGAAACTTTATATCCTTTGGATAACAACACCCCATTTTCCCTCTCCCTGCCCCTTGGCAACCCTCTTTTCTGCTATGTGTTGTACTATTCCAGATAATCTCATCTAAGTGAAATAATACAGTATTTGTCCTTCTGTGACTGGCTTATCTCATTTAGCATAATACCCTCAAGGTTCATCCCAGTTATCCTTGGCTGGATAATATTCTATCATATGTATATACCACATTTTCTTTGTCAGTTTATCTGAGAAATACAAATTCAAACCATGATGAGATATCGCTTCACACCTGTTAGGATGGCTATCATTAAAAACAACAATAACAACACAAAGATAACAAGTGTTGGTGAGCACATGGAGAAATTGGAACCCTTGTCCACTGTTGGTGGGAATGGAAAATGGAAAACAGTATGGAAGTTCCTCAGAAAATTAAAAATTGAACTACCCTATGATCAAGCAAGTCCACTTCTGGATATGTATCCAAAAGAGTTGAAATCAGAATCTTGAAGAGGTATCTACACCCCTGTGTTCACTGTGGCATTATTCACAATGGCCAAATTATGGAGACAGCTTAGTTTAGGGTGAATTTTATTTAGAGTTATCAAAATCAGAAACAAAATACTTTAGTATAATAGCATGTCTTGCACATATATCTCAAGCTACCATGTGGATTTGGTTTCTGAACTACCACACTTACCAACCTTTTTTTTAAATGCCAACACCAGGGGAGAAAGAAAAAGACAGTGGCAAATCCTGAACTTTGACTCCTCTTCCAGTCTGATTATGTCCTGGAGATCCCCTTTCTCTTTAGCTTCATGTCCTAAGAAAGGAGATAACATGGAGGACCCCAAACACCTGGAACATTAAGTGTGACAATCTCTCTGTAGTGTTGGAGTAAAACTGGAATACCTCAACGTCGTCTCCCTTCCAGTCTTCTGCCTCCTGCAGGGGAGATGAAGCTGTCCTCCTGCTTCCACTGACAGCTTCGCCTAGTTGGCTGAGGGAGGCTGAAGGGATATACATCACATTACAGCCTTCTCCCTGCCAAGTTGTACTTAGTTTCAGCAATGTATGTGAAAACCTCCAAAGCAAACACAGAGAGAGGAAATCAAAATTAAATTAATCCCCTCCAAGGATAAATAAAACATGGATGCATTGCTCTTGAGCTTACGGGATGGAAATCAGAAAGACTTTGCTTGGGTTTCCATGATACCAGTGTTCAGATTCCTGATTCTTAGCCCAGAAAAGAGGAGAGATACAGACTTACCAAGGCTCCTTACTAATGTCTGTATATGGAAGAAGATATGCCTCAGTTGTTAATATTTATAGACATCTTCAAGATGGTGTATGTGACTTAGCAACAGAAAATCATCCTTAAAACCAGCCAGTGTGTCTTGAGAGGAAAGAAATCATGCTCTTTCTTTGAACATATTAGATGTCAAAGAACAAAATATCACATAATTTCAGACAGATACAAGTGGCTTTGAACTTCTAGTCCTCATTTTTACCAGTTGAGATAATTTGGGTGGGGTAGAGTTCTCTACTTTTCTTCAGACTCTGTGTTACCACACAGCTAAAAATTCTATTGCCTCTTCAATTTTGTTGACTACCTAAATGATTTTGACTAACCCCTTGACTCTGGCCCTCTGACCAACCTCGGAAAGGCAGCTACAGAAAAAATACCACCAGCTACTAATCCGCTTACAAATGATGAGTGATTTTGGACCAGATGAATTGAAAATTTTGGTTATTTTTTTCATCATTTCTTAACTAGATGACGAGTCCAATGGAAAACCTCACCTGGTTTTTCTAAATACTGATAAACTACCCTATGTGTTGAAACCTAACTTAACAGTTGAATGGACTATTATGGACTGTGCTTTAGCCAGCATACTGTGGTGCTTCTTAATATCCCTATTTTAGATGTGATTACAGTTCTTAATTATTGTTTTCCAGTTTGGTTTTTGAATAGGGTACACACCATTCTGGTAACTATGCCAGGAAACTGTCTATATGTTAATTAAGATTGGAAAATATAAGCTCGTCTAAGATACTGCATTGATTTTACTTTTTTCTTTTCCAGAATACTGGCCTTTTCATATTTAGATACAAAAGCTAAAATGTATTTCATGAATATAATTGTGGAAAGTTACATTTTTTTTTTCTTAAAAAGAACAGTAAATATCCAAGTGCCAATATCGAGTGGATACCTGAGTGTCTAATGAATTTTGAGATGGTAAAGTCTTGCTGGCTGCCCTGTTTGGGGGGAAGTCTTAGAGGACCATCCACTATTCCATAGAATGAGAGTTAATTAACCACATCTAACAATTCAGTCATGAGGGAAAAAATGAAATGATGGTAACACTGAAAATGGAATTAAAAAAATAGACATTTACACCAACTACAGGATTGGGAGACAAAGGAACAGAGGTTTATTTTTGTACAATAAACATATGGCCAAAGCTCCTCATTAAATGATGGAAGTAGCAGAAAGGTAGATTAATAGGTGTTACAGACAAGTTTTCATTGAGCTTTTGCTTGTCTGTAGAACAAGTATCCACATTCACAGTTGAATGGAATTTTGTTCAGTGCTTTGGCTGCTCACTTCTGCAAACTACTGAAGCCACTGGGGTCAAAGCTGCTGCTACATGATGCCTTCATGTGATTTTGAAAAAGGTAATTCCTCCTGAGACATTGTCTCTCCAATTATTAGAAAGTTATTCTAAATATTAAGTTGATTCGAAAATGAATTCATTGCCAGTTTTTTTTTGAAAATTGTCTTAATAAATAAACACTCATCTCTGGAGGTGATGAAAGCATAGTAAAAAAAAAATATATAGCTAGATGAGAATTACGGTCTATTAAATATGTTACCCTTGTGCAATTCACAACCTAAACAACTATACTAGGCAGCTATTTCAGGGGATAATTACTCCAAGAGTCAAAAATCGATCTAGTTTTATCTTCCTGTCCTATAGTCAAATAGAGAAGAAAGAACCAAGCTTAAATAGATCACATGGTCTTTTATTACATTGTGTTTGGTTTTCAGTAGACTTCCAATTAATGTATCCAAAGTAGGGAAGAACAATTATAAAAATGAGATGTCAGTTAGAAATAATTAGGCAGGTAAGTTGTGCTGAGTAAATGCTTGTTAAAGACCACAGACATTATAAATGTGAGCAAGTTTCAGTCTTTGTCAATGATATTTATCTAAACGTGTAGATTTCTGAAAATGTATTGATGTTCTGTTAGTTCAGTTTACTGAATTTTACTAATTGCTTATTAGGTACTTTGATATTGTGCTGAATGCATTCTATGTAATATCTTAGTGAGTGGTTGCAATAATTCCGTGAGAGGTATTGTTTTAGTTATTCCTATCATCTAAATGAAAAAATTAAGGCTTCGAGTAAAGTAGACACCCTACCCTATGTGGGACTCCAAAGTCCATGCCCTTAATGACAATGGAAATGAAAAAGCAATGATAAATAGTGTTCTTATATGCTACAAAGAATCAGCTGGGAAAATATATTATTAAAAGATGCAAACAGGCCCCTGGGTGGCTCAGTTGGTTAAGCCTCCAACTCTTGGTTTCTGCTCATGTCATGATCTCAGGGTTGTGGGATCAAGCCCCACATTGGGGTCTGTGCTCAGTGTGGAGTTTGCTTGGGATTCTCTCTCTCCCTCTGCCCCTCCTCCTGTGCATGTGCACGCACTCTCTCTCTCTCTCCCCCTAAGATAAAGAAATTAAAAAAAAAATAAAAGATGCAAACAAACAGGTACACGTAACATTTAGGAAAAAATCTGTTGAGAAATACAGGGATCAAGGTGAAGAACATGACAAACCTGGTAGGAACATAAATTGGTACAGACTTTCTGGAGGATAATTTGACAATTTGTGTCAAACCTTTAGAGAAAGTCATGTTCTCAAATTCATAAATTTCAATACGACAAATTCATCCAAAAGATGTAATTAAAGAGATAGCAAAGATTTCTCTAAGGTTTATTCACTTTAGCATTGCTTCTGCTAACAACATTTGAAATAACAAATATCCATCAATAAAAGATTTTATGAATAAAGTATATTGATACACAGGTTTACAAATGATGTTGTAGAAGAAACTTTCTATCAGAAATGTTCTTAACTTGTGGTATATATATACAATGGAATATTATGCAGCCATCAAGAAAGGGAAATCTTGCCATTTGCAATGGTGTGGATGGAACTAGAGGGTATTATGCTAAGCGAAATAAGTCAATCAGAGAAAGACATGTATCATATGATCTCACTGATATGAGGAATTCTTAGTCTCAGGAAACAAACTGAGGGTTGCTGGAGTGGTGGGGGATGGGAAGGAGGGGGTGCCTGGGTGATGGACATTGGGGAGGGTATGTTCTATGGTGAGCACTGTGAATTGTGTAAGACTGATGAATCACAGACCTGTACCTCTGAAACAAATAATACATTATATGTTAAAAAAAAAAAAAGAGAGAGAAGATAGTAGGAAGGGGAAAATGAAGGGGGGGAATCGAAAGGGTGTTATGCACAAACAGTGAATCATGGAACACTACATCAAAAACTAATGATGTGTAATGCATGATGACTAACATGATATAATAAAATAAAATTTAAAAAAATGTTCTTAACTTACTGAAAAATATTTAATGGCATTATTGAAAGGGTGTCATTACAAATTTGTAAAATTAAATAGGTATCTGTATACTCACACACATGCAGAGAAAAGACTTGACTTGTTTCTATGATCCTGTGAATAGTAGTTACCAATGGGTGGTGTGATAATGGGTGATTTTTCTTCCTTTCCATTTTTGTGTATTTCTTCTATTTCCTATAATAAACTGTATTGCTTTTATAATCAGAGAAAGACTTTAAAAATAGGGTTTTCATATAACCATTTATCCTGTGATTACACTTGAACCAAATATAAAGGTGAGTTAACATGGTTTGGTTTTTGTGATTATCTCAGGCTTATATGTTCTCTTTGCCTTTGTTAGGAAGTATAGGAGCCAGTAATGTAACAGAAGGAAAATGAATTTTCTTGTTTTTTAAGGTAGGACATAACTGTGCTGTCTAGGCATGATGATTTCTCTCAAGGAATAAGAAATCTCTGGTTTGCTTCATTGAGACTAGGTTTATGTAAACACAGCATGCCAGTCACCCAGATAATCCAGGTCTGCTCTAGTCAGAATATGCTGTTGTAACAAAAACACCTAAAATAGCAGCGACTTAATACAGTAAAAACTTACTGCTTCGTTATGTCATAGACCATTGTGTCATTTAGACATCTGGGAACCCAGGCTTTGTTCATCATGATCAACATGTGGCCTCCAAAATTGTCACAAAATAAGGAGAGATAATAGTGAGGCTGCAAGGGAGTTTATTGCCAGGTGTGATGTGGCCTCTGTCACCTGTGTCCATATTCCATTGGCCACATTCCATCACATGACTTACTTGAGGTTAATGCAAAGGAGGGCTGGAGATGGACCTTACTGTGTATTCAGGAGGGAAATAAGACAGGTTGAGTGAATATATGACATGTCATTACCACTTCCCATACCACATCCCATACAAAATTGATCTTTATCTTTAATGACAGGGAATGGCACGTTCATACTTCATCTTACTTTGGCATCTAAATAAAATATTGCTTTTAAGTTTTCTCTAAGGAGCTTCTTCAGTACTTTGTTTTTAGAGCACATGGTTGTAAAACCTTTCCATCCAGCTGAGAAGATCCAATTGTATTTATCAAGGAGTAGATGATGCCCAAGAACATGATAACATATTTCCTGGACAGAATCCCTAGATGGCTCTTGGTTAAGAGGAGAGCTATTTAATAACTGCATGTTTGTGTAGGTTACAACTTAACTGATGGATACAGTCTGTTACCCCGCCTCCCAGCTTCAGAAGTGTTTATGTCTGATGGGAAACTCTTCAGCTTGTATCAGACCCTGGAAAAACACTTTACTGTCTGAGATTTTCTATTTGTTTAAGATGGCAGTAAAAGAAATTTTGAGCATATGGAATCCCCTGGTTTCATTTTTCAGATCTGGGGCTTTAGGCAATGTCTGGTCATCATAAATAAACTGTAGCCCTAATTATCTTTCCTGTAATGTTTACAAAGGCCAAGGACAGGTTGTAAATAGAATAAGAGAGCAAAATGAAAGGTGAAGGTATTATTGCTGATAGTGCTTACTCATTTGAAATACAGGAAGTTTCTGTTTTAAATGTAGAATTAACTCCTGATTCAGGAGCACTTAGAAGTAGACTTCGGAGCCCTTCAGCTTGTCTTTCATTGTTCTCGAAGCCCTCACCTTGCAAGCAATAGTTATTTTTAAGTAACCAGCTAAAAGTGTGTCCATATATAGTGTTGTACCAAGGTACTTTTGGGTATAGTGGCTTTATTCCAGAATTGTATGTGGTAGTGAGGCTGGGCTCACTACCCAGAGTTGAACAACTTCAGGGGACCACCTAACCCTGCCAGTTCACACCCTCTGTCATCCTTGGGCTCTGCAAGAATAATTCCCACCTAAGGCTTCCTGTAAAACTGCATCTGCCCCCGGGTCCCACGGCAGAGTCCCCCTTTAAGAAGATATAAAACATGTGTCCTGGGACACCACAAAGAGGGTGGGAATGTTAATATATTTCAGAAGAAAAGAAATTTCACAGCAAAGGGCCTCTTGAAGCATATTTATAGAAGGACAGCCATAACAATGACAAGGAACATACCCCCATAAAAGCATAAGCAGTGGGAGGCATGGCTTCTAAGAGAGTTAAATAGTTTAAGACCTAGAACAATTTTCCTTCTTTTCAATAAGGATCCCAGTTAGAGCACAAACTCTTCGGCACATAATTTCTGATGATTTTCTTGAAGTCCATCACTTCCTCCACTTTCCTCCTACATGTTTGGACCCCTTCACTTCCTTAAACTGCCGTTTCCTTGTGTGGAAAACAAAGACCCTGTAGTGCCTCCCAAGGGCTATCTACATGGTAAAATTTAAGAACACAAAGCCCTGTTAAAGTTTGAAGTGATGAAAAGTTAATAAAAATATTTTAATAATTCTCCCACATTGAGATAAGTTAGACAATTTTCAATATAGTTCACATTTTTTAAAATTGAGATATAATTGAGATGTAACATTAGATTTGTTTCAGGTGCACAACATAATAATTCTCAATATATGCATATGATATAAAGTTAAATCATAGCAGGATACCATTAGTCCATGCTGCCCACCCCCTCACTCATCCTTCCTCTCCTCCATCTATTAATTTCTCACATAGTTGTTGTTGAGATAGTGCTCATAAATCTTTGTACTAACTTATGGGGCTGCATGAATGAATAAGCATAAGTACCTGCTCCCAGTGAATTTATGGTCTGGTAAGGAAGGCAAGGAAATACTATTATAATATGATACATGCTAGGAGAGAGATATATGCAAAATATTATAGAGAGGAGGTACGTGGCTCATCTACCTGGGTGGCTCTGGGTCAGGTAATGGTGGCCGATCTGGGTGTTGGAGGATAAATAGAAGGATTCCAGCAGACAGAGAGAGATTTTAAGAAAAATAGTCAATGATGGGCCAACGTGCTGGGCAGAAGGATGGCCCCAAAGACGTCCCCGTCCTAACCTCCAGAACCCTTGGTGTGTTATCTTACATGGCAAAGGGGATTTAGCCGATGTGGTTATGGATCTTGAGATGAAAGATTATCCTGGATTATCTGAGCAGGACTGATAGAATCACTTGGGTCCTTATATACGAGGGTGGCAGAGGGTCGCAGTCTGAGAAAGAGACTTAAGGAAGGAGCAGTTGTCAGGATTACAGAGAGACTGGAAGGTGCGATGCTGCTGACTTTGCAGATGGAAGAAGGAGCCACGAGCCAGTGCATGCCAGTGGCCTCAAGAAGCTGAGTCAAGGCAATGGGTTCTGCTCTAGAGCCTCCACCAAGAACCCGCCTCTGTCAACGCCTTGGTGTTAGCCCTGTAAGACCCATTTTGGACTTCTAACCTCTGGAACTAGAAGATAAAATTGTGTTGCTTTAAGCCACTAAGTTTGTAGTTACTTGTTACAGCAGCAATGGGAAAGGAATACATTTAAGTAGGAGCTCTGCCTCCGGCAAGAACTGTCTCTCCCTGGTGTCTCTGCACAGCGAGCTCACCACTGGCACGGGGTTTGTATCTGTGGAGCAAACTGTGTGAATGAGTGAGAAAGCATGGCCTTTTGGGGAAATTGCAGGTGGCCGTAGACTAACTGGGGCTGCTCAGCACAAACCAGATCACAGGAAGGTGTTTGGAAAGTATCTGGCAGCTGGAGGGAGCCCTTGGAAGGACTGCCAATGAGGAATGCTAGAACATTTCTTTTTCTCAGCCCATGAACATGTTTCAAAAGATTTTTTTTTTTATTTTGTGGAATAAAGAGAATATTGATAATATGGGTTGAAGAAATCAGCCAGAGATGGAAGAAGAACACTTGATTAGAAGGAATGGACTGTAGTTTTCCCCATGCCCGGACAAGCTATGTAACCTCAGGCAAGTCAGTTCCTTTCTGTGGTGCTCAGGGTCCTTGTTGTGCAGATAAGGGCGCTGCATGAGATGAACTCACATCCTCCCCAGCCCTAACATTCTGTCCTTTAGTGTTGATGTCACGCTGTTTGTGAAACAGCATCTGTGTGTAGAAATCACAAAGCTGTACACCATGTGGACGCAGGACTATCTTGTTCACTGCAGTGTCTGACCCTTTGCTCACAGCATGGTGCCTGCAAGAGTGAGTGTTGGAGAATGAATAAGCACAGTGACTTGCGTGCTTCCTAGAAAGTTAAAAAGGAGCAGGAAGATCCTTCTGCTCCCAAACACATTATATTGACAACATAATAAATGTGTTAAATTCATAGTGTATTAAATTTATAATTATTACAATGTGATATCAACAAATATGTGATTGTGAACACAGAAATGGCCACTATACTGTTGTTGGAGAGAAAATTGACTAAATTCTTTCCTATTTGTAGGGCTAAATATCTTTCTGAATAAAGAGATTTTTCTTTTCCTGGTTTTGTTTTTTTGTAAGATCCTGCCTTACCCAACACTCTACCAGGTAGTAGCATCAGTCCAGGCAGGAGTAGATATTCCACAACAACAAAAAAGCCTTACTTGTGAGTATGAACAAATAATAAAAATCACAAATGCACTTGGGGAAATCATTTTCAAATTTTTAATTATGTTCATCATGTAAATATAAGCTGGGATGCAGTTTTGCATGTGACATGAAGTACCTAAAATGTACAAATGCATCAGGCCTCTGCTTTCTGGATTTGGATACAGGGAGGTTAAGAAAAGTATTTGGAAGCAGCTGGAAGCATTGCAGCTGAATGGTGGTGGTGGTGGATGGTGGTTCTCAAGATGAAATTAGGGAGGACAAAATCATAGACAGCATCTCCAAGCACACAGTGGGAATGACTTTACCCTGAAGGCCTGGGGTGAATATTTCAGGGGAAATGATTGGTATCTAGTATAGTTCAGATGCCAGGAAGAAATATATGTGGGGGATAGGAGAATATTCCATTCATTTCTTCAGTGCTGGCAAGATATAGGCTGGATGTTTTTGGAAGGCTACAGAGCAAAGTGCGGGCTCTTAAGACTGTCATACCAAGGTTAAAATCCCAACTCTGTTATTGGCCATACTTATGACCTTGGCCACTTCACTTTACTGCTCTGTGCCTTCGTGTCTTCATCTAACCTAGGGTGACAATGCCTTCTTCACATGTTGTTCCCAGAATTCAATGAAAGAATATGTGTATAGAGCTTAGCGCTATGCCTGACACAACGGAAACACTCAATACACTCAGTAAATGTTGTTATTATCATAGCATATTCTGCTTTAGACCTTACAGTGTCTTATCATGATCTCATCTTAAATCTGAAGCCACTGACCACCAGGTTAGGCAGCTGAGAATAGAGCAGATGTGCAAATACACAAAACCATACCAGGAAAAAAAAAAGTTTTTAACAATGGTCTCTTGGTCTCTTCACTAGAGAACAGTGACCAGATGGTGTGTGGTTTTTTAGGAACGCCCTTACAAGGGGGTGATGGACTCTGTGTAACAAAACATAGTATTGGACACTAGTTCCAGATGCATCCAATTAGCTGTCTGAATGGCTTTGTTGACTGGGTCATTCCAAGTACTTTTAAAACCTGGGCAATTTCACAGAGACTTGTCCTGCACCTGATGTGCAGGTGAGATAAATTTCGTTGAGGTCCCTCAAGAGCATAAAGAACCAAGTTTATCTTTTTGTTATGTTGTCCATTGCACACTCAGACTTAGAAAGCCCCCCCCCCCAAAAAAAAGAAAGCCCCATGGTGGACAGAGCCAGTACATTTTACATAATGAACTGTTTGATAAATTTGACAGTATTTGAATTATCTTCTATGAGCACAGTGAATAGGCTGATACCAAACCCAACAACACCTCCACGGTCCCTCTATCTGAACCACCCCATCTTGTTGGAAGCTCTATTATTTGAGTTAGGGGGTCTTGTTCCTCCTTCACTTGTGTGCTTTTTCTTTGTCAACCACTCCCTTTGTAGCAGTGAACAAAGTATATTGACCTCTAGGGATATTATTTTAATTGCTGCATTTTATCCAAGACTTAAACATACAGAATTACAAAAACCCCAATTTGTATCATTTTCAATGTAATTTAGAAGGTGAAATTGACTTTTTTGGACATGTATCTTTAGTTACTGGATTTTTAATAGCTTGGAAGTGCAGTGATGCTTGAAAATGTAAATTTTTGGAAGGAAAAACTTTCGGAAATTGTGACCTACTTAACTTTTAATGGATTGGACCATTGAGCCAAGAAGCATGGTGACCACCCACTGGGCTTTAAACATGGTGTCATGATTGTCAGACTCCAGTTCTAACTAAATGAAGACAGTCTCTATTTGAGCCAGAGAAATTCTAGAATCATCACTTGGATTTAGTGTCTATGTAGTATACCAAGTAAGCCTATCCTTATGTCTGAACTCAAAGTCTGGCAGCTTGTGTAACTCACATGTTTGTTGAATGAATTAGAATACCACACTATCTACTTCCATGATAAAATTCTCTCCTGACTCCATTAAAAGCATACAAGTGAAAGCATTAGAGGGAATCACACTCCCAAGGCCACCCTGGATTAGAATAGGTGACTGTAATAATAACAAAACCCCTTTACAGGAAACCCTATATTTGGAAAATCATCAGCAATAAATCCACATGGCTGATTAGAATTCAAAAGCTCTGAAATATAACTACCGCCTTTTCCTTTTCAGACTTCTGAGCTTAACTCCTGCTCTCCTGGTTTCATTCTTAGTGGATCCAAATTGTGGCAGCAGAAAAAGACATTCAGAGACCAGAAGCCTGGCATGGGAGCAGCCAGAGCTCATTCCCCACTTAGAGCTGCCCCCTGTTCTTCTCCTACCTTCACTCTCCGTGAGAGAGGCCTGCAGGTGTTTGTTTTTACTAATTAGTACTAATTCTAAATGCATTTAATGCAGTGTGATGGATAATCATTTCACAGAACTATAGGACCTTCTGTTTTTGTTGTGATAGAGATATCATTGACCTGGGGTAGCGGTTCTTAACTGGTGTGGCACCACTCTCGAGGCAGCGTTTGGGTCAAAGTTGTGAACATGCATTTGGTTATCATAACGATTGGAGGAGAGCTCCTGGAGTTCAGGTTGAGAAGAACAGGGACACTAGTGACCTGCAATGCATAGGATAGTCATGCACGACCAAGACAATGAAGAAACGTTTGTGAGTTTTTTGGACATTCATGTAGGTGAAAAAAATTGTTAGTAATTATTTGGGTCTAGGATCTAACTCCCGTGTCTTTGTAAACATGCAATTTTCTATTTTGTGTGTATGTGTGTGTGTGTGTGCAGAATATATGTGTATTGAATTTTCTAAGAATGAAACTACCTGGACATTGAGGGAGGGTTGGACTCTGATTCAGAACTTTCCCAGGAGCTGCTCACCATTTTAGGCACTCCATCCCAATGGCCCTGCAGCTTGAGGCATGGCAGGCACCGAGTCCTCACACTTGTCCTTGCATTTGTAGCTGTAGTTGCTGCTCCAGAAGTGGAGGGTTCTCATCCTTGGCACTGCTGACCTTTTGGTCTACATGATTCTTCTCTGTGGGGCCGTTCTGTGCATTGTAGGATGTTTCCCAGCATCCCTGGTCTCTACCCTCTAGATGCCAGTTACACACCTCCCATGTGACAACCTAGAATACCTCTAGACATTGCCAGCTGTCCCTGGGGATGGGGATTATGTGCAGAACTGCCTCTGGCTGAGAGCCACTGGTGGGAACCAATAGTTTTCTGCCCTTTGCGCTCTCCTCATTGTGAAGGAAAATCATTTTTAAAAAATATTTTTAAACGGATGAGCTAAGTAAGGAGGCATTTCTTTTGAAAGGAAGCGTTGCTTTCCAACTTTCAAATTATATAATTACTTTAAATAATCAGCTTTGTGGGTGTAATCAAAGCCCAACTCAATTAAAATAAATTTAGTAATAATACACAGCTAAGAATCTGTCCCTCCAATCAGTGCTTAGAATAAATATACTTTGTTCTTCAAATTTGACCGGATGATACTGAGGGAGTGAAGGCCATCCTGAGGAGCTACTGCTGGGTCCCTTGAACATGGGCGCTGTGGGAGCTCTGACTACCACTATAATTGTAGGAAGAGGAGAAGAGTTTGGAGGAGAATGGGTTTTCTGTGCATGGAGTGTTAGCAGAGTGTCTGCGGTTATTGGCCCGCTTCTAGAACTTAAGGGAAAGGATGCCTCGTCTTTATTTAGAATACTCGATTTTAATTTTTCAAAAGTGGGACATTTCCTGTGGGCAACATGCCCTTCTCCATCCTTCCCCTTATCAAATTTTCCTAGCTACTCATGTCACCCTTTTCCTGCACTGGGTCCCCACGATGATGGTATAGGGGGACAATGGGCCTCTATTATTATCTGTATGGAGCCTCTGGGATGCACACCACCCTTTTGGTGCAGGTTTTCCCAACCACCTTTCTTCAGGACATCATACAGCAGACACACCAAGGGTTAGCCCAGCATCAGGTGGAATGACTCACTGGGGAGCATCATCAAGTGGCAGTATTTGTTTCTACAGGGAAATTCATAAATCCACTTGATGTTTTCTGTAGCTGTAACCAACGGGGAGGACTGACTAATTTCCATATTCTGGCCCTTTTCATGTAAAGTTCTAAACATCCTTATTCCAGTTGTTTCTCTAAGGCCAGTGAATCTGGCCTCCCTAAAATGCTAAACCTGCTGGTGTTCTGTTCCTTCTTCTGTCATCCTGTTCCTGTTGTAAGCAGCCCACGGCATTTGGTCTCCTCTGGTGGGTTTGCCTGTTCTTTTGGACGTTACTTCAACCCCGGAAGCACCAGGAGGCCCTAGGTTCTGCTCATTACGTTTCAGCAGTGGAAATTTCGCTTTGCCCACTGTCTTCCTTTGAGCATATTTAAGCTCCAAGCACTGTCAAGCAGGGGAGATGAGCTCTTTGAGGCTAGCTGTGTTAGGATTTACATCTGAGTTTTAAGTTCTCTGACAGGTGTGTTTGTTGGTTTAACTCTCTTGGAATGATCCAGGGAAACCTAAAGAATTCCTTATCATTCCATAATCATCTGAGATGAAGTCAGCGGAGACAAGGGAAGTCTTAGAAGCCAATGGCATCTTCAAGGAGGAAGCAGATGCGGCGGGATTCCCCACACCGTTGAGTTTGGATTATAAAAGCAGTGTTCATTGAAAGATGGGAGGCTTGGGTTTCTGGCAAACAGCTGTGAGCCCATGAGGCTGATGTGAGATTGGGTAGGACTTGTGTTCTGGAAGTGTGTGCCGCAGCTCTGGCAGAGGTGGTGCCGCCCAGGTCAGCGGGAGCCCCAGGGCATTCGAATGCAAGGAAGGGCATGGGCCCTGGGGTTAGGGTGTCTAGATTGGAATCCTGGGTTTTTTTCCCTTTCGTTAGAGAACCTACAAAATACTTCTTTCTGTGCCTCAGTTTCGGCATAGAATGAAGATAATAGAAGTACTTCCTCCACGGAGATAAGAATTAACTGCGTTAATACGTTTAACGTACTTAGAACCCTGTCTGGTGCCCAGTAATTGTAAATGTTACCACTTGTTATTAGCAAGAAATGGCGAACCGCACTGTAAGGAGTGTATCTTTCCCATCAAGCGGACTTCCCCATTTCCCATTCTCCCCACTTATATACCAACTTCTGCAAAGGACCTCAGCCCATTGTTTATCTCCCTGTGCTATTTTTAAAGAGCCATCCTTTCAGTAGGTTTCCTTACCTCTCCATGTCTCTCTCTCCGATAAATATCCTGGCGTCGTGAAACACATTCTTCTCTACTCTTGGGGTTAACTGGGGTAGCTAGTTAAGTCTCTGACCCCCTCTTCTTCTGATAGCAGACTTTTACCCCTGGCCTGAGAACTGGGGACCTGATCCAGGCCTAACCAAAAGGACCGGTCTGCTGCAAAGGGAGATGTTCTTGGTCTGTGCATGTGACGTCAGGTGGTCAGAGCCCTTCTAGCATTTGCTGTACACACGTTAGGCTAAGCACGTGTTCTCTTTCTGCTGGAGCTGTGCTAAGTTGGTGGCGCCTGTCAGCGGGAAGAGCAAGTAAGGCTGACAGCAGGCTTGAGAACAGGCAAAGAATGGGGGGTGGGGGGGTGGGGGGTTCTGTGTGAATGCCCAGCTCCTCCCTCCATTCTGTCACTCACCACCCTTCTTCCCAAGAGCCCATGCATTCCCTTCTAGCTTAGTCATGTTTGAGCTGCACCACAGTCCACTGAACGAATCCGAGTGCCAGAACTCAAAAACAGAAACAAAAACAAAACAAAACAAAACCAAAAAACAGCAACCGACAGAGCTAACAAGCTCTACGAGGACTGGGCAGTGATCATGTCTTCTGCATCTTTATGACGCCAGGGCCTCGTCAAGCTCCTGAGGCCCTGGGAGAAGCAGAACTCCAAGACTCACTTCTTGTGGGGCTTACATTGGGAAAACACTGGGACCAGAAAGTGTCTCCTTGTCTCCTATGAGAAGGGCCTCCTGGGGTTTTCACCTGGAACCGGTCAGTAGCAGTGGATGCCACCAAGGGTGGGACTTCCTGGCAGCCCTAAGCCATTTGGTCATTGTCCCCTTCTCTTACTCCCACAGATCTGAATTCCCTTGGTGCCTGGAAGGCTCTTTTCCTTTGGGGAGTATCAGATGGGATACATATCCCCTTATTCCCCAGGTTCCTTTTCTCTTGCTGTTTAAAAAGATCCCTCCCTGGGGCATCTGCGTGGCTCAGTAGGTTAAGCATCTGCCTTTGGCCCAGATCATGATCTTGGGGTCTTGGGGTTGGGCCCCGCCGTGGGCTCCCGGCTCAACTGGGGATCAGCTTCTCCTCTCTCTCTGCCCCCCCCAACTTGTGTTCTCTCTCACTCTCTATCTCAAATAAATAAATAAAATCTTTTTAAAAAAATGACCCTCCCTTTGGTTATGTCGAAGCCTTCTTTGTATTTGTCATAAACCTTCACACCTTTCTTTCATTTTAGCCTCACATAACTAGCAACACAGTGGGACCGTTTTTAACCCTAGTGCTAACACAGATGGGACACGGATGCCCAGAGTCTCTCAGTGGGGCGATCCTGGGTTAAATGCCTGGCTTCCTTCTGTCCCCAGCCTGACATAGGCATGGGGGTAAGGACAGTGCGGAGGTAGGAGTGGCCCAAGAAGACAGCATGCATTTAAATGCCCTGTCCGCTTTATGTATTTTACTAGAAAGTGTTTTAAGACTTTAAATAGACTTTATAGGTCAGCTTCTAGGAGCCCAAGAGATCATCATTTCCCAAATAGCTGCAGCCTGCCCTCGAAGAGTAGATCTGGGACAAAGGAATACAAGCCAAGCATCCTCTGTCATTTTGACACCTTTATTAACGGACCATGGTAAGGAATGAAATAACATATTCATACATGTTTTAGCTAAGCCTGGAATATACATTTTTAAGGCAGAAGGAGGAGAAGGAGTTGAGTGGGGGAAAAAAAAAAAAACGCTAAAGGGAACCAAAAAAAAAAAAAAAAAAAAATCTGGATGGACTTTACAACCATAAATGGTAAAACTAACCCTGTTCCCCTGCCAGCTACAAGAACAGCCGAGTAAGGTTTTGATTTACAGGAACAGCTCAGCAAGGGCCTTGTAGAGAGCTTCATGCCTGCTATAAAAATGTGATTAGCTATAAAACAGGCAGATTTAACAAGAGAATTTAAGCATAGGCAACAGACCTGCTCAAAAGTAAACAAAAACAGCAATTGCTGCCTATGCGTCTAACTGGACTCCACAAAGGCCGTGAAGGATGAGGAGAATTCTTTTTCAGGCTTGTGATACAGTTAATAACTTTTCACTTTGACAGTCAAAAGAAAGGAAGAGGAGAGATAACCTTGAGCATTACTTTCAAAGACTTCAATCTGCCTTTCATCAGCAGTTCTTTCATTGGACGCTTGCGTGGTCCTAAAGCATGAAGAACAGTTTTCTGCTCAGAGCCTCCCTGAGACGGAGGCTGTGGGGGGAAGAGAAGGCAGGGAGAGCATCCAGGGCCTTGGGAGGGGAGAGTGTTTAAAGCTGCGAGCTCCTCAGCCTCAGGACTCCCTGTAGCCCTTCCCCCGGCTGTATGGCTACAAAGGTCTTTGGCCCAAGGCTCAATCATTTCCCAGTGATGGTCCTTTTGAGAACAAGTGCTCCTCCTCAGTTAGTCTGAAGGGGTCCGATGGTGGAGCAGGATGGGAATATTTAGTGAAAATACCGGCACATCTAGGTCAGGCACGGGGGTGATTTCTTCGTAATTAATCACAACAGCTGTGATCTACGGATTTCTCACTGTGTGTCCGTCACCGTGCAAAGTACTTGGTATGGATTATCTCCGTGTCTCCCAAGAAACACTCTGAAGTAGGTTTTATTGTCTCTGTTTCACAGATGTGGAAACCCTATTCAGAGAGATTATCACACAATATATAAAAGTTAGAGCTGGGCTTCAACCTGGCCTGTCTGAATCCCGAAATGGAGCTGCTAACCCCGTTCCAGAAAAGTGATGGTGCTATGAAGGGCTCTCTTCTGCTGTTTCTGGCTGTTGTTTTCTCTCTCCTGAGGAATACCAGGTCTGCTTCCATTCTTGGCTGAAGCCTGAGTAAGAGCGGTGCAGAAACCCTTGGAAGGTCTCTTTCTTTGCCTAGACAGGCATGCCTGCTGAGTCCTCAGTTCACACGGGAGGTTTGCTCAGCTGCTTTTTGCCCACCCCTGTCCTACGCGCCTGTCTTGCTTATCCTCGTCTTCCTGAATACGTTTGGCCCAAAACCATTGGTGTCTGGGAGGGAAACCCTGCTTTACTGGAACGCCTGTGGTGTGCTATGGCTAACGGCAATTCCAGGTTCTTCTGTCATTCTGCTAATACGTTTTACTACCCAGAGCTAATGTAGGCCTAATTTAGTATTTTTAAACATTAAATGATCATTGGCGTGCATTAAAGTTGTAGTTGTTTTTATAGACAGCCATTTTCTCTCCATACCATTATACATTGGACTTGAACAAGAGGAAAGGGGTGATTTTGAAATTGAAGGGTTTCTGGACACATCCTAGAATTTAAAATAAATAAAACCATGATGTGATCTGGTTTTGTTCTCAATTACTCTTTAGACTATAAGTTGAACCTCCACCTCAATTCTCATTAAGACTATCCTGTGTGGGCCCGTGTATACAAACTCCATCTTATAATCATACCGTGCAACCATCTCCAGTTTCATTAGGATATTGCTTATTACAAGTTTTCACCACTACTGGTATTTTGAAGGAGCCTTCTATTACATGAATGCTCTATCTACCTTAATATAGCTTTAAACTAGAGCAGACTTTTTTCCCCCAAATGACATCAGAATAAGATCTGGATTAGTTGTAAAGTGGGCATTGAGAACCCATGAAATGGTCCCTTCTTCCTAGAATCACACCCTTCTCTTGGGACTGTTCATGGGACAAATGCCAATTTCAGCTTAGGAATTCCTTCTTTGGAGGCCTTTTGTCACATCTTGTGTGGTGGAAGTGTCCTACCTCACCCTTTTCTATAACACCTTTCTGCCTTTCTCATAACAAGTTCACCCTCATCATGTAAAAGGCTTGCTTAAGGTTCTTTTGATTTTTTTTAATTTTAAAAAGAATTTGAGTATAGTTGACACACAAGGTCACACTAGTTTCAGGTGTACAACTTCATGATTTATATCACCATCATTTAGTAGGTGATCAATAAATATTTCTGTTGAGTGAGTGAATGAAGGAATAGGCTTTTACAAAATCTCAGGGCAGATAAGGCAAGTTTGCTGGTAACTCAGTGTCCGGCAGATTATGGGCAGTTCTGTGAGCTACATGCACCATGGAATCAAGGTCTCTGTGAGTGTGAGATCACGTCTTCTTGGGGTCCACAGAGTGATTTCCTGGGGCATTTAATATTTCTGCTGGGGCTTGAGGAATAGATCCTCTGTGGCTAGGTGCAGATTGACAGATCAAGAATACCAGGATGAAGGGATGATAAAATTGCAAGGTCTAGTAAATCTAAAACCACGATGCATATTCAAGAAGAGGATGTGAGTGGAAGATAGAGATTCATGTGAGAAAAGTAAGAGATTAATCCATTTTGGTGACACATTTTGAAGGGTCTTAAATGTCTGACCAAGGAGTTATACTTAATTTTGAAGGCAGGTGGAAAACAAATGTAGGTTTTTGAGCCAAAGAATGATAAGATTGAAAAAGTGCCATGAGATTAATATGACCATAGTAGGTAGTATATCTAAGGATAATAAGAAGTTAAATGGGCAGAAAAATCTCCTAACAGTCTATTTTAACATTGTAGGTTCAAGGTAAGGAGACATAAATTGGGAGCGGGTGGAGTGGAGACAGAATGCTGGAGGTGACAAAGACATTTTTCTTAAGAGTTGGCAGACCATCTGTGCACACAAGACTTAATTAAACTATCAAAGGAACTCATTTGCTTCCCTCTCTTGTACATTTTAAAGACTTGCCTGAAAAGCAAAATTGTGAAGTTCTTTTTCTTTTCCCTGTAGTGTATTTAAATACAAGCAAAGAAACCAACTCTCAACTTGAAAGCCAATGCTGTTTGGATTTTACCAAAACCAACCAGCATCCTAGAGCAAAGAACTGAAGAAATGCTATTTTCCAAAATCAACAAAGACTTCAAACTTATATTTTAGAGGGAAATCTGATGATGATTCACAGCCCTTAAAGTAACATAGGAAGTTGCGATGTGAAAGCTAACGGTTTCTTCCTGATTTTTAATGTGTCTTGCAGAAGTGGAGACACATGGAATTTAAGTATAAGACAAACAAAAAGCAATAGAAAGGGAGTGTTTTCAGAAAAATCACCAAAAGGCAGACCATTTGTAATTAAAAAAAAAAAAACAAAACTGATGGTTACCTTTTAAGTAACTGATGGTTACCTTCATTTATATGAAAGCACAACAGCTTCCAGAACATGGTAGAGTCAGTACACGTTCTAGCCCTGTAGCTATTGCCTAAATCCAAATCCTGTCTTTAATCTCAAGGACTAAGTTGTATACAAATACTGCATATGCACATCTGCTTTTGGGGAGCACATTGACAAAGATTTCACTAGTTGATCCAAGGAGTCATGGTGCCTAAAAAGGTTAAGAACTATAGAGCCAAAGTAGTGATTGTCAGAGCTAAGCTAATCTCTTTGATCTTTACCAGTCAATGGTGCAGTGAGCAAAATAAAGATGGTGTGCTGTGTTTTCTTATAAATACAGAGGACTGTATTTTACTCCTGATTTTCATTTAAAACAAAAATGATACATTTTAATGGACATCTTAAGTTATCTCCAATTAAAAGGAGATTTTTCCCTGTCTCTTTCTTTGCCTCTCTAAGATCCACAGAGCTCAAGCGTGTTTGTTAATACAGTGACTCACAAATAGCATGATTGAGATCAGTTACTTCAGCAAGAATTTGGACTGAAAGTGTAGGATTATTTTCCATAACAAAGGTTAAAATCAAAGCCTTGCTTGAATAATGCTCAGTTAACCCTAAATTAAATCAATTGGGAAACCCTATTCTTTCAGACAGAGTTTGCAAACTAATTATAATTGCTGGAGTAGCCTAGACTTCTCTTAAGAAGGCTGATTCTTGCACCCTACTTGCAAGAGACTCTGACACATTAGGTCATAGATGGAACTCAGGAAAGTGCACTTTTTAATTAAGTGCTTCTCAGCTGGGTCTGAGGTCGGTGTCCTCGGAGAGCACCTTGATCATCACTAGATGAGAAGGTAAATGTAGTATACCAGGTGAGAGAAGACAAACATCCAGGTCTGTGTGCAGTTTGGTAAAAATGTTCCAGCAGAAGGTAGACAACCCTGGTTGAAGGTCTGCTTCCACCATTTCTTCCCTGAATCCTTTTCCTGTTGTGACATTGGCAGGTATGTTAGTTTCCTGGAGCTGCCCTAAACTAAATGGTTTTAAACAACAAACATTTATTTCCTCACAGTTCTGAAGACTGGAAGTCCAAAATTAAGGTGTCAGCAGGGCAAGTCCCCCCTCTCAGACTTGCTAGAATGCTTCTTTGTCTTTTCCTAGCTTCTGGTAGGGGCTATCAATCTTTGGCTTGTAGGGGCAGTCACTCCATTCTCTGCCTCTGTCCCCCATGGCATTCTCCCTGTATGCCTCTTTCCTCTTCCTAGAAGGACTTTGGTCATAGTGAATTAAGAGCTCATTCTACTCCAGTGTGGCCTCCTTTTTACCAAGTTAATTACATCTACAACAATCCTATTGCCCAGTCATTGGTCATAATCTGAGTTACTGCAGGTTAGGACTTCAACTTACCTTTTTTGCAAGACATGACTTAACCCATAAGAGAGGGAAAGAGGCCACATGGCTAGAATAAGTCAGGGACTCCCAAATCAGAGTCCTAAAGTGATCCAACATGACTGTCTGGTCTCTTAACAAACAAGCTAAGGTCACAGGTGCCTTTAAACTGAGCTCCAGATTCCGACTTAGTAAGTATGAGATTGTGCCTTTGAACCTGTTACTACTCTGCAGGAACCCCACCCGAAGCATCTGCTTAATGATGTTTTACTGAACGCACTTGTGTAAGTGATAAATAATGACTACATAAAACTTAGGTAATAGCCACATATAACTATGTATAGTATCTCCACCTCACATTGCTACCATGTGTTCGTCTATCTTGGCAGGAGCAGGGAAGCGGTGTTCACCGATTATGCTTGTTTAATTGATCATTCCATGCTTTTGAGGAAAATTGAAGTTCCTCCTAAGAATGAGCTTTCATGAAATTAAACCTAGTTTCAATGTTTTTATTTTTCCCCTATCGTAATTATCAAGAGGATAATGAAAATTGAGTCATTCGCCCACATTATGACTGCTTTCATTAGTAGTGGTAAAGGCTCTTCTTGAAGTGGAACCAAGATATAAATATGAGTTCATCCGAACCTCTAAGGACTTCAGGAGGCCATGCATTTGATCAAAATGGCATGCTTCACAATTGTCCTTTCAAGATAGAATACAGATAAAATGCAGAGAAACTGAAGCCAAAAGCACTCTGCCACAGCCTCACTCAATAACACATAACATTGCTAATCCCTGGCTGTTGCAGAGTAATTGCAGGCTTCTTCATGGAACCAATTTTCTGATTTTGGAGACTAAGATAATTCAAATTGCATGTCCTTAAGTATAAGAAGTGTAGTCTGCCAGTGGTTGCTTATAGGAGCTGGAGGAAAGAATTGGGCCTCCGTGTGTCTTACAAACTGTCGTTTTGTATTGAGCTCTTTCTTCAGCAAGAGGAGTCATGCCTATCTAAGGAGTAACAAATGTGTCTCGGGATCACTGAGTTGCATTGTCGAGTGGAATTTATAATTTTAATTATGCAGTTTGCTCTTTCAAATGACACATTTTGAAAAAAACAAATGTGGTTTATTCTTGAATAATTTGTAGTCAGTTCATAGTTTCCTTTGAGTATTTTTAGTTACATTTATGTTCCAATGGGACTTTTTCTTCTGTAGTGCCATTGTTACTGATCTGCATTTAGTTTGCAAAATCCCCTCTGGTATATCTGCCTCCCTGGTAATGCTGCCTATCAAGTGAGGTACCGATTTTTGATGATTCCTCACGTAAGTCTGGTACATAAAATGTTTTGCCCCAATTATTATTTCTTAGAAAGTGTTTTTTAGTGTGAATTAGCCAAATATTTCCATCAGTTTCGATATGCCTTGTGGACATCTAGATTTAGGGAAGAGTGTGACTGAATGCAAATGCTGTCTGTGAACTTTGCTCCAGGCCAGGTTGGAGATAAAATTAGACAAAAGCTATCTCTATGGATAATATCTTTTTGGTTTCATCTAGTCTCCACTGAGACTGAAACCTTGATTTCCAGATTCTTAGCAAAGGGTTGCATTCTCTTGATGGATCTACTATTCTTTGTGTCTCTGGGTAAAAAGTTATCAAAGAGAAGCAGAAAAATCCAAGCTGAAATCACACTCCAAATAGTCCAAAGAGTATCTATGACATTCCACATAAATATTCAGACCTTTGTTGGAAAACAGCTTTAAGCAAAGAGTGGTGTGTATAGTTAAGTCTCCACGTTTAGTAGCTGGTCATCACCACATCTTTGGGTCTCTTTCCCTGGGCCACAGCCCATCTTCATTGTTAGGCTTCGGTATTTTCATCTGTATTAATGAATTAATTCTTAGATATTTTTCAAACATTTACTGCTTGCATTCACTTGGATTAAATAATTTAAGAGAAACTCTGAGCTTAATGGAGAAGATTGATCTATGGGGAAAAAATTTCCAACGTTGGAACGGACATGGACGTGATAAATGATATGATGTCCTACAAGAGCCAAACGTAGTAAGAATGTGTAAGGAAAAACATAATGAGAAATCCACAGGTAGGAAGATGCTCCTGGTGAAATGGACAATCATGTGGATAAAGAAGTACTCCTGATCTTTATGATAGTCATTTGCCATATGTTTAAGTAAGCATTTCTATGTACTGGGCATTGTGTTAGCGATGACTAGAACGTGGCTTTTGCCCTAAAGACTCACAGGTGGAAGGGAAGACAGCCAAGTGAAGGAAGAAGCATGGCACTGGGGAAAGGCTGCCTCAGAGAATTGGCAGCTGTGTTATGGAGCAGAGAGGAAGGGGCACCTGAGAAGTAAATACTAGGAGGTTCTCTGGCTTGCAAAGCCCACTCAAACGAGCTCAAGTAAAGTGGGGTCATTGAGAAACATCAGGAATTCTCACAGAAACAAAATGCAGGGAGTATCTGGTCTCAATAGAACTGGGCATCAGGCAGGCACTCCGTATGTCTGTCTGTCTCTAAGTGATCTGGTTTTGTTTTGCTTCTTTCTATATATGCTTTGTCTAATACGGAGTCACGGGTATTTTACTGAACGATGTTTTTTTTTCAATAGATCTTCTTCTTCCTTGTTTAATTAAATTGCCTGAGTCATCTTTAAGGTAGCATTTTATGGTTAACAAATTGGAAATCATTGTAATTTCCAATTGACTCTTGTCTGGAGAGTCTTGTAATTGAGAAAATACTCTTTACAGTTGCTGAAGTACCTACTAAGTTTGGAGCAAATTCTGCTGGAGCCTATTTTTAATTCTAACCTTTAGTATTTAACTCTGTAATTATTTCAGCCAGAATATTTGCACACTTTATTTACAATGTTAAAATTTTAAACTGAGTTTACACTGGTCATCCACGATAATGTCAGATGTTTCACCTTCAAAAGAATCAATTTCCAAAAATGTACTTTGATTCTATGAATTGGATGATGCAAACCAGATTATTGTTGGAACTAGCATTATTTTGCACATGAAGCATCTACTGATACTGACATAAAATTTGCATCATTTAACTTTGTGGGAAGTTCTGCTAATGGAGCCAAAATATTGACTGTCACTGCTTCCCGTTTTGTATATGCATACTACAACTTGAAACTGAGAATAAGGAAAATTAATTCAGCAAAGCATTGACTGATCTAAATGAAAAGTGCTGGTTCATGGACTGATTCGAAAATTCACCTTTCATAGCTACAGATGTTAAATTGTTCATTTTAGGCACAGTCTTCCTAAAATAACTTCTAACTTTTGACAGCACTTGTTGATCCTTCTTCCACAGATCATGTCTTGTGGATTTCATGTGGTCATAAAAGTTTTGGTAAGTGGTGAGGCCAGAAGCTAGATGACAATTAAGGAGGTGCTAATTTTGAAGGGAGTGGCCCAGTTGATTCAAAAGTGGAGTGTTGGACTTTTATTTTTAATAATGTAATTTTTAGAATAATGCAATGTCCAATTCAGTCTCCTCCATGAAAATAACCTCACTGTAACTGAAAAAGTGCACCATATTGAGGTAAAGACATACAATAACAAATAGAATTATAATTCTGCCATGACGCAAGGATACGGCCAGCCTACAATGTACCGAGCAGACAAACAAAGTCACACTTGGGCAGCGGCACGTTCTGGTTTCTGAGTTTCAGTTCTGAGTCTTAGGCTGGCATAGTGCTAAAACTCTCACTCCTCCATGTTCCTTCTCCAGGGCCGGGATTTCTGCTCCCTCTGCTGCCCCAGGTGGTTCAGGCAAAATGTGATGGGAGGACATTGACAACTAGCATTGGGGAGCCAGATGAGGAGGGCAGCAGCTCTTCCTGGAAGAGTGAAGAGTTTACTCTTCAAGTCAGCAAAGTTAAATTTTCTTGTGCTCCTCATTAACATGGTGACTTGGGGAAATCCTTTGGTCTCTCGAGATCTCAGTTCTCTCGTTTATAAAATGAAGAATTGGCACAATGGCCCCTCTAACTTTGTAATTTGGAGACCCCAGGTTCTGTAATTCAAGGCAGAACTCTTCCCATCCCTCTCTTCTCCTCCCCTACCCTGCCCTTCCCCCTTGCTCTTTCCTCTCCTTGCCCTCCCTCCCTCCCTTCCTCTTTCTTTCTTTCTTTCTTTCTTTCTTTCTTTCTTTCTTTCTTTCTTTCTTTCTTTCTTTCTTTCTTTCTTTCTTCTTTCTTCTTTCTTTCTTTCTTTCTTTCTTTCTTTCTTTCTTTCTTTCTTTCTTTCTTTCTTTCGTGTGTACTTATTACTGAATTTACAATCTATTTGTTTTGACCTTTGAATATAAGGCAATTCCTTGAGGTAAAAGAAAGTTTTCTAAGATTTTTCAGGTAGAACCTTAGCATTTGACACAGGGCTTCTGAAAGACAATTACAGGAAACTGTGATGCAGAACCCCAAGTGGGATGTCAAATCCAAGGATTAGACTCAAATCCCCTGAGCATCCCATCTCCTATCTTTAGTGATCCAGTCAAGACATAGAGCGTTTCCTCTGTTTCGTAGTTGGAGTTAAATTCTGCTGGAGACTAGACTGTATGTTTTTATTTATTTTTTAAATCCAGAATGCTCTTTGTCATTTGACAGTGCAACATACTAAACTATTTAAAATACTTTGTGAGTGAAATCACAAGTCTGAGATGTGGTGTGTGTTGCTAGAGCACGTGAAGGGCAGGACTTGGGCTGGGCAGTCTCCTTCATCTTACCTCCTTTCTTAATCCGAGGCATGCTTTTCTTCTCTCTCTCTCAAACCCTAGTAATTATCGTAGACATAAAGCAGATTTCAATGCATAGACAGTTCATTCAGATTGGTGGGTTGGATTATGTCAAAAAATTATTTGGGCAATTTTTATCTGGTTTAAGTGGGTTAAAAGAATGATGGCACCCAGAGCTGCGCGGCTGCCCTCTCCTCTGATTTTGTATTCTGCCACATCTCTGTGATCTGTCCAATTCTCCGTGATCCAAAGAAGCATTGCATTGAATTTCCATCAATTCATACTTCTTTTCCTTCTTCAAAACTTCACATTGTTTTGAGGTGAACCCAGAGATACATATTGATGATCCCAGTGTTAGAGACCAAGTACTGTAACGACCACATTTAAGCTCACGTACACAGAACAGTGAGCTCACAAGGGCAGGGATTTCTCTTTGTTTACTGTTACATTCCTTTCACCTTCAACAGTGCATGGTGCAAAAGGGTGAGGGTGACCCCTGCTCACTTGCGGATGAGAATCTTGCCTGTTTTGTACCGCTCTGCACTGCAGCCCCTGGAACAATGTCTGCCTCTCATTTGTTGAGCGAGTGAATGAACTTAAGAATTTGATCCTTTCTGTTACAGAGTTTACAGTCTGGTTGGGAAGGCAGATTGGCAAAATTGTACAGAGCAGTAATTATCTGGGTTCACAAAGGAAAATTATCTCAGGACAGTTGTATTTTAATTGTCCAATTAATGACATAAGTAGTTGTCCTCAATATTCGAAGTAGGAAAGTAATATAAACAAGAATCGGCCCCCAGCAGACTTTGGCATCCTTGGATTTTTATTTGTTTGTTTGGTTGTTTAAATAAATCTTTGAGTGTCTCTATGTTCCAGGCAGACTATCAGGTGCTGGAAAGTCAAAAGTGAATAAGATAGATGCAGGTCTTGCCCAAATTAAACTCATAACTGAATGGGGAAAACAGTCAAAAAACAATAATTAAAAATGTTATTTTCTGCGGGCACCCGGGTGGCTCTGTCGGTTAAGTATCCGACTGTTGATTTTGGCTCAGGTTGTGATCTCAAGGTTATGGGATCGAGCCCCACATCAGGCACTGTGTTCAGCACAGAGTCTGCCTGAGATTCTCCCTCCCTCTCTCTCTGCCCCTTCCCTCTCTCTCATGTGCTCTCCAAATAAATAAATAAATAAATCTTTAAAAAATGTTATTTTCTGAAAAAAAGACATATTGAGTTACAGAATAACAGAGAAGGCTACTCTAAAGGGGATGAACTACAAAAATGGAACATTTAAGCTGAACTTGGAGGATGAGAAGGAACCAGCTCTGTGAAGAGCATTCCAGGCAGAGGAAAGTGTATGTACAAAGGCCCTGGGGCCCAAAAGCAGTATGGAACTCAGTCGCCAAGAGAACTGTTCCAGACAGTGGTGAACAAAGAGTCAGGTACTGAAAGGTTTAGCTCAAGGGGACATGGTACACCAGTGTACCATGAGGCACAACACTCATTCTTGCTCAGATGTGGAGAATGGATTGTGGTGCCCAAGAATGGAAGGAGGGATTTGCTTTAATAGTTCACCCAAAAAATGATGGCCAACTTGCTCCTGAAGTAGCAGCAGTGAAGAACACAAGGTATGGCAGGATGTGAGGTAGAATGAAAGAATTTGCTGTTGGAAAAAAATGGGGGAGTGTTAAGGGGAAAGCAGGAAAGATGCAGTACTCCTAGGTTTCTGATTTAAACAGTGGGTAGACAGGGGTTCTCTTGACTGAGGGGGTAATACCAGTGCAAATCTGGGGTGAGAAGAAAGCATGGATTTAGTGGTGGACAGGTTAAGTGTGAGATGTCTGCTGGACAAACTCAGAGTTGTCAGATAGCAGGAGGGAACCAGGTGTGTGTGTATGGATCTCAGAAAAAAAGTCTGAGCTCATGACATAAATGTGAGAACCCTCAACATGTTGAGGGCACAGTGATGGCAAACTAGCTGGACATATTAAAATTCACGCCTTCAGTTTACATAACATGTATCCGGAGCAGTGAACTACTGCAAATGCTTTTTCACCCCCCATTATTTTACCCACCCTGACTTTCTCAGCCTGGTCCTGTACTTTTTGTACTTGCCACAGGACCCTTGTCCACACATTTGCCCTCCTTGATCATGACTCCATTTTTTATTCTCTTTTACACCTGCTCTACGTTACCCTGTCATCTCTCACTTCTCCACTGCAGCCCATAGGCCTTCCAACCTCCTAAGCTGGTGCCTCCACCAGCTGCTTCTCAACCTTTGGACCCTCCCGGTGTGCTGTATACAGCGATCCACAAATTGTAGTGCCCTGGTGGTATTTGTTAAATAATGACAATATTCTTAAGTTCTGTGAGTCTTTTAATGTGAGGCTCTTTTTCCAATATCATGAGATGTCCTACCTACTTCACTAAAAATGAGGCTCAAGTCCTACAAAGGAAGAAGAATAAAGGGGGAGAATTTTTGGTTATAGGGCATTTGTAGATCAGGTTGAATTGGTATGTGAATCAGGCATGAAATTTGTTTTCTTGAGTCATCTTACCAAATTTTTCAAATAATGCTATGAATTAGAAACATTTTATCCACCATGAAGACAAGATACTAGATGATAAAGCTTCTCTATAGCATTTGAACTCCCTCTCAGCACCATGAATACCCATGGAAGTACATTATTTGATACATTATAAAGTCTTCATCTGTAGTTACTGATTAATGAAATTTGTTCTATAAATATATCCAAAGGTTTTGAGAAGCATCATTGCACGATACTGCATGTGACTACTCAATTTTAACTGGTCATACCCTCATTCTTACATGTCTGTTGTTTGCTTATCCACATCCTTGCTTCCTTCTTGGGTTGGACGCAGAGGTTCTGAGGTCTCATTTTTCTCCCAAATTACCATCCTAATCTGATGAGTGTCTAAAAAAAAAAAAAAAGTCAATTTACAATAATAGTTCTGTATCAACTGTAGGCATGTTCAGTTATAGATGACAGATACTCAAGTGTTGATTCCTGAAAGTAAAATCTGCTAATAATCCAGTTCAAATATTTTGCCTATTCACAGATCTGGAAAAGAACAGTGTATGCAAATTATGCAAATATTTTTAATATTCTTTACTACCTGCATAAAATGAGAATGAATTCCTCCTTGAGATATACATTTAGTATTTGAACAGGGATTTCATCTGTTAGTTGATATTTTGCTAAATTTACAAAAGCAAATATCATGATAGTTTTTTCTAGACTACCTGGATCACTCTATGCACATATATCATTATAGGTATCTCTCATTTTTAATAAAGAAATTTTATAGTGTGTTTGAAAAGTCTAAAGGATAAAGATCTAATTTTTTTTAAACTAAACATATTTAGAATAAACACATTATATGCTTGTTGGTGACAGCTACTCTGTGCAGGGAGATTGTTGGTGGCTCCATAGCTGTACAAAGACATCCAAGATAAAAGAAAGATGACAAGGTCTTTGCATTTGTCAGGTTGAAGCCAGGAGCTTCACGAGGAATATGAAGACTCTTTGGAATTCCTCAAATTCTTTGGAGTCAGAAGAGACATAGAGTCCCAGAAGGCTGCATGCAATGTGACAGTGGAGTCCCACAGAATGTTGTCACAAAGAACTAAGCAATCATGAGAAGAAGGTCTGACCCATGGCTTTCTAGAGTCTTCCACATGAAAAGCTGCTGATTGGATCTGTTAGAAATGATTGCCTCCTCAAAACCCCCTTTCCCAGGACAATAATGTAGTGTGAGTCAAAAGGTAAACACAATCCAATTTACAGAAATAAGTTTTATTGCTCATTTGCTAGATCCACACCATGAACTATGGAAAGTGCGTGTGTAACAGGTAGAATGGGTTCATCTGTCCACCATGAAGTGCTGTGGGCATCCAACCTTCTTTAGAGCAAATTTTTTTTTTTTTTTTTGGCCACATGCCTACCTTTGGATATTGATTTCTTCTCATACTATTTTTACCGCATGTCTTCCCCTTCTCAAAGGACTATCCTACACTTTTCCTGCCAATACAGAATTTCCAGGGGAGAAATAAGGGTCTGCCTTGCTCTTTAAGTGCTGTATTAAAATATTCACCTTTCAACTACGTTCAACAAATATGTATTGAGCCCCTACTTTGAAATTTCTGCACAGGACAAGAGTCTAAAGTACAGATTAGTGGGATGTTTTCTGTCTGAGTTGGACCGAGTCCGGTCAATTAGTATGCCAGAAGCCACTTCAAGTTTTCTCGAAGCACCTCTGTGCATGCCACTCTTCCTGGGAGATCCTGCTCTGCCCACTGTGGGAATGTACAGGTACCCAGGAGTGGTGCCGGGGATTTCTTCCATATGTGTCTCCAGCCTTCCCCCATCCACCCTGTGTCCTTCCTCTTCTTCCAGCTCCTCTTGCCTTCCCCTTTATTTTCTGTCTCACCTCTATAACAGCATCTGTCTTCTTGCTTTGTACTACTTCATCTTGCTCTCTTCCTAAATGGGCCCACAACCATTTTTATTTGTATTTTTAAGCCAAGCTTTGAGTGTGCATTTCCTGCAAGACCTGAAATGCTTTTCTGCTTCCAGTTTCTCTCTCCATTTTAGATCTCTTTGTGCCCAGGGGTTGGGCTAGTGTCTGATCGGGGATGGTACGTGGCTACCCTGGTCTCTGTTGAAAAGAATAGAGATCTGACATCTGAAGACCAGTCACAGCCACCTTGCCCGATATTGCCCACTTGCTGTGGTGGTCTTACAAGCAGCCCCATCCCTGGAGATGAAGAAAGTCAGGCCTGTCGCCTGGTTCCCATCTCAGCTAGTGGAACAGAGGTACAAACCTGCAAAATAAGAAGTTTGTTTCCAAATGAAAACCAGATGTGCCGAATCCCAGTGTAGTGCTCGGTCCACTCTCAGCCCTGTGTCTTAGCAGATACGGAGGGGTACCCTTCCCTCATGTGCCCTGCTCATCAACTCCAGCATTCCATTACCTAAAAAACCAGTACTCCAAATAAACTTTCAGTTACTGGAGCTAGAAATTGCAATCGCTGGCATTCAGGGAGCCGAACTGACAGTTGCTGGTGCCCAAATACCATGTTGCCTGACATCTCAATGCTGAGGAATTCTCTTTGCCAGTTAATTTTTGCTTCAGGGAATGAACAATTGCTTATCAGATTCCCTGACCATTTGTATAAATCTCTGAGACATTATTCTCAGAAGAGTCCATTTTCTTCCTCTTTCACATAAAGCAACCCGAGCCAGTAATCTGATATGCTTTTGTTTTCAGTTCTATTCTCATGAATTCTCCAAGTTACGTCTTTTTCTTTGGGGTTTAATTTGTTGTCCAACCAGAAGGGCACTTTAAGTAAAATCTATGGAATTTTAAAATGTCCAGGGCTTGTGACTGGAATATTTGAATATAGTTAAACTTACAGCAATAAACTTATGTGTTATAGGGCATGGGGCAAGGGATCAAGGTTGTGGGTTGTCCCAGGAAACGTTTGTCACATAGTTGGTCATCGACTCAAATGACAGGTGTTCTGGAACCATACTTGTATGGCATCGGTGGGTCTCTGGACATGGTTAGTTCCTTGTTAGTGAATGAATCTGATCAAGAATGTGTTCGAAATGCAGTCCCCATTCTTGCTTTCTGTAAGATGAAGTCTCTGGGGACACCTAAGACTTAGGCCTGCCCACAAGGAGCTTACAGTCCATTTGGGAAGTTAAGACATGATGTTGTGATCCGAAAGCCATCATTAACATTTCAGACTCTGTCAGCTCTACCTTCAGAACATTATCTGGTCATTGCCACCTGCTCTAAGCCCCCTCCCCTTATTTCCCATCCCAGTTGTTGTCTTATCTCCCATATGGCATCCCTGCACTTCCACTGCTGCCCTCTTCAGCCTGTTCTCAATATTATAATCAGGGTGATCTGGTCATGTCAGTCCTCTTTTGAGTACCCCTTGGGCCCCCCCCCCCAGTCTGCTCAGCATAGAGCTAGTATCCTTGCAACACAGACTATACCCTACACACAGTCCAGCCACATGCACTCTCAGTGACTCTCTGCTCCCAGCGTTCTTGCACACCATGCTCCATCTGTGCTCACCTCCTTGCTTCTCCTGGAGAACACGAGGAATTGCTACCACAGGGCCTTTGCACTTACTGGTCTCTCTGCTTGGAAACCTTTTTCCCTCAGATGGTTCACTTTCTTCCATATTCAGGTTTTCACTCAGAGTGAGGTCTTCTTAGGCCACATTCTGTTAAATTGGACTCACACACGCATATGCACACACACACAAACACACTTTCTGGCTTTCCTCTTTTCTTTCCATATAGATATCGTGTGAAATTCTAATATTTTGTGTATTGTCTATCTTTTCCCCAGTAGGAAGTAAGTTCCATGAAGGCAGGGTTTTTTTTTTTTTTTCCAGTTTTCCATCTTAGTATGTGGAACGATACCTGACACACAGTAGATAACCAATAAAAACTTACTGAATGATTATGTTATTGCTCCAAACATGAAGTGGCATGTTAGTTTCCTAGGGCTGCTGTAACACAAATTTCAGGTGTCTGCAGAACCATGCTCTTCTGAAATTCTAGAAGGGAATCCTGGCTTGCCTCTTTCAGCGTCTGGTTCTGGCTTGTAGTATTCAGTCTCTGCCCACATCATCACATGGCAAGCTCTCCGCATGTGTCGGTGACCTCACATGGTACTCTCCTTTCTGTGGGGGTCTGTGGCCTCATAGGTGGACACAAGTCACCTTGGAGTAAGGGTCCACCTTACCCTGGTGTGACCCCATCTTAATTTAATGAATTACATCTGCAACAATTTTCAAATAAAGTCACACTCTGAGATACCGGAAATCAAGACTTAAGTATATCTTTCTGGGGGACAGCTAAATCCATAAGAGCCAGTAAAGGGCTGAATTAATTAGAGATGAAGGAAATGGGGACATGGAAAACAAATGGCTGGCATGAGATTTGAAGGAAGAGCACACAGGGATCCCCATAATATGTGCCTCTGGAGTGTGAGGAGATAGAAGCTGGGGATGGAAAAGCATCTCAATCCCAGCATGGGTAGATGGGAAGGTTGGAAGCCAAGTCCATGTCCCCTAGTAGTGCTAGCATCCTAGGTCCAGTCTTCTCCTCCGTAAGCTGCCCCACATCCCAGAGGCAGCCAATGCCTAGGGCAGGTTATGTGTCTCCTGGAACTCTTACCAAGACACAAGTGAATCAAAGACTGTCTTTCTGCTTTCAAGAAACAGATTGTTGAAGAGCTAGTGGAAAGTGGGGGAGGAGGTGAGTGCTAATTTTCATCATGTCAAATAACAAATTGGTTGCACATTTTAAATTCTCCCACTTTCTTCACATCACCAAGAATTCCTATTGAAACTTTCATTTATGATTCATGTTCCTATGAGAAATACTATGTATATCATCACATAACCTGTGACCCATCTAATTTGTAAGATTTGCTCCTACCTATACCCCTTGCTGCATCCCGGCACATGTTTCTTTTTATGCTTTTCTTTTAACCCTTATCAAGTACAGCCATTACTTACAGCCTTTTCTGCCATCCTCTTTCCTAGGTCCAGCTTGTCCATCTTCAAATGCAAGTTAACCCCTAACCTTTTGGTGGCATTCATTATTTCCTACCCTGCCTTTTAGGTGTACGTGAATGAAGTTTTTGTCTCTTCTAAATTAGGATGCTAAACATGCCAAGAGTATGATTCTTTTGTTAACACTTTTCAGGAAACTGTAGATATAAATTCTGATTTAATTTTTGTTGTTCTGAACAAAAAAAAATGTGAAGTTTCAAATGTAAGAATATGATATCCCTCAGTTGTTTTCTGAGACAGCAATACACGACAATGAAAAGGGGTTAAGATTCAGAGAAGGGTTTGAGAAAGAAGAATTAAGAAATGTGGAGAAAGTTTGGTGGACATTTAAAAGTCTATATTATAGTATACTTGGCCATCTTTGGTTTTGTTTTTCAAGCATCTATGCTCTTTTTTTGGAAAATAAATTATTTTACGTATGTGGTAGACCAAATAATGTCCCTCCAAAGATAGCCCCATCCTAATTCCTGGAACCTATGAATATAGTAGATTACATGGGAAAAGGGACTTTGCAGGGATGATTAAGCTAAGGATTTTGAGATAGGGAGATTATTCTGAATTATCTGGCTTTGTCCAATGTAGTAACAAGGGCTCTTACTAAGAGAGAGGAAAGAAGGTTTTGTAATGACAAAAAACAGAGAGCAAAACAAAGACATCATGACAACAGAGCATTGAGAGATTCAATTGCTGGCATTGACTATGGAGGATAGGGCCACAAGCCAAAGGATGCAGGTAGCTTCTGGAAGCTAGAAAAAAGCAAGGAAATGAAATCTTCCCTGGAGCCTGTAGACGGAATGCAGACCTACTGACACCTTGATTTTAGAACTTATGACCTTCAAAACTGTAAGATAATAAATTTCTGTTGTTTTAAGTCAACTAATTTGTGGTAATTTATTACAATGGCAAAAGGAAACTAACACACATATTTTAAGGGAGAGAAATTAAGACCCTGACAATTAAAAGCAGAGACTAGGGCTTGGCAATCTTTTCTGTAAAGGACCAGATAGTAAATATTTTAGGCTGTGTGGGCCATATGGTCTCTGTCATGACTACTCAACTCTGTCATGTAGCATGAAAATAGCCAGAGGCAATATGTAAATAAATGGATATGGCTGTGTTCCAATAAAACTTTATTTACAAAAATAAGCAATAGCCTGGATTTGGCCCATGGGCTGCAGCTTGCAGATACATGGTATAAACCTATGTCTCATCATTATTTATTCTTTTAATTTATATTTTGTCATATTCTGGAATCTATTCCTATTTAAGTGTGCCACATGACCCACTGAACTAACTATAGAACAGTCATCGATGGTCTGTAGTTTGTTCTCCCACCAGTAACATTAAGATGTTTAATCTGTAAAAATCAAGTTCATTAAGACTCTATAGTTATCTTTATTTTTTTTAAAAAGATTTTATTTATTTGACAGAGAGAGACACAGCGAGAGAGAGAACACAAGCAGAGGGAGTGGGAGAGGGAGAAGCAGGCTTCCCGCCAATCAGGGAGCCCAATGCGGGGCTCCATCCCAGGACCCTGGGATCATGACCTGAGCCGAAGGCAGACGCTTAAGGACTGAGCCACCCAGGTGCCCCTCTATAGTTATCTTTAATTCCTCAGTATTTGCCCACTGGAAAAGTTGTGTTTTGGCAGTGTAAATAGTAGTGCTAAATTACTCTGGCTTGATTTGCGCAAGTGAGAAGATCATACTGTATTTTCACGAAGCAGCCAGCATTTCTAATGCTGAGAATATGCACATCTCATAAAAATGTATTTCATCAAGCACTGTCTACAGAGGATTAAACTAAACTGTAAAACCATGTTTTTGTGTACAGCTTTCAAGATTGCTAATGCTCTTTTGTTTATCATTTCTCCATGGGACATCTCTCTTGAGGCAAATGTTCTCTCAGCAGAGAACTGTACAGACGGTGTGATTTTTAGCCAAAGAAATTGCTGCATACAAGGATTCTTATTAGGCTCATGTCATACATGAGTACTTTGTGCTTGTGTGAACCTGACCCCAAACATCTGTATATATGTGGCAAGTTAAAACAGCCTGCTAATACCTGGCTTGCCAGATACGGTTTTGTCCGCATCATGTTTATATTAGGATTATGTGACATTGACCCCCTTCCTGTGTCTATTGGCTTCTTTCTCCCTTCCTCCTTGCCTGTCATGCTGACTCCAGCCTGACCAGCTTAGATCCAATCCTGCCCACTCCCAGGTCAGTCCTGAATCACGATTACTTCCTCTACAACTTCTCTTAATATCCTTCTGGTCTGTATGTTGGTTAGTTCATTAATGTCACATGAAGTTTTACTGTTTACATGATTTTTGCATTCATCCTGTGAAATTATAGATGCTCATATTCAGAAACTAGCTTATAATTTGTTTACAGTTCATAATGCATAAGTATATTTAATAAATATTTTCTGGCTTATTTAATTGCTAGATTCTATTACTTAATTTGAGCCTTCTTTGGATTTTTATTTAAAAACTTTATTTTTTTAAGAATATTTTTAGGTTTACCACATTGAGGCAGGTGTAGAGATTTCTCATATCCCTCCCCCCCCCACACACATTTATAGCCCTCCCCCCCGCCCATTATCAACATCATTCACCAGAATGGTACATTTTTTACCTGGGATGAACCTACATTGAACCCAAAGCTCATAGTTTACTTTAGGGTTCCCTTTGGGTATTGTATATTTTATGGGTTTGGACAAATTCCATCATTATAATATCATACAGAGTATTTTTATTGCCCTAAACATTCTTTGTGCTCTGCCTATTCATCTCTTCCCCTCCAAACACTTCTAGCAACCACTTGTCTTTTTATCATCTCCGTAGTTTTGCCTTTTCCTAAATGTCATATAGTTGGGATCATACAGCATGTAACCTTTCCAGATTGGCTTTTTTCACCTAGTAATATACACTAAAGGTTCCTCCATGTCTTGTCATGACTTGATAGCTCATTTCTCAAAGCACTGAATAATTATTCCATTGTCTGATGTACCACAGTTTGTCCATTCACTTACTGAAGGACATCTTGGTTGCTTCAGAGTTTGGGCAATTATGGATAAAGCTGGTATAAATACCTATATGCAGATTTTTGTGTAGGCATAAGCTTTCTATTCCCTTGGGGAAGTACCAACGAGCACTGGATCATATGGTAAAATTATGTTTAGTTTTTTAAGAAACTACCAAAATAACTATACCATTTTGCATTACTACTACCAGTATATGAGAGTTCCTATTGCTCCACAATCCTTGTCAGCTTTTGGTGTTGTCAGTTTATTGGATTTTGACCATTATAATAGGTGTGTAGTACAATCTCAGTGTTGTTTTAATTTGCATTTCCCTGACAACAAAAGCTTTCATGAGTGTTTTTACCATCTATATATCTTCCTCAGTGACGTGTCTGTTAAGGTCTTTGGTCTATTTTTTAAATAGGCTCTTTTCTTATTACTGAGTTTTAAAAATTCTTTGTATATTTTGGTAACAGTCCTTTGTCAGATGCACCTATTGCAAATATTTTCTCTGAGTCTGTATCTTGTTTTGTCATTCTCTTGATATTGTCTTTCACAGAGGAGAAATTTTTAATCTAAACAAAGTTCAAGTTATTATTTCTTTCATGGGTTAGGACTTTGGTGTTGTATCTAAAAAGGCTCTGCTATGCCCAAGGTCAAGCAGACTCCCCACTGAGCACGGAGCCAGACTAGGGGCTTGATCCCATGACCCTGAGATCATGACCTGAGCTGAAAGCAAGAGGCAGATGCTCAACTGACTGAGCCACCCAGGTTCCCCTGTGTTTTACATTTAGATTCATGATCCACGTTGAGTTAATTTTTGTGAAAGATGTTAAGTTCTGTGTCTAGATTCTTTTTTTTTTTTTAAATGTGGATATCAGTTGTTCCAGCACTGTCTGTTGAAGAGACTATCTTTATTCATTGTATTATTGCCTTTATTCCTTTGGCAAAGATCAGTTGACTGTATTTATGGGGATCTATTTCTAGGCTCTGTATTCTGTTCCATTGATCTATTTGTCTATCCTTTCACCCATACCACCCTGTATTGATTACTATAGCTTTATATTAAGTCTTGAAGTCAGTAAGTGTCATTGTTCTAACTTTGTTGTTCTACTTTATTATTGTATTGGCTATTCTGGATCTTTTGCCTCTTTGTATAAACTTTAGAGTGAGTTTGTTGATATCTTAAAATAACTTCCCGTGTTTTGATTGTGATTGCATTGAGTCTATAGATCAAGTAGAGAAGAACTGACATCTTGGCAGTATTGAGTCTTTTCCATCTGTGAACACAGAATATCTCTCCATTTATTTATTTCTTCTTTGGTTTCATTCATCAGAGTTCTGTAGTTTTCCTTACACGGATCTTGTACATATTTAGTTAGACTTATTAAGTATTTCATTTTTGGGGGGTGCTAATGTAAATGGCATTATATTTTTTAAATTTGTTTTATTTTTATTTTTTTATTATGCTATGTTAGTCACCATACAGTACATCATTAGTTTTTGATGTAGTGATCCACGATTCTTTGTTTTCATATAACACCCAGTGCTCCATGCAGTACATGCCCTCCTTAATACCCATCACCGGGCTAACCAATCCCCCCTCCCCCCTCCCCTCTAAAACCTTCTGAGAAACAAACTGAGGGCATTGCATCTTTTATTTCAAATTCCATTTCTTCATTGTTGGTATATAGGAAAGCAGTTGACTTTTATATAATAATCTTGTATCTTGCAACCTTACTGTAATAACTTATTTATTATAGGAGATATCTGTTGATATTTTTGGATTTTCTTTCTTCCCCCCAAGTTTTTACTTAAATTCCAGCTAGTTAACGTAGAGTGCAATACTAGTTTCAGGTGTAGAATTTAGTGATTCATCACTTACATAAAACACCCATGCTCATCACAACAAGCTGTCCTTAATACCCATTACCTATTTAACCCATCCCCCTGCCCACCTTCCCTCCGGTAACCATCAATTTGTTGTCTATAGGTAAGAGTCTGGTTCTTTCTTTCCCCTATGTTCATTTGTTTTGTTTCTTAACTTACACATATGAGTGAAATCATATGGTGTTTGTCTTTCTTTGATTGACTTATTTTGCTTAGCATTATGCTCTCTAGCTCCATCCACATCATTGCATGGCAAGATTTCATTCTTTTTTATGGCTGAGTAATATTCCATTATATATATTATATATGTGTGCATGTGTGTGTGTGTATATGTATATACATATACACACACACATCACATCTTCTTTATCCATTCATCAGTCAATGGATATATGGGCTGTTTCCATAATTTGGCTATAGTTGATAATGCTGCTATAAACTTTGGGGCACATATGTCTCTTTGGATCAGTACTTTTTATCCTTTGGGTAAATACCTAGTAGTGCAGTTGCTGGATTGTAGGGTAGTTATGTTTTTAAATTTTTGAGGAACCTCCATACTCTTTTCCAGAGTGGCTGCCCCAGTTTGCATTCTCACTAACAGTGTAAGAGGATTTCCCTTTCTCCACATCCTTGCCAACACCTTTTGTTTCCTGTGCTGTTAATTATTGCAATTCTGACTGGTGTGAGGTGATATCTCATTGTAATTTTGATTTGTATTTCCCTGATGATGAGTGATATTGGGCATCTTTTCATGTGTCTGTTGGCCATCTGGATGTCTTCTTTGGAAAAAGGTCTATTCATGTCTTCTGTCCATTTTTTATTCTTTTTATTTTATTGATTTATTTGACAGAGAGAGACACAGCAAGAGAGGGACCACAAGCAGAGGGAGTGGGAGAGGAAGAAGCAGGCCTCTCACTGAGTAGGGAGCCCGATGTGGGGCTTGATCCCAGGACACTGGGATCATGACCTGAGCCATAGGCAGATGCTTAATGACTGAGCCACCCAGGCGCCCCTTCTGTCCATTTTTTACCTGGATTATTTGTTTTTTGGGTGCTCAGTTTTATAAATTCTTTTTGTTTAAGCTAAATGCCCAGTGTGGAGCCCAACGTGGGGCTTGAACTCACAACCCTGAGATCAAGACCTGAGCTGAGATCAGGAGTTAGACACTTAATCAATTGAGCCACCCAGGCATCTCATAAATTCTTTATATATTTTGGATACTAACCCTTTATCAGATATGTCATTTGCAAATATTTTCCCCCTCCCCAAATAGGTTGCCTTTTAGTTTTGTGCTTGTTTTCTTTGTTGTGCAGAAGTTTTTTATTTTGATGAAGTCCCAATAGTTTATTTTTGCTTTTGTTCCCCAAAAACTTTGGATTCTCTGTGTAAACAATCATGTTATCTGTGAACAAAGACACTTTTAAGTCTTCTGTCCCTATATATGACTTTTATTTCCTTTTCTTGACTTATTGCATTAGCAACATCCAGTGTGATGTTGGAAAGGAATGGTGAGAGGGACATTCTTGCTTTGTATTTGATCTTAATGGGAAAGCTTTGAGTTTCATACTATTAAGTATGATGTTAGTTATAGGGTTTTTTTGTGGCTAGTCCTTATCAAGTTGAGAAAGTTTCCCTCTATTCCTAATTTACTGAGCATTTTTATCATGAATAGGTGTTAGATTTTGTCAAATCCTTTTTCTGTATCTACTGATATGATCGTATGTTTTATTTTGTTGTTTTTTTTTTTTTTTGTCTGTTGATGTGATGGATTACATTAATTGAATTTTGAATGTTGAGCCAGTCATGCATACCTGGGGTAAATCCCACTTGGTTATGGTGTGTACTTCTTTTTATACTCTTTTCAGTTCAGTTTGCTAATATTCTGTTGAGGATTTTTGCATTTGTGTTCATGAGATGTATTAGTCTGTAGTTTCTTTTTCTTCTTATATCTTTGTCTAGTTTTGATATTAGGGTAATAAAATGAGTTAGGAAATATTCCCTCTGCTTCTATCCTCTGAAAAAGATTGTAGAATTGGTATAATTTCTTCCTTAAATGTTTGGTAGAAGTCACTACTGAGTTCATCTGGGCTTGGCACTTTTGGTTTTAGAAGATAATTAATAATTAATTCAATTTATTTAATAAATACAGGCCTATTCAGATCATCTGTTTCTTCTTGTGAGAGTTTTGGTAGATTGTGTCTTTCAAGGAAAGGGTCCATTTCGCCTAGGTTATCAAATTTGTGGGCATAGTTGTTCATAATATTCTCATTATGCTTGTAATTTCCATAAAAATCTGTACTGATGTCCCCCTTTTCCTTTCTAATATTAGTAATTTGTGTCCCCTCTCTTTTTTTTTTAGTTACCTTGGCTAGAGGCTTATCAATTCTATTGATCTTTTGGAAGAACCAGTTTTTGGTTTTGTTGATTTTCTGTGTTGATTTTCTGTTTTCAATTTCATTTTCAATTTCTGCTCTAATGCTTATTATTTCTTTTTTTTTTCTGTTTACTTTGGATTTATTTTATTTTATTTTTCTCCTTACTCTGAATTTAATTTGTTCTTCTTTTTATAGTTTTCTTAAGGTAGAAATTTAAATTATTGATTTTTGTTCTTCTTTTCTGATCTATGCATTCAGTACTATAAGTTTCCCTCTAAGCATTGCCACAGATTTTGATAAGTTGTTTTTATTTTCATTTAGTTAAGAGTATTTTTTAGTTTATCTTGAGAATTCTTCTTTCATCCACGTATTATGTAGAAATATGCTGCTTAATCTCCACATACTTTGGGATTTTCCAGTTATTTTTTCTTTTATTGATTTCCAGTTTAAATCTCTTATGGTCTGAGAGCAGACATTTTATATTTCTACTCTTTTACAGTTGTCAGGGTGTGTTTTATGGCCCAGAATGTGATCTACCTTGGTGAATGTTCCATCTGTGCTTGAGAAAAATAGATACTCTGTTGCTGTTGGATGAAGTAGCCTATAGATATCAGTTATATCTGGTTGATTGTGGGTGTTCAACTATGTCCTTACTGACTTCCTGCCTGCTGGATTTGCCCACTTCTGAGAAAAGACTCTTTGGATTTTAGTGTAGGTGTATGACAATATATTGAGAAATACTAGTGGTTTACAACAGGATCCTTACTTTCATTTTACCATTTAAGTTGCAGCAAGTGTTCACCCCCTCCCTTAATATTTTCTCTTTTTTTAATTTTAAAAAATTTTCCCTCCCTTAATGTTTTTAGAGAAAGCAATCTACTCTCATTTCTAGATTTTTGCTTAGTGGGTATCATTTATGTTTAAAAATCATATTTGATAATAATATTTAATTAATGTCTTGGAAGCAAAGTATAATTAGGCTGTATGCCTGAACCTTTTTGGTTTTGGCTTGACTTCACCTAAGCTATTCCAGATGATTAAGCATTTTTATTATCTTCAAACACTTACATAGAAGGCAAGGCTTGAGTCTCCTGACATGGATTGATTCTAGTTTAAATAAATCTGCCATTCTACACATTGGCCAGGCCTCCATGAATATACCACTTGGTATGGAGAGCTGTGTTTGGTAGTGCATTTCTGACTTCTTTCCAGTTCTCAGGAATACCTCCTCCTTGTATTCCAATGTCTCATAGGTGTGATGACTATGTGGTTGGCCTGGTTTGCAGTGTATACTTCCATCCACTCAGCAGATGTAAAAAGTAGAATTCCCCTGAGACTCCACCATAAAGTATTCTAAGGACATTTAGAATAAGTGCTGAGCATCTAAACCATTCCTCTTTTTAATTGTCTCTGCACCCGCTCCACTGAAAAATTATGATTTAGTGGATCTTCTGATGTCTAAAGGTATTGCAAGCTAGTGGTCAGGACATTAGAATAATAAGAGATAGCTAAAAGTGCTTGCTTGCCCCCTTGTAGTCATACTGTTTGGATGAGTGCGAAAAGATGAGTGACAAGTTGAGATCAACTAATTACATAAAAATAGACACAAGACATTGCTCCTCAACAGCACCTCTGATGTACACCTGCCAAAAATGTGTGTTACCTGGAACTAAGTGTGGGAAAACAGATGGATCCAAATGGAGGCACATTATGCAAAATAAATGGCCATGGGCTCTTGCAAAATGCCAATGTCTTTAAAGTCAAAGAGCCCGAGGAAACGTTCCAGAATAAAGAATCCCTGATTGGATCCTAAATTCAAAAATAAGATTTCTCAGTTTTACAGGGCATTACTGCATCAGTGGAAAAAATTTAAATACGGAGTGCATGTTAAGAGGATCAAATTATTGTTAAATTTTCTGTGTGTGGAGAATTATATTGAAGTGATGGGGGTTAATATCCTTCATGGAAGGTACATGGTGAAGTATTTTAGGGATTCAGAGTAAAAGATTTGCCACTAACTCCCAAGTAATTGAGAATAAGAGAATGTGTATGTGTGTATACCTATGCATACATACCTATGAATGCACATACACTCATCTGTATACATATATAGGCAAATGCAAACATAAACGAGAGAAAGAATGTAGTAAATGTTAACAATTAGTAAATCTTGGTATATGGGTGTTTGTTATAATATCCTTCCAATTTTTCCATAGGTTTGACATTTTTCAAAATAAAATGTTGGGGGGAAAAAGACAAATCCCAGTGTCTTTTCCCTGGCTTTGGTTTGGCTATTAGTTAAGGTTCAGATAAACTGAAGTGGAAAATCCCCAAGCTACTAAAAGAAATAATCTGTTCTAATCCTTTACAATATTTGGATATTTTGGCAATTATAAACAAGGGCAGTTGAAGGCTAACTAAACAAATACGTCTTCATATATGTTTGACCCTGTAAGGGATGCCTGTTAAATATACAAACAAATAAAATAACACAGCCAGGCATCCAGGCATGGTGATAATCACAAGTTTTTGATTTGGAAATGTTTCCCAGTTTGAGAGTTATTGCTTTCAGCTGTGATAATAACGGGCTTTTCCGCTAAGGGAAAAATACATAGTGTTTAAAATAAATATCGTCAGTACAGTTTTGCAGTGTTGAGGAAACATGAATGACCTTTTTTCCTTTTCTTTAAACATTATAATCACTTGAAGTTCTCATGAATGTTTGTTGGGGGAAACAGAATTCTGATGGACTAAAGGTGAAAAAAAAAGATTGGTTACAAAAGGGCTTGCCCATCATTTTAAACAAAGCTCAACTGTTTCTATTTGTCGCCTTCACCCAAGGAGAAGCCCAGATTTTTGCCCAAGCATGTTGGCTACGCTTTTTTATGAAATCTGGATTTTTCCTGTTGAATGCAATTCAGAATGGAATTATAAGCTCAGGGGACGTCATTACTTACTTCCTAGGAATTGACTCAAACCAGTGTTGTTCTGAGCATTGCAGCTGTCTTTACAGTTACCCTGAGACCAGTTTTAAAAGAATCCACACATTGCTCCAAGGACCAGCAAAAGGTTTGAAGACATCTTCTTGATGTGATTTCACACTCTCTTTTTTTTTCCTTATGGAAAAGTAGTAACAAGTTGGGACCTCCCTCAATCTGACATGATAAATCTTTCAGCAAGAAGGTTAAAGAATTATTCAGTTATCACACTAAATTCTATTTCTGTTTTTTTTTTCTTTTTTTCTCTAATAGCCAAAATACCAAGAACTATAGCGAATACCATTTATCGAGTAGCCATGATGTTTCTGACATCATGCTCGGTGAACTACCTACAGTCATCAGATACAAACACCACAAGAGCTCTGTCGCTTCTATTATCTTACTTTACAGAGAAGGAACATTTTATAGCTAAATTAATAGGTGGTGCTTGGTCTGATAATAAAGCCTTGCTTTTACCACTACAGTATACTGCTTCCTGCCAATGAAGGGCATTTATTTTTCTTTATTCCATCCTCCACTTCAGAATGTGACAGATAGCATACAGAAGCACAGCCAAATGGATTGAAACAAATCCTTTTCAGGTGGCAATTTTATTACTTTTCTCTACCAGCTGGACCATTAGGTATTTTATGAGTGTGTTTATTTTTCTAGAGTCTTAACAAGGACGGGCATTTATTTGTCAATTAAAATCCATACCACCAACTAAAGGAAGTATCAGACATTCTGCAGGAATCATTCATGTCAAGGTAATTTGCCTTGATTTAGACCAATGATCATGGAAGAATTCAGCCGAATTCTCAAGGACCCTCCTTGGAAGGGAGAGAAAACAACAGGGGGAGTTTCTAAAGCAAGAAGGCTACTCAACTGATGCCCATTCACTGACTCAAAAAGACTTGGCAGGTGGGAAGTTGAGTGCATATTCAACATCCAGTAGCTACTGCTTCTTGTTTGTTCAACAAACATGATCATCAGATCTGTGCCAGGCACTGGAGTCATTCAGAGGCTACAGTTGCCTGCAAGTCTAAATTCCTAATCTCTATTGAATTGCTATGCAAAGTAGGATGTTAGGAATAAACGATAATACCAATACCAATACTAAACCAGTCACTTATTAGTAATCATGACTATTAGCATTATCTTTAAAATATAGTAATAAATCATTTTGGATGCACCCAGGACATTTTCCTCATAGTGTTTTTTAAATCTTTTTCTAAAAACAGTCACGAATCAGGTGGAAGATAACCAATTAGAAACTTCCATGTTGTAAACATTAAACTTTGATTATATTTACCTTGGATGACTAAGTAAGTTGCTTCACTTTTCTCCATGCTTAAAATGGTGTTATATAGCCACATTGTGCTTGATTACATGATTCATTTCTATGGTGAACCCTTGGAAACATGCATATAGGTTGTACACATTGGGAAGCCATTTAATAATTCATTAAAACTTAATATGTTTTAAATTGTAAGCCTGATTTTGCATTTATACCTAGCTAATTTTATTTTGCTGAAATGTGTTGATCAACGATTATTTTTTCTAATATGACCCATCATTATGAACATTAAGCCACCAACTTTGGCAACAATGTCATCAGCTACAATCTGTTTTCATCTGTTTTCTTTCAAACTGGTTTATTGGAAGGAGTATAATATTATAGAATCACAAAATGATTATAACAAGTTAATATGAGTTTTTTCACTTAAATTGGTAGTTACCCCTGCTTCTCTGAAAAAAGAATCTGGGAGGAAAATGCCAAAATTGTAAGACCTCCTATGATAGGTTCAGAGAATGAGTTTGTTCTGGAACACAGTGGGTGTTTTTTAGAGTGCAAATTATTTGTTAAATAAAGGCAACAATTAATCAAGTGAGAAATTTGACTGAAAGTAATACTTTTCAAAGGTAGTATTTTTTCTTCTTCTACTGAATTATGTTCATTGTGCAACTTCCCCTGTAGAAAAGATACCTGTTTTTAATTCTTGAGTATTTTACTTTTAAAATGCTCCTATCTTAAATTCAAAATTACATATTTGCTTTTATGATAGAATATTTATGACAGTTGTAATTGATAGCGGTTTGTGTAATGCTCATTCACACACATCTTTGAAGCTCCATATTTTATTTTATTATAGGGACTATGTGAATTTTCATTTTCTGCTTATAGACTTTATCTTGGATTTTCTTTTTTTTTTTTAAAGATTTTATTTATTTGCGAGAGAGAGAATGAGAGACAGAGAGCATGAGAGGGAGGAGGGTCAGAGGGAGAAGCAGACTCCCTGCCGAGCAGGGAGCCCGATGCGGGACTCGATCCCGGGACTCCAGGATCATGACCTGAGCCGAAGGCAGTCGCTTAACCAACTGAGCCACCCAGGCGCCCTATGCAATATTCTTTATAGTCATATTTATGTAACCAATTGATTATGACAGAATGCTTTAACTGATATTTTATCTGTACCCAACCTATGGTTGCAATTGGTGAATGAGTGTAGTACAGAATAATGGAGGATATTCCTGTTTATGTTAACAAGTTATACAAAAGTGAAACAATAAGATGTGTTGAAAATTCACCATTTGTCAGCGACATTAATGACTTCTTTGTTAAATCAGATAATAACATTTGAGTACTGGAAAAATCTTTTCTTAATTTTTTTGTACTACTCACAGTGTAATGACCATAGACATGATACACTTTTAAGTTTAATCTGCATTATTAACAATTTTTCCATTATGCTCCTTTGTCTGGACAATACAAAAAAATAACAAATCAAGCTCTGATTTCTAACATGGAACATTTCCTTGGTATAAATACTTTCCAAATTGCCAATGTCAAGCTATTACCAGGGCATTGCTGAACACAGAGCTAGGAAAACACATGCAGTAGTCCACATTACTCAGTGTTTCCACCATACAGATCAAAAGACACACGGAACATGCAACTTAATAAACTGCAGTAAAAATAAGGAAGTGATGAATTTTGAGTATTTATTTTGTTATTAATATGATTTACTTAATTTTAAGTTTATGCAGTTTAGTTGTTAATAATGGCCATATTAACAAATAGCTTGTAAATTTTTTTAAAATTTCACAGTGAGCTATTGTCAGCTGGTTCAAACCAGATTCAGTGCAGTGTTGCCCAGCGCCACTGACTGACTAGTCTGTGTGGAAAGTTTCTGGGTTTGCTAATCCATTCTGTGGTCCTATTTACTTATTTCTGCTCCAGTACAACCCTATTAATTAGTTCAGTTTTAAAACTCAACTTGAGGGGCGCCTGGGTAGCTCAGTCAGTTAAGCAGCCGACTCTTGATTTCGGCTCAGGTCATGATCTCAGGGTCATGGGATCGAGCCCCATGTTGGGCTCTGAGCTCAGTGCAGAGTCTGCTCAAGATTCTTTCTCTCCCTCTCCCTCTGCCCCTCCCCCTGCTGTCACACTTCCTCTCTTTCTCTCTCTAAAATAAATAAAAATAAATTAAATTCAGCTTGATATCTGGACGAGCAATCCTTTCACAGTTCTTTTTTTTTTTTTTCTGGAATCTTTTTGCTGTTCTCGTAAAGGGATATCTTGAGACTTCCATCTTCACTGTACATTTTATCATTATTTTGTGAATTTCACAAAAAAATGTCTTGGAACTTTGGATGAAATCCCACTGAATAATGGGTCAGTTTGGTGAGAACAGATATCTGTATGATCCTGAGTTTTCTTACGCATTAATACTGTATTGTTCTCCTTTTTAAGTCTCTTTCACATTTTTAATATAATCTTAAAAGGTTTAAAACTTCTTTTTTAGATTTATTCCTAAATATTTTATATTTTTGGTTGCAGGTGTAAAGACTTTTTTATCTTCCTTTTTTTTCTCTTAAGTCACCTCCTTTGAGATGTAATTTACATAGAGTGGATGCACAAACTTTGTATGTGTGGTTTGAATAAATTTTGACAAGTGTGTACACTCATGTCACCACCTCCACAATCAGGATGTAAAACAGTCCTGTCATCCCAGGAAGTCCTTAGGGCCCCATTTCAGTCAAATCCTCACTCCCTTCCAAATCCCGGGAAGTCACTGATTGACTTTTTGTCACTGCAGATTAGTTTTGCCTGTTCTGGACGTTCATATAAATGGAATTATACAGTATGTACATTTTTGCATCTGGCTCTTTTTGCCAAGCAGAATATTCTTCTCCAGACACTTTATTTATAAACTTGCTGGTATGTGGCAGTGAAATTTGTGTTTTGTGAAAATTGATGTTATGTACAGTTATTTTGTTAAACCTTTTTAGTAAACCCAATAATTTATCTGGGACTATTTTAGTTTTTTAATGTGAATAATAACAGAATCTGGAGATAATGACATTTTGATTTTTTTCCTTTCCAACCCTTATACCCTTTATTTATTTTTCTTGTCTTATTATGCTAGCCAGACCATTCAGAGCTAAATTGAAGTTGTAACAGTAGGCATCATCATGTTTCTCTTATTTCCCACAAGAATGCTTCTCTATATTGCACCATTAAATTTAATAATTGCTGTAGGTGTTATATAAACAGATTTTATTAGGCTAAGGAAATTTCTTTCCATTTCCAGTTTGCTAACATTTTTAAAAGTCATTAATGTGTATTGGATTTTATTAACTACTTTTTACTATAGCTATTGATAATTTTTTTTCTTTTAATGTCCCATTTACATATATATTCATGAGTGAGATTGGCTTCAAAGACCAAGATTTGGCAAACTTTTTCGTAAAGAGTCAGTTGATAAATATTTTTAGCTTGCAGGCCATACAGTCCATCACAACTTCTCAGCTTTTCTATTATAGTATAAAAGCAACCATAGATAATATGTAAGCAAATATTTATGTCTGTGTTTCAATAAAGCTTTATATGAAAATAAAGGCAGCCAGGAGTGCCTGGGTGGCTCAGTTGGTTAAGTGTCTGACTCTTGATTTCAGCTCAGGTCATGATCTCAGGGTCATGAGATCGAGCCCTGGGTTGGGCTCTGCACTGGGTGTGGAGCCTGCTTAAGACTCTCTCTCTTCTCTCCCTCTGCCCCTTCCCCTCACTTGCCCACACTATCTCTTTCTCTCAAAAAATTTTTTAAAAAAGGAAAAAAGACAGCCCGTAGATTATATTTTGCTGGCTCCTTTCAGTAAAACAGATTTAAATACCTTTATGACACTAGAATGATTTATATTTTCTATGTCTTCTTGAATCAGTTTTGTTAAGTTACATTTTCTAATATTCTCTCCATTTCATCTAAGTTTTAAAATTGATTTTACAGCTGTGTTATTTGTAGTTCTCCTTTATTTTATTTCATCCTACTTTCTTGCAAGATGTTTTAATTTGAGACTTTTCTCTTTTCTTGATCGATCTTAGAATTTTTTTTACCAAACTTTAAGCACAGCCAAGGAAGTGGTGACATCATGTTTGTCATCCATTTAACTCACAAATAATTTGACTTATCTACAGATGGTAGATCACTCCTCCATATGGTTCATCCATCTCTGTTCAATGTTGCATCCTTTCTTAAACTACATGCTCAAATAAAGTGGTCATCTTTCATATGTAGAAGAAGACACTTCATTCGGTGGTGTAGGATATTGGTTCCTTTTTAATGGATACTGAAAGGAAGCACTCTTTAAACACTTAGTGTTTGCCAAGCACTCTACTGCATGTTTCACGTATATCATCTCACTTAGTCTTCCTTTTTAAGTTTTTATTTAAATTGCAGTTCGTTAACATACAGTGTAATATTAGTTTCAGGTATACACCTTAGTGATTCAGCACTTCATACAACACTTGGTGCTCATCAAAACAAGTGCCCTCCTTAATCCCCGTCACTGATTTCACCATCCCCCACCCACCAGTTTGTTTTCTGTAGTTAAGAGCCCGTGTCTTGGTTTTCCTCTCACTTTTTCCCCCTCATGATGGTTTGTTTTGTTTCCTAAATTCCGTATATGTCATCTCACTCAGTCTTCCAGTTGTTTTACTAAGTTTTATCATTACTTCTGTCTTTTCAGAAAAAGAAAGTGGGGCTTGGAGAAATTAATAGCCAGAAAAGTAATGGTGGGCCAGGATTCTAAACTCAGGCCGTGTGATTCCAGAGTTTTGCCCTTAACCTCAGGAAAAGTTGTCTGCTACTTTTCCTCTAATTCTGTGCTCAAAACACTAAACTTTTAATGCATAACTTAGTGTCCAAAGAGGATATGGCCATTATGAAGAAAGCCTAGACCAATTATGTCCTACAATTTAAGTTTAAAGTGGGATTCTAGTTTGTAATTAATTCTCTTGTGAGATTGATTCTTGCCTAAAACACTAGGATTGTATTTTTGATTGTTACTAAGCGAAGGCCAGATCATGAACAATGGTTCCATTTCTGTGTAATATTTCTTTTTTTTCTGTATAATATTTTCTAATTTTCAAAGGCTTTTTACAAAAATCTCATGTTATCCTCACAATATGTCTTTGAAAAGTGATAATTATTTTTTTCTGTTTCAGAATTAAGTACATTGAGGCTGAGAGATTGAAGTAATTAGGTCAAAACTGAAAATTTCCGAGCGTGAAGCTCAGATGTAAATGAAGCTCTTCTCTTTTGCCGTATAGGACTCTTCTCCAGTACAACATAAATCAGACATTTCGTGAATCCTTGCCTGAAACTGCCAGATGATCTGACTCTTACATCATCTGATTTTGCTCAGGGTTGTAGAATTAAGAATTGGATGATGAGTAACTTACTAGTGTGTCAGAGGACTGCAGTATTTAATGCATGTATGTACCTAATTTGCTAAATGAGCAAAGTAACCTCCAGAGAGTTAATGCATGACAGAAATGTGTTGAAATGAGAACTAGAATATATATAATTAAAGAACCCATTTCTCCACTGGACAAAACAAGTCAAGAAGGTGGACAGAATTTTTTCTATGTACTTCTTCCTAGAGTATTCCCACATCAGCTAGGCCTGCAGATACTTGTCAGTTTTTGAAAGCTTGATTTTCAGTTTTTTAATTTATTGGTCTGGATAATTTAGTGTTCCCTGTGTTGTTTTTTTTTTAACACCAGCAAAGAACCTGTGTATGGTTGGCTGACTTCTCAGGGTCTTTTGACAATGCTGTTCCCCCAAGGCCCATCAAACTGATGTCGACTTGTTTTAATGACCAATGTTCCAAATAATGACATGTAAAATATCTGTTGTGAACCTCTTTCCTTGACTATGATTTCTTTATAAGGGAGAAAGGAAAAAAAACAAAAACAAAACTCCAGGGTGATTCCAAACCAGCCCTAAATTTAATAGAAGTGGACATACAACCTTCATTGGGAGGAAATACAGTTGCATAGTCTATTGGTAATGATGTGTATCTTTTCTTTACGGCAGAGTTCGTGTTCTGATTGTGCACTGTTACGCTGTATGTGCAGACATTGTTATGTGTAGTACATAGACATAAATATTAATAGTAAATCCTAATGATAATTTTAGGCATAACTAACATTTTAGTTCTTGACTCTGCTCCAGGCACTGTCATAAGTAATTTAATTTGATCCTCACAACAAACCTAAAAGGTTGGCACTAATTATCACCATTTTACAAATGACTAAAATGACACCCAAAGAAATGAAGCAGGTCAGCCAATTCACACTAGTAGTTAAAGTGCTGGGTCCAGATTCCACATTCTGAACTATATGCTGTAAGCCATTTGACATATGGTTGAAGAAAAAAGGTATTGGGATTTGCATGAGAAACAAGTACCTACCTCACAAAAACAAATGCAGAGCATTAGACCACTAGCCCGTCCTGTTATCAAGGTAATAAGTTCAGTGGCCAGGAAGATAGATGCATGTTTGAATTCTCTTGAATCACAGGATGTAGAAATAGAATAAATTTTAAAGTCATTTTTTTCTGTTTGGCATAGTCTCCACTTTATGAGAACAGAAACGTTTGGAAGAAATTTCCCTCAGATTTTCATGTATTTTTCTCTCGAATAGACATTGTGAGTCTTATAACTGATCATGTTTGCCTATTTTCTTTGACTACTAAGAAGTTTGGAACCAAATGTGCAGCCTACCTATAATAATTGTGTAGGATTTTAGGATGCCCTGATACTAAACCTGTCCTTACTTTTTATTATTTCTCTACCCCATTTTTCATGGGCCCTGGTTTCTTGAGCTGTTTACTCTTTATTCTGTTGTATGGTAAAAAATCCTTCAGGGCACCTCAAAATCATACTAAGGTGTGGACATCAAAAATAAAATAGGTAAGATAAAAATTCAAAATAGGTAATTTTATTTAAAGTCACAGAATTGTCATAAATATGGACCAGGGAGATTTTCTGTTAAATTAAAAAAGACACTTAGTTTAGTTTGGTTTGGTTTGAAGAATAGAGCATATATATATATAAGTACATTATTACATGAAACTCTGTTTCACGTATCCTACTGTAAAAAAATAAGGTTTTTCTTTTGCTTTGTTTTGTTTTTGTTTTGTTTTTTGGAGTTTTTGTTTGTTTGTTTTTGGTGGGCAGCAAAGCAAGGTTTATTGAGTGATAGCAAAGTGATAGTACAAAGCTCCCGAGGAGGGAGGGGACCCAAGAGGGTTGCCCAATAAGTTTTATCCTATTTTGGTGAAACTATTTCTAAAGCATATTTTTCCATTTCACAGTTAGTTGTGTGACACATAGGGACAGTTTTCTGGTGCTTAATAACAAATGTTAAAGGTGAATGTCTCCATAATACTGTGTAGCTTATAAAATAGTGTTATTTCGGATGACCTCATAACACACCTAATCCCCACCACTTTTCTGTGACGCCACCATTGATCATTCTGACAAACGAGAGATGGAACCTCCATGCCAATTATTCAGATGAGTTGAAGAGGTCACATTTGAAACCAGGGTGTTAAGCTCTCTTGGTCGTGATGTCTGGGAGCATCTCATTATCAGTGTGGCCAAGAGAGAACAATGTTTCTAAGCAGCACCAGCCCCAGAGATACAACTGCAGATACATAACCTGTCTGTCTACTGATGCAAGATGAGTCCATTCTTGTTTACAAGAGGGAAAGTGACTGAAAAAGGAAAAAAAAAATTACTCTATCATATCCCAAGGAAGGGAGAAGAGGAAGGATCCTGGGACAGTGGGAGAGGGGTGGAGCTGGGGGAGGAAAAAGAAAATATTGCTTCTGGATGAAAAAATTAATGAGCACAGGACACAGACCACCAAGATAAGATAAGTCAGTGCAGAGAGTCAGCTTCCTGACAGCCCCTAGTGAGTCGTGTGTGGCGTGTCGCAGATCCCGTGATTACCTTTCATTCCGAGAGCGGTGCTGCTAGAAAGTTGAGATGATGAGTTTTCATGATGGATGGAATTCCTGAGTGTGCTTGGAGGGTAGAGGCAGATAAAGGAGGCTGTGCTGGGGCTCTAATCTCCTCGCAGAAACTGGCAGCTGCCTTTTCCTGGCTGGCTCCTCGACTTCGTGGGTCCTGTGCGGAGCGCCAGGCGCCAGAAACAACAATCATGTCAAGTCGCACTTCAGGACTGAACAAAGTTATCTCTGTCCAGCACGTTTCCAAAGGCAGTGAAAAAAAAGGTCTGAACAGATGGACGAATTTACTTGTGCCATTTCCCTCTGGTGAATCTTACGAGCTCTTTTGCTCACGGTGTGTTTGTTTTCCATACTTTGAACATTTTTTTCCCCCAGATATAAAATTTGATATTTGAAAGTTGGTTCTGGCAAAGTTAACCAAATAATTCTTAAGTTAATTCCACAGATGTGTTTATTGATTCATGTCTAAAATTCTTTCTTTCCACATGTCAGTAATTAGCTATTCTTTCAGAATTTAAGGGTCACTCTATTTGTTAGCCAAACAAATAAACAAACAAGATACACAAGAGAAAGAGAAGCTTCATTAATACCAAATGAGTATTAGTGATTTGTAATTTGTATTAATTAACGTATACTAAGTAACAATACCAGTGAAACTATTTTAGTGATTAAAATGAAGCTTTCAATATTTATTCTTATTTATCACTTTTATTTATATTTTCTTTGATTCTTCATTGCCCTCTTTGTTAGGTAAAAGAAGCCCCAGTGTGTCAGATGCAGGATTCCCATATTTATTAATTTGCAGAGGCATATGTGTGGCCAAGTTAGGGAGCTCTCTTCTAAAGGTGGCATGGTTGAAGGTCGGAATTATGGCAAATGGTTGTATATTTTAAGATCACAATCTATAGAAACCCTACTTAGTCTAAACTATAATCCTTGCATGTTTGGAACCACAACTTAATGTCAAAAAGGGTTCCCTTCCATGTGCAGTTTCCTCTTTCAACTGCCTACAGTCAAATACAGAAAATGAAATGCCATCCAGAGTAATAACGTTGCCCTTGGACTCTAATCCAGAAACAGCGAAGGAGCTGTGCACCTTTAGGACTTCCCTCTCTTCGGGGATTAAGTGATGTCAGCTTGGCTGTCTATTTAGGATTATAATAGAGTTTAGTACAGAACTATTACACTTAAGAGGTAAAGCTTATCCACATTATAGAAATGATCATGTTCTGACAAGCATGATGGTGAGTGCTGCGTTGGTTCTCACTGACTGGGAATAGTAGAACTTAATTTAACATGAATACAATCACAGGAAGATGAAATTAGTGCACCATCACTTTTTTCTAAAATGACTGATGGAGTCTGAACAAAACTCATGGATTTAACACAATATGTAATGAGTGTTTTCCATGTGAAAGGCACTGTCCTGGGAAAAGCTTATGCTATGAAGATGACTCGGCCATCACTGTCATAACACAACATATTCTAGCACAAGCTAGAATTTGGGGTTCCACAAAAGTATAAGGTAACTGGGGCGACTGGGTGGCTCAGTCGGTTGAGCGTCTGCCTTCGGCTCAGGTCATGATCCCAGGGTCCTGAGATCGAGCCCCGCATCGGGCTCCCTGCTCGGTAGGGAGCCTGCTTCTCCCTCTCCCTCTGCCTGCCACTCTGCCTACTTGTGCTCTCTCTCTATCTCTCTGTGCTCTCTATCTCTCTGTCTCATTTATTTATAAATAAATAAAATATTTTAAAAAAAAGTATAAGGTAACTAAAATGTTTGTTGGGGAGGGTGGGTGCAGCAGAGACAGTGTGCCTCGCCAAAAGTAGACGGTGACCAAATTAAGAAAAAAAGCTTTGTGATAAATTGCAGGGTAGTGTTTTTCAGGCATAGTATTTTTTATTGTATAATTATTTTCTTTTCCATAAAGTAACTGTTAATGTCCTTGCTACAGCCCAGTCTCTGGTCTTGCTGCCCCAAAGGTGGCTGAGTCCACCCCTTTGGGCCACCGTCTGCTACCCGGTCCTCGTTCCCTCCAACGTGGTGCTGCCTCTGGGCCAGGCTGAGTGAGCTGTGCTAGTCGGCTTCCCCAGCCTGGCTGTGGCATTTCACATGTCCTCATGGTTGTGGCCCAAATGCTTCTGATGCTACACAGTGTCTCTTCCCCCTGACCTCCGTGGGACACGCACTCCCTCCTGATTCTGTGGCCTCTTCCCACGTGCCGCTAGCTTTCTGAGCCACCAATCACACCCATGACTTCAGTCTCTGCTCTAGATGCTACCAGCAGCTTAGACTTAGGGCAAGGCATTTAATTTCTTGATTTGTGTCCTCTTCTGAAAAAAATGGATTACTATAAGGGATAAGATTTCATAGGACTGGTTGTTGTAAATATCAGGTGAGTAACAAGTGAGGAAGATGCTGAAAGAGGACCTGTCCCAGAGCAGACCCCAGAGATATCCATGAACCTTCTCCTCCCTCCCTCCCTCTCTCCATTCTTTCTTTCCTCCTTTTCTTTATCTATTTCTTGCCTGCTTTCCTTCTTCTACTCTACTTCTTTTCATTCTCTCTTCTTTCCTTTCCTTTTCTTTATTTTGTTTAGTTTTTGGAGATCTTAAACCCACAAAAGAAGGATCTGTGATGTGTTTGGAGTTCAGAAAAGAAGGAGATTTCGGACAATGGAAGCATGAGAGAGATTCAGGGAGAGCATTTGATATAGGTCTTAAAGTTTGAATAGATTTTATACATGTGGAAAAGAGAGGAAGAACATGATGGAGACTGGTGGATGGGAAGTTAGAACCATCACGGAGGCCTTGCATTCTATGTGGAAGTGTTTGTAATCTATCAGGCAGGATGGAGCCTTGAAGGGGTGTGTGTGAGTGTGTGTGTGTGTGTGTGTGTGTGTTTTAATCATGTCATAGGTATGGCAGAGGGGTTGATACTGAAAATGGCTTTTGTGATTAATTGAATAGGTAGAGAAGAGAACAGGGAGACCATTCAGGGGACTTGAATCAGGTAGTGACAAACAAAAAATAGGAAGGGTTGTTGAGAAATAAATTACAATCTCAGTAGGACTCACTCAGCTAATGGTGTGTAGGGCACAAAGCATGTGGTGGAAGCAAAGGTGTTTGAGTTTTAAGCTTAGTGATGGGAAGGATAGAAGTAACAATACTGTGGAGAGGAAATCTATGGAAAGAAGGATTTTTGCAAAGGAAGTTTGAGGTGTCAGCTGGAAATTTGGGAAGTCGTGTTTCTAAAGTAATGGCAAATATAAGCCTTGAAGTTCTCAGCTACTTCAGCACCATTTATGTGGAGTTTGGAATAGAGATTAAATGACCAGGAAACACCCAAGGGTAATAAATGTCAGAGGAGAACAGGGCTTGAGATGCAGTGATGTGAGGGGTAGTGAGACTGACTTTCAGAATGATAACCACTGATCCAGAGAAATCAGAATAGAAACCTGAACTCCTCAAAACGATGGGATAGAATTTGGTTTCATGGTTTTCAATTAAGGTTTGTTTCTTACTAGTTGTTTTCAGTGTAGGATTTGGTGTTTTTTATGTTTTACAAAAATCATTTGTACCAACTTCTGCTTCTTTTAATGAATATTCAGTATACTAAAGTTGCAAATTCCAAAACCTAATTTTTCTTAAGCTCTTACATTCAGACTCTCATCATTCTATTTATAAATCTGGTACAGTTTAGCAATCACTTTCAAGGGGACTTTCGCAACTACGTTAATTAGATTTCATTAAATATTTAAATAGCATTCACAAATTTAATATATTCATTTCTCGTTTTTAAGCCTTTCAATGGTCTAGCAAACTAAATGGCCCCAAATTCTGGAGAAATCTACTTAAATATAGGAAATTGAATTTATAAGGATGTGACCCTTCAGTTGGCATGAACATTACAATATTGTTTTTTTTTAAAAAAAAAAGATTTTATTTATTTATTTGCGAGAGAGAGAATGAGAGACAGAGAGCATGAGAGGGAGGAAGGTCAGAGGGAGAAGCAGACTCCCTGCCGAGCAGGGAGCCCGATGCGGGACTAGATCCCGGGACTCCAGGATCATGACCTGAGCCGAAGGCAGTCGCTTAACCAACTGAGCCACCCAGGCGCCCTACAATATTATTTTATAAACTCATAAATTTTTCTTGCTTATAATTAAAACAACAAATCTGAATAAATTACCCAATCTTAAATTTGATAAATACATAAAACGGAAAATATACACAAATGATTTTTAAACACAAATATGTTAGGGCACTGGGCTTGTTTTTGGTTCATCACCTTTGTCCCTCACTCTAAACGTGGCTGGTTTTTTATTTATTTATTTATTTATTTATTTTTTAATTTTTATTTTTTTAAGATTTTATTTATTTATTTGACAGAGACAGAGACAGCGAGAACAGGAACACAAGCAGGGGGAGTGGGAGAGGGAGAAACAGGCTTCCCGCGGAGCAGGGAGCCCGATGCGGGGCTTGATCCCAGGACCTGGAATCATGACCTGAGCCGAAGGCAGACGCTTAACGACTGAGCCACCCAGGCGCCCAGTTTTTTAAAAAATTATACACCAAGGAAACAATTCTGCCACCCAAGGTCTGGTCTCCTTAGCAACAGTTCCCTTTGCCTTCCTCCAACTTAAAAACCGGAAAGTGAAGTATTCAAATTCTCAGCCTCTCTTGCAGCCATAGAGGGCCACTTGACATACTTCTGTCCAATGGGATATATAGATAGTTCTGTCTATTTTATTTTCTGGATAAAAAAGCAGTAGATATTTGCTCATTGCCACAGTAAATGAGACCTACTAGTTATCATATCCGAAATGTATGTGATCCTCACCATGTTTCAAAAACCATTTCATGTGCTTTCTTTGAGCTAATTGTAATGCCTATAACAACTCTATGAGGGAGATACAATTATCATTACACTTCATAGATGAGGAGACAATAACACAGGGAGGTTACTAAGTTGCCCAGAGTCACACAGCCAGTAAGTGGGCAAAGTTAAGATTTGAGACCCAGCACCCTAAATCCAGAGTCACATTCACCTCTCCACTGTAGTCACCACTTCTGACAGGTGCCTGAAGCTCGTTGCTGTATCTGTTCTGCAACGTTGACGGCATGCTCTTACATCTAACAGTTAGTTTCCGTGTCTTCCCCATTAGACTAAGTGGCCCTTAGCCATGTGCCTCTTTTACACACAAATCACAGCCCCAGAACTTGTCTCCCACAGATGTTCAACAAATACTTCAATGAATGCATGCCTTAAGATCTGCAAAATTACAGATGTCACAGAGATAAGCTTATTTTGAAAACCTCAATATGTCAAACCCTTGAAGTAGAGAGGCAGAAAAGTGACTTTTGGACTCTGTAAGGAGGGTGTCACTTTGTGTAGTGACCACTTTGCCTACTGCCACCATAGAAAGGGAGCTGGGAAGCCCCTCACCAGATCCCGTAAGGAAGGAGATCCAACATTGGGCCATTGTGTGTTTTTCCATGAATGACAGTGTCATTATCTTACACTTTGATAAGTGTCTGGCTATAGAGCAAGAAAATAACAATGCCCTTTTCAGGTCTGTGATTTCCCTTGAGAAAAGCTGAGGTGTGATTGGATCCCTGGGCCCCTATGTAGAGCTGATATCTGCCCTCCCATGTACGAAAGTAGCACCAGAGTCTCCAGGACCCAGGATGTGGTCCATAGAAAATGGGTGTCATTGACAGATTAAGAGATCATGTCAAGCTTCATGATATAGTGTATTTATTTGGTTTGGATGAAATGATGTATTAGAGTTTTACAGAGAAACAGAACCAATGGGAGATATATATGTATATATATGTATATGTGTATCTGATATACTATGAGGTATTGGTTCACACACTTATGGACACTGAGAAGTCGTATGATCTGCTGTCTATCAGCTGGAGACCAGGAAAGTTGGTGGTGCCATTCAGCCCAAGTACAAAGATATGAGAACCAGAAGCACCAGGAGAAGGAGATGATGCATGTCTCTGCTCAAAAAACTTAGGCAGGGAGGGCTGAATTCTGCCTTCTTGTGCCTTTTTGTTCTGTTTGAGTCCTCAGTAGATGGATGATATCCACCCACAATGAGGAGGGTGAACTGCTTCACTGAGTCCACCAAGGCAAATACTAATTTCATCCAGAAACACACTCAAAAACACAGCCAGAAATAATGTTCAGGTAAATATCTGGGCCTCCCATGATCCAGTCAAGTTGACACATAAAATTAACAATGACAAATAAATATGTAACACTTGGGAAAAAATGTGTGAATGTTATGTCAGACAAGTATGGCTCATGGCCCATGTTCATTCAGCAAAGCTATTTTGTCATTACTCAGTAGGAGCCCACCCTGCCTCCCTGGGCGAGCACTCACATGGACCCAGACTCTCCAATTGCTCTTAAAGGAGGTGTAAAGACAACCTTATTTCAGTCATTCCATTGTCCAGACCCTTATAGTCATGGAGCCTCCAACTCAGTGGAAGGTGGCTTCCTCCCTCCCTCAATGGGAGGGCCGCAGGTAGAAAGCCCACAGCCTGCAGTTGGAGGAGGCAGAGTTTGATCGTTTCTCCTGCTACCAACCTCCCCCTTGTAACCAGGGATTCTGAGACCTCCAGGGGGCAGGGGGGCGGGGGCAAGAGGGAAAGGGGGTTCTTGCTCATGGTGGCTGTGGTTAAGCCCAGGGGCCCCAGGACCCAGACAGGTCCACCCCCGCTGGGGTGGAAGGGGAGCCTGATCACCTCCCAAAGACCTCTTAGAGGTCTCACAGATAGGGATTCCCAGGGAGGGAATTTAATAACTTCTGGAGTGTGAATGTGTGAGTGAATGTGCCATCCAACCTGGCTTGCTCAAGCGTACTGATTCTGTGACTCCACGGGCGGGCATCCTTAAAGTCCCCAGAAGCCTACGGAGTCTGAGTGGACCCGTCTGCGATTCCGTGGTGAATGGCATATAGTCTATGGCGGCGTCGGAATAGTTTCCGATCGTAACTCACAACGCTGAGACCACTAGGGCTAAGCCTCACCTAAGCTCCTTCAGGACATGGCCAGACAGGCATCTGATTGGTCTCCTCATCTCAGGAGGCACCCCCCCTTTGTCTGTCTCCGCGCCACCACACACAGGGACGTCACCATGGGGTCAGGGCAGAGTAAACCTACAGTTCTAGAGATCATGAGCAAAAACTTAAAGAAGAGGTTTTCGGGAGACTATGGAGTCAGAATGAACCCCGGCAAGTTGAGAACCATAACCCAGAAGCCTATGGAGTCTACCCACAAGCCATGGTAGACCTCATAGAATCCATCTTCCAGACTCATCGGGCAACCTGGGAAGACTGCCAGCAGTTACTCTGTACCCTGTTTAACACAGAGGAAAGGAGGAGAATAATGAAAGTTGCACGGCAGTACCTGGAAGAGCACGCACCAGCGGGAGTCATCAACTCTGCTGCCTGGGCTAATACAGCTGCACCCAAAGAGCGCCTAGCATGGGACTTCACCACAACCAAGGAACAGACCCACATCCGCCGGTACCAGGAGGCCCTCCTCTGGGGAATCCGGGCGGGAGATTAGAAACCCATGAACATGACTAAGGTATCCTCGGTCACTTAACAACCAGGGGAGTCCCCTGGGGACTACTACAAAAGACTATGTGAAGCCTACAGCATATACACACCATTTGACCCCGAGGCACAGGAAAGCCAACAGATGGTAAACACCTCCTTTGTGGCTCAGGCCTCCCCAGACATCAGAAAAAAACTTCAGAAACTAGAGGGTTTTGCCGGAATGAACATCACCCAACTAATAGAGATTGCCAATAAGGTCTACATGAACAGGGAGGTCACAGCCAAATGGGAAGCTGACAAAAAGATGAAAAAGAAATTCAGCCTCCATGCTGCCACCCTGAAAGAAAAAGACAACACAAAGATGGGAAGACCCCAACCACCGTAAGGGGGAAAGCCCAGAAATCCCTTGGCAAGGGATCAATGTGCCTACTGTAAAGAGAAAGGGCATTGGAAAAACGAATGTTGCAACCAGGGAAAGGCTCAAAAGCCCAGCTGCTACAAGGAAGAACCCCAAGTGGAGGACCTCATAGGCCTTGTGGGAATGGACTCAGACTGAGGGGGACCGGGCTCTTTCCTCCTTGGCCCCCATGGGCCCATGGTCAAAATGAAGGTGGGGGGCCAACCAGTGATTTTATGGTTGATACTGGGGTTGAGCACTCTTGTCACCTCCCCAGTGGTCCCTTTCAGCAAAAGGACTACGACCGTCCTTAGGGCCACCAGGACGCGGGCAATACAACAGCCCTTTTACCAGTCTTGCCAGTGCGAACTCAGGGGCCACAAGGTCTGACACAAATTCCTTTATCTGCCCAATTGCCCCATTCCTCTCCTGGGCCGAGACATACTCTCCAAGCTTAGGGCTCAGATAACCTTTGAGCCCACTGGACACATTAGCCTCCAATTGAACCCAAGGCAAGAGGAAACAGGGTCTCTAATACTAGCAATTACCACACCAAGGGAAGAAGAATGCAGGCTATTCTGTGCCCAGACCCAACCAAGCAGCACACTGGAATTCAGACTCGCCTTCCCTTCAGTATGGGCTGAAAACAACCCACCTGGACTAGCCCAGGATCGGGCCCCTATCATTGTTGAACTGATCCCAGGAGCCCAACCTCAGAGGCAAAGGCAATACCCCCTTCCACAAGAAGCTAAAATCGGCATCCAAGAACATATGACCAAACTCAAAGAAGCAGGTATTCTAGTCAAGTGCCAGTTGGCCTGGAATACCCCATTCCTGCCAGTCAGGAAGCCAGGAGGGGGATACCAACTAGTTCAAGACCTGTGGGCCATCAACAAAGTGACCATCTCTGCACCCAGTGGTCCTGAATCCATATACCCTTCTAGGCCAAATCCCAGGGTTGGCCAGATGGTTCACTTGCCTAGATTTGAAAGATGCTTTCTTCTGCCTCTACTTAGCTCCCCAGGGCCAGCCACTATTTGCCTTTGAATGGTCTGAACCTGATACATGGCACCAAATGCAACTGATTTGGATGCGCCTCCTGCAGGGTTTTAAAAACTCATCAACCCTCTTTGAGGAAGCACTGGCCATGGACCTCGCCAGCTTCCCAGGAGAGGCCACACGATGCACCATCCTCCAGTATGTGGGTGACCTCCTCCTTGCCAGTGACACACAAGAAGACTGCACAAAAGGCACAAAGGCCCTCCTACAGCTCCTGTCAGACTCAGGATACCGAGCCTCATGAAAGAAGGCACAAATCTGCCAACAACAGGTCTGATACGTTGGTTTCCTCCTCACCCAAGAGAAAAGAGAACTAGGGCCGGAGAGGAAAAGGGTCATCATCTCTCTGCCAGAGCCCCAGACAAAAAGGGGCCTACGAGAATTCCTGGGGGCTGCAGGATTCTGCCGCATCTGGATCCCTGGGTTCTCGGCAATAGCAAGACCCCTTTATGATCTCTTAGGGGGACCAGATCAAGAACCCCCTACCTGGACTAAGGAAGCAGAAGCTGCTTTCACAGAGATAAAGACCGCCCTGGGGCCGGCTCCAGCCCTGGCCTACCAGATGTAGAAAAACCCTTCAATCTCTATGTGCATGAAAAGGAAAAAGTAGTGCTTGGGGTACTCACCCAGACTGTTGGACCCTGGCAACGACCAGTTGCTGCTTACCTGTCAAAGAAGCTGGACCCCGTGGCAGCGGGATGGCCGCCATGCTTCAGGGCGCTGGCAGCCATAGTCCTACTCATCAAGGAGGTGGACAGACTTACCCTGGGGCAAGAACTTAACGTCAAGGTCCCTCATGCATTTGTGTCCCTCATGAATGCGCAGGGACACCACTTCCTTTCCAACTCTCGGCTAGCACAATACCAAGGGCTCCTCTGCAAAAACCCGCGGGTCACCCTAGAAACAATAAGGACGTTAAATCCAGCAACCTTTCTCCCCACCGAAGAGGGGGAAACAGACCATGACTGCTCCGAGGTGACTGATGAAGTCTGTGCAAGCCATCCAGATCTGTGGGATCAAGCCATAAAGAATCCAGAGCTCACACTGTTCAGTGATGGCAGCAGTTACCTACATGTGGGTGCCCGGAAAGCGGGTTATGCAGTGACCACAACCACTGAAGTCCTAGAGGCTAAGGCATTACCAGATGGATGGTCAGCTGAAGCCTTAGTCTGAACCCTTACCCTCGGTGAAGGCAAGCAAGTCAACATCTATACTGACTCTCGGTCTGCCTTTGCTACTGTACATATATACATGGAGCCATCTACAAGGAAAGGGGCCTCCTAACCGCAGCAGGAAAAGCTATCAAGAACAAGGAGGAGATACTGAGACTCCTCGAAGCCGTCTGGCTTCCAAAGGAAGTAGCAATCCTGAACTGTAAAGGACACCAGAAAGGAGACAACCCCATAGTGCAGGGAAATGGTCTGGCAGATGAGGCAGCCAAGACCACAGCCAGTGAGGACATGGACAGAGCCCCTTCCCTCACCATGGCCCTAACACCCCCGGAAAAAGTCCCTCTACCCAGTTACACTAAAAAGGAAGAGGAATGGGCCATGGCTGAGGGAGCCACCCTGACTGAAAAGGGGTGGTGGATGATGCCCAATGGGTGCATCTTCATTCCAACAGCAACTGGAGGGCATCTAGTCAAGAAACACCCACTGACTCACTCATCTGGGAAAAACTGCATTAGAGGCCCTTCTCAAGAAGCACTACTACATCCGTCAGCTGCCAGCACTGTGCCGAGCAACGAGTGAACAATGCATAACATGTGCTAAAAATAATGCTCGGTCTGCACCACGGCCCCCGCCAGGTGCCCAGAGGATGGGAGCAACCCCCTTTGAAGATCTAGAGGTAGACTTCACAGATGTGCAGCCGAACAGGGGGTTCAGATATTCCTAGTAATAGTATGCACATACTCTGGGTGGGTCAAAACCTTCCTGACCAGGATGGAGCAAAGCCGGGAAGTAGCTAAAGTCCTCTTGCGGGAGATCGTGCCCCGGTTCGGCCTGCCGTTAACAATCCATAGTGACAACGGACCCGCATTTGTGGCAGACATCGTACAGTCTTGACCAAATCTCTCAACATCACCAGGAGACTCCACACCGCTTACCAGCCCCAAAGTTCAGGGAAAGTAGAGCTAATGAATCACACCCTCAAGGGAACCTTAGCAAAGTTTTGTCAGGAGACTAACCTCCCATGTCCAGATCTGCTACCCCTAGCTCTCCTGCGTGCTCACTGCATGCCCAGGACATCAGGTTTCTCCCCATTCGAATTAATATATGGACGACCTCTCCTGTGCTTGGGAAGCCTTCCAGGAAACTTGCATCAGGTTGGAGATAAAGGGATAAAGGAGCAGCTTCAAGCCCTGGGGGCCACCCTAAATAAATTACAAAAGTACACCATTGAGAGGGCCCCAATCTCCTTAGGGTCTCAGATACACTTCTTCCAGACAGGGGACTCAGTTTGGGTGAAAGATTGGAAGAAAGACCCTCTCAAACCACAGTGGACAGGGCCCCACACTGTTGTTCTAAATGCCCCTACTGCCCTCAACGTCTCAGGTATCACCCTGTGGGTCCACCACTCCAGAGTGAAGAAAGCTCATCATTCGGATGAGGAGCCGCACCAGTGGAGAGTCCAGCCAGACTTCATGAACCCACTCCGGCTTCATCTTCGACGAGACCCCACCAACTGATGGACACCTGCTCACCGTGGTCCCTGGCTCTCATCGGCGTGATTTCCCTCATCTTGGGAGTCTGACTCTACACTGTTGCCCCTCCTGACTGGACTTTCCCCCAGAGGCTTACTATTGTCATTGCTTATTAGGTGACCCTAGAGTGTATTACTGCACTTACTTGTCCACGGGTTTCATCTGCTGACAGGTGACCCATGATGGCTCCCTCTACCTAAGGTCATAGATTCCACTTTCACTGGCCCTCTGCTTTCTACTCCCGAGCACATTTCACCATGGTTTTCCTGGCCCCGGTCAGTCCCGGTCTTCTGCTACCTGGTGTACTGTTCCTCCACACTGCCTCTAGCTTGCCCGGCCCGGCAAGGGGGACAAACTCTTGTATCACCATTACTGGCAAATGGACTTTCCAGCTTATCCCCCTCAATCCCCCACCAGCGCCCCCACTGACTTCTTCCACCTGGGATGGGCACACACCAAAGGTTAACCTCCATTTTAATGGATGCCAGCTTCTTGATACCTCCTGGGAACCTCACAGACGGTGTTCCTACCATGGCCCTCACTCTGGTTACCGGCTGGTAGATATCTACATCTGTGGGGGCCCTACACCTCAACAGCCAAACACCTGCCCTCAGTTCTGCTCGCAAGCCTGGGGATGTGAGTCATGGGTGGCGACTTGGCCGGGAATGGAATGATGGTCCACCAGGTCGTGGCACCTCAAAGAGGGCAGTGACATCCAGATTTCCTTGTCACACAATGCCACCCCATCCTCTTGCTTTAACAATCACTGTATACCGCTCACCCTCTCAGTCTTAGAACCCAGTGCCACATCATGGGCTACAGGAATCATTCTCCTCTTGGGCCAATATCACCCTATGGGGACCGACCCCATGGCCAAATTTATGATTAAGTCCATGTTCACTCCAAGCCTTAACAGTCAACCCCCAGAGTCAGACAGAAAATAACTTGCCCTGGCACATCCCTGGGTCCCCCATCCACACGCAGCAAGCATCTATAGCGCAACTGTTAGGTATGATTAACGCCTCCCACCAAGCGCTTAACCACTCAAATCCACCCCTAGTGTCTGACTGCTGGATCTATATGAAGCCCAGTCCTGTCCAATACCTAGATGTCATCCTCAACGAATCTACCGTGTCACCTCCCACCTTGGCACTGGGGACCTCAGATTATCCCTTTCTGGCTCTGGTACCACTGTATGTCAACTCTTCCTCTCCCATCCCAGGCCACAGTTGGGTCTGTGCGCCTAACAACACTTTTCTGGCTTGTGATCAAGGTGTATACATCTGCGTCACCCCGCGTGATCAATTATGCATGCTTGTCAGTCTCTTACCGATCTTTCAGTCCTTCCCGGGGGCAATGCCCCGCTCATACGGAGACCTCCTAGCCACCCTCGATGCTACCCCATGGCCATCCCTCTTATCGTGAGCCTGCTGGCTGCATCAGGTGTTGCCCTCAGTGCCACTGGCGTCAGGATGTCTCAGGTTCAGTACCAGGGGTTAACTCAACAACTCATGGCGGATTTTTCCGCCCTCACTCAGTCGGCCATGGCCCTGCAGCACCAACTCGATTCACTGGCCTCAGTGGTCCTCCAAAACAGGTGCAGGCTCGACTTGCTCACGGCCGCGCAAGGGGGGCTCTGCCTCTTCTTACAGGAGGAATGTTGTTTCTATGCTAATGAGTCAGTGGTGGTCCAAGAAACTCTGACCCAATTACAGGAATGAGTACATTGCCGGTGGGAAACACTCCAGTGGACAACTTGGTGGGATACCCTCTCACAGTGGTTCCCTTGGTTCGCCCCCCCCCATCGGCCCCCTCCTATTGCTTCTCCTCATAGTGGCATTTGGTCCTTATATTTTTTTAAATTTAATTTTATTATGTTATGTTAATTACCATATAATACATCATTAGTTTTTGATGTAGTGTTCCATGATTCACTGTTTGCATATAACACCCAGTGCTCCATTCAGTACATGCCCATCACCAGGCTAACCCATCCCTGTCCTTACTAGGTTTATCACTACTCAAATTGCTAAAATCAGACTCCAGTTACTCCTTACTCACTATCACCCCTTAGAAGATGAAGATGATGCCCTCTAAACTAGGTGTTTAAAGGGGCATCAAAGGGGGGAATGATAAGGAAAATGTGTGTCCTAAGATGGCCGACCTAGGGGTGCCTGGGTGGCTCAGTCGTTGGGCGTCTGCCTTCGGCTCAGGTCATGATCCTGGGGTGCTGGGATCGAGTCCCGCATCAGGCTCCCTGCTCGGCGGGAGGCCTGCTTCTCCCTCTCCCACTCCCCCTGCTTGTGTTCCTGCTCTCGCTATCTCTCTGTCAAATAAATAAATAAAAATTAAAAAAAAAAAAAAAAAGATGGCCGACCTAGCCAGCGAGAAAGTCCCAGTCCTTGCCCCGGTGCTCTTCCAGCTTCTTCTCCCTGCTCTGCTTCCCGCGTGGACCAATCCGGGTTCTTCTCCCTGCTCCACTTCGCGCATGAGCCAAGAGTGCCCAGTTTGTGGAAGTAGAAGCGTATAAATTGCCCCCTTTGTTTGTGCTCAGGGCTCAGACCTTTGGAGATCACTCTCCTCTGAGCCCGCTGGCATTAAATAAACCTCCTATCCTCCAAGATCTCTGGGTGCCACTTGGTTCTTCTGTTGGGCCATCCAGTCCGGGTTCCGTAACAGGTTCTCCCTGGACACCTCCTCACATCTCCAGCTGGGCCTCAGGGACAGGATTTGAGGCACTCTGCCACTCACTGATTGACGCTTGCCGACTGGCCATTGCTGGGCCACAGGAACACGCACAGAGCACCTTTACTTCCCAAACTGCAGTCCCTACTCTGCGTCAGGGATCCTCCTGTCCTTCAGATGCTTCTGGCTGGAACTCAG